TGGGAGGAGGTGATGCTGGGGAGGAAGGAGGGACCAATCAGGAAAGTATTTATGCATTTGATTTTGAATACTGTGGGGGCCACTTAAAGGATACATAACTTATCAGATTTGAATTATATTACTATAATTACCTTATCTACCTTGTTGGGAGGGACTAGTAGAAGGCAGAAAACAGAAAGCGGCTGTTCTGACCTTGGTGAGAGGTGATGAGAGTGTGAATTTAGGCAGAGACAGTGGAATGGGAAGTTGGGATAGAAGAAATAATCAAGAGATGGGAACTTAATGGGAGTGAGGTCATTGAGACTAAATAAATATGGTGGGAAGATAAAAAAAAAAAGGAAGAAGCCTCATGATTCTTATTTCATATTTTGGCTAATGAAACATTTGAAGGGCAAATATAAAGAGGAAGACGAAGTTTAAAGGAAGGATTATAAATTAAATTGGGGGTATAGTGAGTTCAAGGTTCTAGTGGGTAGAGGGACAGCTCTAGTGTTTGATAGCCAGTTAGAGCAGAATTGTTGGGGGAAAGGTTTGGCTTGGATACAAAGATTTGCAGACTATCTCTATCTCCCAGGAGAAAACCTAAAATGAAAAGAGTAGATCAAGCCTGGAAGCTTTAGTTATATTACAGATTTAAGGATCTAACAGAGAAGAATGTGCCCATGAAGGATTCCGGGGAAGAGTGGTCAGAGTAAAGGGGAAAACCAGCAAACAAAAACTCTTGCAGAATGTCAAGAGATGAAAATTTTAAGAAGCAATGAGTGATTATGGCATTGAAAGTCCAGAAAGGAAAATTGAGATAAGAATTTTAAAAATTCCACTGGGTTTGGTACAGGTCATTCATGAGCTTTCCTTGAACAGCTTCAGTTAAGTGACTTTGGCAGAAGCCAGACTGCTATCATTTGAAGAGAGTGAGAAAAGAGGAGGAAGGTGTGAGAAAACTTAGCTGTAAATAGAACACAGGATAGAACTGAAGTATGGTGGGATTTTTTGTTGTGTTCTGCTTTTTAAAGATGGCATAGTCTTTGAACCTACCTTTGAGAAGAAACCAATAGAAGGAGAAAGTAAAGATTAAGGAGATAGATGATAGGGTAAGGTCCCTGAGGAAGGTGAGGCTCACATCATGGAGAAGATGTGTTCAAGAGTAAGTGTGTGGGTTGGGCATGTTTGACCTGAAATGACAGGAGGCGGGGCATTTCTTCTGGTGGAATGACAAAGTAAAAAGGAAGTGTTCCAAGATTGGGAGATCTGTTAGAAGCTGGGGAAGGTGTAGATAGAATGCCTCCTTTATGCCTCAAGATTCCTTTTGTCATGAAAAAGTATTGGCACAGGAAAGGAAATCCTAAAAGCATAAGGGCTAGAATAATAAACGCAAAGAGAACAGTGCTGGACTAATCAGATTTTGTAGAATTTTTCCCATTGATAATGATGACCTTTATATTTCTTAGAAATATTCTTCTTGTACTGAAACTCTGTACCCAGTAATTAATAATTCCCTGTTCCCCTTTCCCCTCAGTCTTTGGCAACTACCACCTACTTTTGGTCTCTATAAATTTGATTACTTTAGGTACCTCATTAAAGTGGAGTTATACAATAGTTGTTCTCTTGTGTCTGGCTTAAGTCATTTATCATGTTTTTAAGATTCATACATGTTAGCATGTATTAAAACTTTCTTTTAAAGGCCAAATAATAATCCATTGTATGTATAAATCACAATTTTATCTATTTATCCATTGATGAACATTTAGATTGTTTCTACCTTTTGGCTATTGTGAATAATGCTGCTATGAACCTTGTTGTTTAAATTATCTTGAGTCTTTGCTTTTAATTCTTTTGTATGTATATCCACAAGTGGAATATTGGCTCATGGTCATTGTGTGTTTGGTTTTTTAACTTTGTTCCGTTTGTTTTATGTGTGTGAGGTACATGGTAAATGAATCTAAAGCACTTCTTTTATGCCACTGTATTCTGAGGTAAAAATGTTAGTAGTACTTCCTAGAAGTATAATTTATGTACTCAAAATATTCTACTTAAAAATGTGTCAGTTATAAAGTATGTTTGTCTCTAGAAGGTAGGAATCAACCTTTACTCCTTGCTGTGCTTACTATGTGGTAACAATGTATAGAAAGAAACAGATAAGGGAATATTAAATTCTGTTTACTTCTTTTAAAGTGTGTAGTTAGTGGTCTTTCTTCAGTACCATCTCCAAAGGAGGTAATTCCTGAGTTTTAGATAAAGTTGGCTAACTAACCAAGGAAAGAAAGTTTGTCTTTGGAGCCCAAGGTTTTTTTGTTTTTATTTATTTATTTAATTTTGTTGTTGTTCTCTTTTGTTGTGAAAGAAGTCTTATTAAAGAATAGATTCTGTTGATGTATAACTTATGTTTTGTTAGGAAGTCTCATTTTAGTATAATGTGCAGAATTGGCCATAGACAGATCCTAGAAGGTAGAGTAGGCATTTTCGAGTTGAATTTCTAAAAGAGGTACAAAGCTAATACACATGGCAATGAAAATTCCTGCTTATTGCCATGGTTCTATGTTAGAAAGGATTTGCAAGTTTTGTTACTGTGTAGTTTAAAATATATATATTTTTTGCTATGTATTGATGTATAACTTAGCCTCTAAGTCTTTTTCTATAAAATACAAAGGCTAGGAAGAGTGTTGTCTACTCATAGTCCAGAGGGGTAAAGAAGACATCTTGAAGCAGAATATAAGATTTTTAAAAAATATTTTTTAGTTATACATGGACACAACATCTTTATTTTCTTTGTGTATCTTTATGTGGTGCTGAGGATCAAACCCAATGCCTCACATGTGCAAGGCAAGTGCTTTACCACTGAGTCATAACCCCAGCCCCAGAATATAAGATTTTTAAAAGATAGAAGTCAATGTAAAATTTATGTGAGAATACTAATTGTTATGGATATGTTAGTGGTTATCACATAAGGGTATGTAAATTATAATTTATTTTGCATGGTTTTTGCTATTAAAAGGCCAGTTAAGTAGAATGGGAAATTGACAGAATTGAGGGAGTTAAATAGAAGTTAACTGTTAAACTATCTTCTCTCCTTAAAGCCCTCTGTGACCTTGCTGGGTAAAAGGAATTTCTTCCTCCAGCCTGCTTTGTTCCCCATAATCCTTGTGCTTATCTCCCTTAACTTTGATTGTGAGCTGCTTTAGGGCAGAAATGTCATATCCTACTGTGTATTTTAATCATCTCACATAATTGCTTACACATAGTAGATCCTTTTAAACATTGTTTGTTGTTTGAGTCTTTTATTATAAGACTTGCACAAATATAATAAAATGGGAAGAAGCAACTACTGTAGTTATCAAAAGTAATAATCTAAATCAGAGTTAGGATGTGGCCAAGGACAGAGGAAACCCGTAAGATAGAAACCAGAGAGCAGATTTTAAGGTTTCATGGGATGCCTCAAGTTATTTCCTTATCTCATTTCCTAACTGTGACTCTGGCCTATGGCCTGAAATTTATTTGTTTATTTAGCAGACATTAAAGCATGAAGTTGTGGGATGATGGAAGCTTACAATTAATAAAGCACAACAGAAGCATGGGTATATTATATTGCTCTATGAAAGAGGGAATGCGGGGAAATCTTCATAGAAGATTTTAATATTTTAGCTAAATCAGAGAAGGGAGAGTACTTCCTGCCAAGCAGATAGTCTGAGAGGCTTAGCCAAACACAGTTATAGAGTCCAGGCAGAGAGAGAGAGAGAGAGAGAGAGAGAGAGAGAGAGTTGGGATGCACCTGGTCCATATGTAACAAGTTCTGGGAAATAACGTGGGGACCTTACTATGAGTAGTCTTATTTCTGTATTTGCCTCTTTTATCTTCTTTTTGTATTGTTTCTTGGAGTTTTTGCTTTAATAGTTTTTTATTAATAGTGGGGAGCAAGGGAGGTATTTTACATGGCTGAGTGACATAAACAGAAGTGTGTTAGTATGCATTAGAGGGCAGATTCTGGAGGTAAGAAGATGGTTTTGGAGGCAGTTGGAGTAAGTCCAAGCAAGAGATGTGTTCCTGTTGTATGCTTCCATTTATATGAGATGTGCATAGGCAAATTTAGAAGGTAGATAAATTGGAAAGTAGTTTGGTGGTTGCCAGGAACTGGAGGTAAGGTGTGATAGGGAGTGGCTACTAATAAATAAAGGGTTTTTTTTTGGGGTGATGACAATATCCTATCACAGTAGTGATTATTGTATGTCCTTATATAATATTATATTAAAAACCACTGAATGTATACTTTTAAATAGTGATTTTTTGAAATTTTTGGTTGTACTGGGGTCTGAACCCAGGGTCTTGCACATGCTAGGCAAGTGCTCTACCACTAAGCTACATCCTAGTCTCCCAACCCTTTTTATTTTCTTCTGAGATAGGATCCTGCTCTTGAACTTGTTGTCCTCCTGCTTACCCTCTTGAACAGCTGGAATTACAAAGAGGTGCTGGTATGCTTGTTTAAATGGCGAATTTGATAACATGCAAAGTATATCCCAATTTAAGAAAAGGCAAGGCTAGAAAAAGAGACAGAAAGAGACTATATAGAATGTATGTAGAGTTCCTGAAAAAAGTATGGTTTGAGAGATATTCAGTGATGGAGAATTGGTATCATTTAGAGACCGAATATTGTCAATATTCAAAATGAAATAGTAGCTGGTTCTGAAATTTCTAGTTTTGTGTGATTGAATTGATGGGGAAAGAAATGCTAGAAAAAGATCATTTTGGAGACATATGTAGTGAACTGTTTGAAATATGTTAAATGTGTAAGCAAGGTAAGCCATTAAAGATAATAATCTAGCTGTGAGGAGAGACTTTGGAACTAGAGAGAGAAACAGATGTATAGAAGTTGACTGAAGAGGCCAGTCAAACTTGCTGACATCTTCCAACCCTCCTTTAGAAAGTCATGTTCCTTTTGCTTCGTATCCTCAAATGTGGTATACAAGTTGTTTTTGTTTTGTAAAGCTGAGTTTTATGTTACTTTTCAGGCAGAGGCAAGGCTAGCAGCAAAACGCGCTGCCCGGGCAGAAGCAAGAGATATACGCATGAGAGAACTGGAACGACAACAAAAAGAGGTAATTTGGGGAAATAGAACCATAATTTCATGCTTACCCCCCGCCCCCCCAAAAATCAATACTTGGCCCGTTTAATTCTGATTCCTTTTGAAACACTGGGAATAGTCTAACTTGCTATATGTGTTTTAATAAGCCATTCTGTGTTAATCAATGAAATGTAATATTTGTTTTAAATAATAAATGATTTTGTTTTTTGTGTATGCATTGTTAGAAGTTCTTATAATAAGTGCTTTACTTATGTTCACTAAAGTAGGTGTGGAGATGACAAAACTATTTAGTATACCCCTAAATGTCCTAGTATTTGGATTAATTGTGATATCTGTATAGTAAAACAGTGACAGATCAGTCTTATAATTTTGAGACATATTTAATAATCATTAAAAATATTCATGTAAAAAAATGAAAAGAAAAAGAAAAACAAGTGAAACTGTAAAACTGGTAGGACCCAATTTTGTGTTACAAAAATTAGTACCCATCTATAGGGTCAACCTTCTAGAAAGAATATTGATTACTGTCAACACTTTGGTTTGACTGTGTTGGGAGTTATGATTGATTTTACATACTTTTTTTTCCTAGCTTACAAATTTTTGATACGCTATTATCATCAGAAAAGCAGAAAAAGGCTTATGGAAATTGAACTGACTAAAATGAAATACTTTTTATGCTTTCCTTCTGACATTGACTTGGCCCTAAAAATCCCCATAAAAATATTTTTGATATTGTATTAGTATAAGGGGGAAACACCTGTGGGGAAATATTAAGCACTTTTGTTTTATGTTAGTGGTGGATTTTCTGCTAGTGAGTTAAAAAGAAATTTATGTATTCTATGTTTTATCATAGTTCAAAAACACAAATAGTTGATGTTGCTAATTTTTTTAACCTCATAAAGTTTCCAATATCAAATAGAAATTTTGACTGAAAATGGAAATGTTACAATGTATTGTCTTTTATATTCATAGGATTTTACTAAAATATAAACAGGAGACAGTTATTACATATAAGTTCAATTTATGATCTTCTAAACTTCAGAGAACCATGCATCTTTCTATTATTGAACATATTTAGCTTCGTAGTTTTGTATAGGTGAATGTGTAATTTTTAGTCACCTATCATGTTCTTTAGGGCAAATATGTATGAATAAGAATTTTTTGGTAGTGTTTTGGAAACTGTTCAGTTATGAAACTTTTGCATTTGTAGCACTCTCATCATTCCTTTGACAAGAAATGGGGACAGATTCACAAGTGGCTGGTAGGCTAGAATTGCCTGTCCTGCATGTTGTGATAAGTTGCTGACATAATGCAGTTTTGAAGTAAAACATTGACTAATGGTTTGCAAAGTAGAAGTGTTTGGCCTGTGTGAACCTAAAGGTCATGAAATATCTGTTCTGGCTGAAGTGGACCAAATGTGTACTTGGAATCCAACCATTTTCTGTTGTGATCAGCAACTTCACTTTCGTTTCATGAGTGCCCCTGAAAAAGAAAGATTGAGAAAATGAATGCTTGTTTTCTTCTTATGGGTTTGTCCTTTTCTTCTTCATATCCTTCCTTTCCCCCATCCTCATTAAGAAAACTGAGTCCCTTGGGTCTCCGTGAAGAGATGACATAAGTCATTCTTCCATGTTCCCTGAAAACGATTCTTTTTAGCTCAGCTCTCTCAGCTCCTTTCCAAGTCCTTTACCACAGCTTCCAGGTTTGTTAGCTCTAAAAGCAATTCGTAAATCAGTAAAAGTTATTGTGAATCACTCCTAAATTTGAATGTTTTTCAAAGTTTATTAGTTTTCTGTCTCTTTTTGTAAGGGTTCTGAACTTGGTATGTGACTGAACTTGGGAGGTAGAATATAAAACCTTAAAATCTCATGCAGACTTTTGGAAGTATGTGTAGACATTGAAAGTACGTATAGTTGTTTTTTTTTTTTTTTTTTTTGACAGTGCTGGGGATTGAACTCAGGGGCTTTGAGTGTGTGCTAGGCAAGTACTCTTTTCACTGAATACCCCAAGACCAGAAGTATGTGTATTTTTATGGGAAGTGCTCACAGGTTTTTTTATCATAAGAGAAAGTCTATGACTCCTGCAGGGTTAAAAACCATTGTCTGATTGCTGATAAACAAGCAGCTTCCATAAGCAAATTTCTCCTATAGCAGCATTTTAAGGTATAACCAGAATTAAAATATTTATAATGTAATGACCCTTGAACTTAAACCTTTATCGTAATTCTCATTGAGATATTGTTTTATAAAAGAAAGAAAAAAGATGCTTGGTAACTTTAAATTGCATGATTCCCTATGGATGTGTTTGTTATTTTGGAGTGGAGTTTGTTCCTGATTGTAACTAAAGCTAGCCTAATTAATTAATTTATTTAATGTGCCTTCTGTGGGTTAGTATTATTGTTGATGCATTAAAAATGCTTCATGTAAATAAAACAAATCACTTAATTGCACATTTTCCCAGGAAAATTAGCTTTATTTGTTGTTTAAATTGTGTATTATCATTCCAAAGTTAAATGGCCAAAGCTTTTAATGTTATAGAGCAAACCAAAAAAAAAAAAAATAAAATAAAATAAACAAAAATAGAAAAGCATATATTATTAGAAATCTAATATTTGATTTGTATATTCAAGGACCATGAAAATCTCCCCTAACTTTAATACTTTTTTGTGTGAGACTGATTTGTTGGAACATGAATTAGGGAACAAAAGGACATGGGGCTCAGGGACTCAGCAATGAAGCTAACTTGAGAAACCCCTGTGCATCGATCAGTGTGCTGTATTAGTGCTTTTTACCTAGGTTCCATTTCACATTTTAAGACAGGTAACACTATTTCCATTTTATAGATGAGAAGATAAAGGATTGTTAAAGTAGATAACTTGCTGTATAGTTCTTGGCAGAGTTGGAATTTTCAAGGTAGAGAGTGCCACAGCTGCCAATAGTTTGCAAAGTGACACAACCAGGTGGAGCCTACATTTTCCTGGGCCTCCAGATAATCTTAGTTTAGCCAACTTTCATTGAACCTAATCATTCTGATTTTAAATCTGTTGTCTTTAATCAGTAACATGTTGGTGTATGTCTGGAGGAGTAGATGCAGTTTCTAATGTTTTCCAATTTGAAACTGAAGGAGTGACTCTAGCCTGAACTTAGAAAATTTAATTTGTTGATAGAGAAGATAGTCAAGGGGGCCGTGGTTTTCTTTCTTTTTTTGGGGGGCAGGGGGAGGGTACAAGGGATTGAACTCAGGGGCACTCAACTGCTGAGCCACATCACCAGCCCTATTTTGTATTTTATTTAGAGCCTGGGTCTCACTGAGTTGCTTAGCACCTTGCTTTTGCCGAGGCTGGCTTTGAACTTATGATCCTCCTTCCTGAGCCTCCCAAGCCACTGGGATTATAGTTGTGTGCCATCATGGCCTGGTTTGTGGTTTTCTTTTAATGAAACCATTTCATACTCACTTCAAGTGAACTTTTCCAAAACATAGTATGTTTTATTTTTATAAGTTGAATTTAAATTTATTAAAACATTATTTACCAGATCGTTTGGAACAAATATACATCCATCTTTTACAACATCATTCTATTAACTCAGGTTTCTTTAATCATAAGGAGGATTCCTGGAGTAATGACAATGTGTGTTGCTTTCCTTGACTATGCAAGAAAGGGATACTCTGCCTTGTAATTCGTTCCTAAAAACAGGGTTTACTGTAATTTATATTTGGCCAGTGGTGCTGTTAATTCAAGAAAAGCCATTGGCAGTTAAATCCTACTCTAGAAATACCTGGGAGATGAAGCTTTTTGTTCTTCCAGAGAAGGAGGAGTCTTGAGTAAAAACCAGAATACCTTACCACCACCACCTGGCTCCTTGTAATTAATGAAGAATTAGCTAGTGTAGGATGGTATCTTTAAGATTCAGTGGTCTGGTGAGCCTGAGGATCTGTATGCCTGTCCCAGGTTTATGACTTTGCAGATACTTACTTAATCTTTCTTTTTGTTTTTTAAATATATTTCTTTTTAGTTGTTGATAGATCTTTATTTTATTTATTTATATGCAGTACTGAGACTCAAACCCAATGTCTCACACACGCCAGGCAAGTGTGCTTCTGCTGAGCCACAGCTCCAGCCCTCTTACTTAATCTTTCTGTGGTATAACTTTCCTTCCTGTAAAATGAAGGGATCAGACTAGGTGGTCTCTAAGGACCCTTTGAACTCTTAAACATAATTATAGAGTTGTTACTAGAGTCTTTTATACAAGGGTTTCCTTCTGTTTGCTACTATGCAAAAGTTTTCAAAGTATGAGGAGTAATTAAAATTTTCCCGCGTGCTTTCTTTGCCTAATATAAGAGAGGTGATACTTGGCAGACTCTTGGTAGATTCTTGGTAGACTCTGGGTAGAACATGTGTTTTGAATGTTTTTGGTATAATAAGTTTCTTTGAGCTTGCCTTACTATTTTACCTGAACATTTATTTTTTAGTTAGGTTTAGAGAAGTTCTTCTGTTCAGTGTGGTAGCCACTAGTCATGTGTAGGTGTTAAATTTCAATTTAAATTGACCAAAAATAAGTACAACTTAAAATTTAGTTTCAAGTGCTCAGTAGACACATGTGGCTACTAGCTATCATGTAATGAGAGCACAAATAAAGAACACTTTCATTCTCTCAGAAAGGGCTGTTGGATAGTGCTTATTTAAGGTATAGTTTATGATTATGGGAATAAACTGTATTCTCTCTTCAAATTGCCTGGCCTATATGGGAGTTATGTTTTCTTTTCAGTCTTCTGATGTCTCTTTAAGCAAGGCTTTCAAATGGAGCTAAATGAAAAGCTGTTCATTTTTTTTTTTTTGTGTATGGTGCTGGGATTGGATCTGGGGCCTGGTGCTTGCTTGCTAGGCAAGTATTCTATTGCTGAGCCACACCCCCAGCCCAAAAACTGTTTAAATATAGAGGTATATCTGAACTTCATAAGGTATTTAAATTAATTTAGAATTATAATAATAATTGAAAATAAATATGAATTCAACTGTCTTTGCTGCATCTTTGATGGAATATGCTTTTTTAGATTTTTTTAAACAAATACTCCTATGTGGTTGGTACAGTGAGAAGTAAGGCTAACATAAAGTGAAGCTTGAACATTAAACCTTGAATATTACTCTAATACCCAAAATAACATTGAGAGGTGCATGTAGAATTAATTTCGCTGAGAGGAGCATGTAGAATAAATTTGCCTCCTGGTTGGTTAAACTAACCAAGTTAACCAGACTGGCATTGGTTATTGTTTAAGCTGTATACCCTGCCAGGCTAATGCATATACTCCCAAAACTTTTGTGGTGTAACTGGATAAAGAAAATGAAGAAATATGCTTGGTTCCTGTATGTGACTGTTATATAGCAGAAAATGTGAATCTAAACGATCAGAACACCCAATTGGAAATTGAAACATTGAATCATAATGGTGCTTATCAATACATGTCAGAGCAAATTTGATCAATTTGGCAATGTACATAGCAGATGTCAACCAGGATATTTTTGGAATTATACTCAAAGATCATGACCAAAAAGAGATAATATACTATTATGTTTTGGTTGAATTACTGTTTCTATTTTGAAATGAATAGTCATATATACCCCCATGTATTTGTTCTACTTATGAAATGATCATGCTGGATTGCCATGAGGTGTTGTGGCATTGATTGTTTTTGGAAAAGATATTGTGAATATTGACAGAAGTGAATCTACTTAAGACATTTTGTGTAGACTTTTAGTATAAATTACTTTAATACTTTGACTTTGAAATTATGAAATATCAGAAATTCCTTTTGGTTTTAGGTGACAATGTTCTTAGGGCTAGCCATTTGATTTCACATGTGTCAGGCTTTAGTGCTCCATTGCTAATAACAGAATATGGAAAAATTTAGAATTATATATGCTTTAGTCAACTAATGTTAAGCTATAGTCAATCTTTATAAACCACATCAGGTATGACTCTTGATAATTTAATCAACTTTAAAATATGTGATGTTTTTCTAAGCATAAGTAGTTTTTTTTTTCTTTTACTTTGTTTTTGTTTTTATTTTTTGGTACTAGGGTTTGAAGCCTCTACCACTGAGCTATATCCCCAGCCCATTTTTATATTTGGGTTAGAGTCTTACTAAGTTCCCAAGGCTGGCTTCAAACTTGTGGTACTTCTATCTTAGCCTCCTTAATCACTGGGACTATAGGTGTGTGCCATCACACCCCGCTAAACATCTATTTTTAATGCTGAGCTCAACATCTGTTTGTTAAGTATAACTGTGTATATTTATCTTGGTGTCTTGAGCTCTTTTGGTCAGATGTAGAAAGTACCTTACATGTGGTTAGTTGTACATACATATGATAAAAATTGCCAACATTATTTCTGCTTTCTAACCAAAGCATGCAATTGCCACAAACTCAGCTTTTAAAGTGAAGTTGTCCAAACCTGCCTGCGCTAAGATGTTGTACTGTTAATTTACTGATTTTTGCTCCATTTTTCTGATAAACACCTGTCTGTTCATTGAATAACCTTCCATGTACTTTCTCCTTTCCCAGGAAGATTCCGAAAGGGCCAGGTATTCTCACCGGTCCAGTCATCACCGTTCTTATCTGGTTTGTAATAACATATAAACTTGTCCCTAATGCTTTTCTTCATTAATTTAATGTAGTCACTCACAAGTTTGTACTGTTTATTTTTATTTTTATCAGGGAGTTGAGGATACATTGTCCTTCCGAAGTCCTGGCAGTCACAGGGTTGGTATTTTAAGTTGTTTACATACCATAGTAGCAAAGCTTTTATATGTGAGCTTGCTTCAGAATCAGTGGTTATATAAACAATCAGATAGTGTTCATATATTCTTTTTCCTTTTTTTTTTTTTAAAGTGGAAATATTGTCAAAGTTATTTCACTGGAAAAAAAAGATGCTTTCTCTCAAATTATTGCTATAAGTAAATCATTTTTAAAATCTTGAATATTTTCATCTATTAACATATCTATTCTATTTTTCTATACAAGGCCCTTTGATTTCAGAAAATTATCACAAAATAATAAGATTGATTTTATAGAATAATATCTGCTTGGGTATGACTTTTAGATTTCTCCTACTTTCATATTTTCTTCTTTTTTTTTTTTTTTTTCTGAATCGGGGGGTTGAATCCAGGGGGCACTCGACCACTGAGCCATATCCCAGCCCTAATTTATATTTTATTTAGAGACAGGGTCTCAAAGAGTTGCTTAGCCCCTCACTTTTTGCTGAGGCTGGCTTTGAACTCATAATCCTCCTGCCTCAGCCTCCCCAACTTCGAGATTTCAGGCATGTGCCACTGCGCATGGCCTACTTTCATATTTTAAAAAGTGACGGTTTATTAAATGGGAAGTAGCTTTGAGGCTTGGGTGGCTAATTACAATTTTATTACATGGAAAATTTGAGCTGTTGATTTAAAAAATTCTTTGCTTTTCATATGTATAGGAATTATGCTTTGACATTTTGATTAATAGTTTATAGAATGTTCTGGTGTTTTAGCATAAGTTATTAAAAATCAAAAGAAATGAGAATTTGCTCCTTAAATACTTGCATATTGTGCTTAAACACTCATCTCTCTTTTCTTAGGGAATTATGCTTTATAGTAAATCAATGCTTTTAATTTTTACAGTGGTAATGCCATATATAATATATTTTTTTACATATAGATTTTTCATTAGTAAAATGATTTTTTCTCATTACTTTCCCCCAACTCTTAATTTTTCTTCCTATTTTTTTATAATGTGTGATAATGATAAGTGTGTTCTGACATGTTAGTTATTGACATCTTTGTACTCATAAATAGTTTATCATGCTGGTTGTTTTTGTTTATGAATGTAATCTTTTTCTTTTTAGAGTAAGTGCATAGGCTAATTTTTGAATCATGAATATTTTGGTTAGTTACATATTTTTTAGAATTTTAAGAATATTAACAAATCTTCAAGAAAGTCCAAGATAATCAGTGGCTTAAAGTGGTTTTTCAAGGCTGGGTGTGGTGGTGCATGCCTGTAATCCCAGCGGCTTGGGAGGCTAAGGTAGGAGAATCTCAAGTTCGAAGCCAGCCATAGCAACTTAGTGAGGTGCTAAGCAACTCAATTAGGCCCTGTCTCTAAATAAAATACAAAATAGGGCCGGGAATGTGGCTCAGTGGTAGAGTGCCGCTGGGTTCAATCCCTAGTCCAAAAAAAAGTGGATTGTTTTTCAGAAAGAAAATGCTTTCTTAATGCTTTCCTCAGGAGATACTTTTTTTTTAAAATACTTTGAAAAGAATCATGTAGTGAGTTAACAAACGCTTCAAAGTTGAATGTCAGGGGCTATGAAAATAATCCCCCCCTTTTTAAAATGTAGGTATTTTTAGTTGTATATGGACACAACACCTTTATTTTCTTTTTGTGTGGTGCTGAGGATCGAACCCGGTGCCTCATGCATGCTAGGCGAGTGCTCTACCGCTGAGCCGCAACCTAAGCCCCCACTCCTTGTTTTTAATGTATAACTTTTTACTTTGTTTTCTATTATATTCATAGTGTGATTTTTCACATATTTGGTATCAGGCTTTTTCTTTGTAAATTTGTATGACATTAGGGAAACTTGATTATGTTAGTATAACTTAAATGGCAAAATCTACCAAGTTTGACTTAAATAAACAAATAACAAATAAACAAAAAAGAAATCTACCATTAAGCTTCTAGGGTGGTATTTACCTAGAGTGTCTGTAGACTAATGAAGTTGATTTTGTGTGTGTGTGTGTGTAAATTGTATTAGTAAACAAATGTAAGGATAATTTTAACTTACCAGTTTTTGTGGTACTAAGGATTAAACCCTGAAGTGCTTTACCACTGAGTCACACCCACAACCCTTATTATTTTTAATTTTGAGACAGGGTCTTAATGAGTTACTGAGGTTCTTGCTAAATTGTTAAGGCTGGCCTCAAACTTGTGCCTGCCTCAACCTACAGAATTGCTAGGATTATAGGTGTGCCATTGTTCCGGGTCAGTTTTTTCCCCCACCATAATAATTAATGAAAATCTGTTACTATGGGATAAAGTTCTCAATATTTAAAAAAAAAAAAAATCAATGTGTGAACTTGAAGAGTAATAGAAGTTTTACACCCTAGAGGAGACTATGGTACTCTGTTATCTCTAAGGGTATACATTAAACACACTGGAGATATGTGGACATTCCCAGAAATAAGTCAGAATGCTCACTCATTATATTGTTTAAAAGAAATACAATTGAGTTTTTTCCTGTTTTAACTAGATAATATTGGGAGTTCTAAGTTTTCGTAAGATTGTTTGCTTTTTCGGGGGACAGGGTGCTGGGTGTGGATTGAACATGTTAAACATACATTCTACCACTGAGCTACACCTTTAGTCTCTGGTTATTTGCTTTTTAAAATAGCTATCTGCTAAGCTGAATATGTTAGACAACTTTTGTCCTCTGTGTAAATAAATGTAATAAATGATGGCCAGAATTTTCTTCTGCTTTACCATATAATTTTTTAAAATATTTTTTTTAGTTGTAGATGAACACAATATCTTTATTTATTTATTTTTATGTGGTGCTGAGGATCGAACCCAGTGCTGCACATATGCGAGGCAAGCACTCTGCCACTGAGCCACAACTCTAGCCCTCTGCCCCTTATTTTTTTAAAAAAACTTTACTTACAAGCTATGTATTAGGAGGTCTAATACTTTTTTGAACCTCATATTTGGTGTGAGAACCTTAATAGGATCTGGATGTGAGGCAGCTGCATTTATGATTTTATCCTTTTGTTCAGTTACCTCGCAGATATTACCCTTTTGAAAGGTGACTTGCCAGAAGCTATTTGAGCTCGAAATGTTGGTGTTAATGTTATAGATTTAGTATTTTAAAAAAAGCAAAATTAGTTCAAGACTGAATGGTAGGGCTAGGGGAGGGAGAATAAATCAAAACCTCAATTTATTATTGAGACAATCTGTATCTATTAGTTATGTGTAATGATGAGATCATTAGCAGTGTGGAATATTAAAGGCTGCCTTAAAATTAATCTTAAAAATGCTTGGTTATGATCAGCTCAGTGGTGCATGCCTGTAATCTCAGCAACTCAGGAGGCTGAGGTAGCTGGATCACAAGTTTGAAGCCAGCTTCTACAACTTAGACCTTGTTTCCAAATTAAAAATTAAAAAGGCTGGAGATACAGTTAAGTGTTCAAGTATCCTTGAGTTCAGTTCCAGTATTGAAGATGGGGTAGAAATGCTTGGTTATTGGTTTGTGTATTGAAATACTAGAGGGCAATAAGGTAGAGATCCAAAATTAGAAAATGATATGATCTTGAATTACACTGGGAGGAATAATTGCCATTTCTCCTGGGTAAAGATTTTTACTTTTAGTTTCTATTTATATGTTAATAGCCTTGATATAATTTCAATGAATTTAGTTTTTAAAATATCCTTATAATTTATTTTTTGTCATTTACTGCTATACTGTCTAATATTACTAAAGAACCCATCAAAGGATATTACTGGGACACTTTGGAGCAGAACCAGTACACTGAAGAGGAGAGACATCATGGTGTGTAATCCAGAAATGTGTGGTGATAGAGTTCTGTACATTCATTGATTTTCAGTGTCCTGGGGTTTGAGTAATAGGTGCATTCTGATAAAAACTGACACTTGCTGAACTTTGTTTCTACAACCTTTTGCTCTACTTTATTTTGTTTCCATGTGAAAATTTTCAGGCAGGTTTCTCTTGAAAGTTGGAGGTTTTTTTTTTTTTCCTCTTTTAAATAGATTGTAATAGCAAATTTGGAAATGTTTTAGCTAGCACCCTTAATATCCCCAATTTTCCTTCCTTTGATACATCATTTGTTTTTAAGCAACATAAATAGCAACTTTCACTTATTAAGCAAAACTCTTTTCGTTTGCCCAGTTGTTCTGGTGGCAGTTATGATGTATACCCGTACCAGATAGACTGAGCAGTTTTAAAACCAGCCGAACTTTTGCATTATATTTTGGAGAAAGAATTATAACAGATAAATTTTTCAGTTCAGTTTGTTAAAAATCTATTCCTATGCAAAATGCAATTGGTACAACAAAGAGTATAAGAAGATATGTTCTTTCTCTTCGCTGAATTTATCTTATTGATGAGATAGAATCATTTATATGTTAGAGGTGTGACTTGAGTAATATGTTTTTTGAGCCATGGATTTTTTTTTTAAACTAAAGGTATTTTAGTTATACTAAAGGTATATCTTTTTAACTTAAGATATTTTAATTGAGAAAAAAAAGTAAATGAAACTTCTGTAGAAAAGGAACTTTATTTTCTGAGAAACATCTCTCACCATGAAGTCATATTTTACCATTGTACATCATTTACCAAATGCACACCTGTATGCATTTTAGAAAATTTTGTTACATATGCAACAATAACACTCCTTATTGTTTGCTTTTCTGCAAGAAAAAGAAAAAGCACACACATGTAGAAATTTGCTCAAGTATTTTTTGATATAGCAATAACATTTTTAATAATTTTAAACCAATGGTAAAATTGTTCTCCTAACCTAATACTTTATGAATTGCATTTTTTGATGTTTCTGCCATCTGCGTTGTAAATGACCAATTTATCATGCACGAAGGGCGTGACTTTGTTCTGTTCATACTATTATATTAATGCTATATAAGAAGTAGATTGTATAGTCTGGTCTTCTAATATATTTTAAGCTTTTTAGAATTGCGGCCGTTATAATAAGAAATATTTTTTATATCATGATCTAGTATATAATGCAGATCCCTGGATGTGTGTATATGAATATACAAATATATGAAAAATATTATTGAAACAAAAGTTTCACAAAATAATGTTAACTTTTAATGTGCTCAATGCTTTCTAATATTTTATCTTCTAAAATGGTAGTTGAAACCACTAAATTGATTTCATGACTGGCTTGTAACCTGTAATTAGGAAAACATTACTTTAGATCAGATTTTTGATTAGCATTCTATAAAATCCTAAATGGATGTAAGAGTCATAAAGGTTTTTTTTTTTTTTTTAACCAAACAATTAGTGTTTAAAATAATTGAAGAACTTGTTCATTGCTGTTATTTATTTTATACATTGACGTGCTGGGTAAGATGACTTTAAACATGTAAGCTAGAAGGCTTAAAAAATGTTAGGAAACCACCATTTTGTGTAGTTACTATTTACTTCATTTTCTTGGATTTGAAATTTTGGTATCACACATACTATCTTATTTTTATATTTGTGGTTTTTATTTTTTTTAAACATTTATTTATTTATTTTGTGTAGTGCTGAGGATTGAACCCAGTGTTTTGCGTGTAGTTTGGCAAGCACTCTACCATTAAGTTACTTCCTCAACCCTTACTTTTTTAAAGGACCCTAGATTAATTGTGGATTTTGTGGTTTTTATCATGAATTTTGTATATTTTCTTTGATTTATATTTAATGTCACATTTGTATTGTATTCTGTGCATTCCATATTTTGCTATGACCAAGTTTCTCATATTGTTTAGCATTTTCTTGAGGAAATAAGTTTATCAGGTGTGTGTTTAGAGTAGATCCAAGGGAATGCTCTGCATTTTGTTGCTGCAGTGGTTCTTTTGTAAGCCTGGTCTTGCCTCATTGCCTGTTCATTCCCTGCTTTTGCCATTTTTCAAATAGTGGGAAGTGATAGTAATAGTCATGTAACTAAAAGTATCATTGACTTCAGTATATGTAATCCTTACTTTTGAAGGCTCCCTTAGGTTTTGTGTTATAATATACTGAGATTGAATCATCTCACCATTACTGATTATGAATTTGATATTTGAAAGAAAAATAAATTGTTTCTTTTTGATAGTTTTTAAGAGGTGGGGATTTTAAGATATTTGCTCTATTGCCCAGGCTGGCCTTGAACTCCTGGGCGTAAGCATTCCTTTATCGTAAGCATTCCTTTATTGAGCCTCCTGCATAGCTGGGCCTATAAATGTGATCCACTATGCCCATCTTTGAACATACATTTGTAATTACACATACAGTTCAGCAATAACTTATACTAGGAACGATTAAGGGGAAGAAAATTCTTTAATTCAAATGTAATAGCTTTTGTATTTGATGATTTTTTTTTTTTGTCTTTAAAATAATGCTGGAATTTAACCTGCAAATGTTACTTTTCCCCCATCTTCTTTTTTATATTCTTTACTTTGGAAATACAACCATTCTTTCATCTTTTCCTGAAATCAAGTATGATACTCTCAAGGATAGATCATCAAGACTTTCATCATTAGTATGTAGTGCATGACTTTGTGTTAAGTGTGGAGTTTTGCTTCATAAATACCAATTATTAGTAAGCATAGATTGACTAACTTTCATGGTTTTCTTATGATTTTCTGGGGAAAATGTGTGATTAACAAGCAAAAATTATTGTAATGGTGGCATAATTTATTATGTAAATAGTAATTTTTTTCTTTAGAATTTCTAGTATATATAAAAATGTTTTGATTCCCTATTCAAGATTAAGATTGGTAGTAATATTATTTCTTAAAATAGTGAACCACTCCCTTAATAACACTCATTGTCCTGGAGGACATGTTTCTAACAGTGTTTGATTCACATTCTGCTCCCCAGGCCTGTTTCATGTTATGTGTCACAAGCTAGCGGGCATGAGGTTGGTGAATAGAAAGTATCCAACAGTGATAGATGATGTTTTAGGCATTAATGATGTTCAGGCATTTTGGCTTGATTTGGTAATGTCATATTAGTTAAGTAGTTAAGCTATAGATTGTTTTCCTGGGGTTAATATTAGGTAAGCAGGTTGCTCGAGTTTCTAGATTACCTAGACATCTCTTAAAATAGTCACACTAATGTATAGAAGGAAAGGTGCATGTTCAATAATGAAAGAAAACTGGGTTTATAATTATTGATTCAGGATCTAGCTGTGCATGTCAAATAGTTTTTCTAGAGCAGTCTGTTGTTGACTTTTTTAATTTTAATTTTTTAATATATATTTTTTAGTAGTTGGACACAATATCTTCATTTTTTTTATTTGCTATTTATAGTTATATAGTTGTTGGCTGTTGATAGATAAACACACTTTACATACCTATATATTTATATATATTTATTTTATGTGTATATTTATATATGTACATTTATATATGTATATGTATCTCTCTCTATATACACACACATATACATTTTTTTTAAGGCACTGGGACTTGAACTCAGGAGTGCTCTACCACTGAACTACATCCCCAGACTTTTTAATTTATTTTATTTTTAGATAGTCTGGCCCAGGCTGACCTTGAAATTGTAATCCCCTGCCTTAGTAGCCTCCTGAGTTGCTGGGATTATGGGCATACACCACTGTGCCTGGCTCCCTGTATTGGATTTCTTTGTCTGCCAGTAGACTTCTTAGTATTCCCCTCTCTACACTTGGCTCTATGCTTCTTGGAGAAGTTATATATTAAAACAGCCTTCATTTCTGAGGATCCTTGTATAATGTGATCATTTAGTAATGCTGCTGCTACTTGGGGCAGTCTGTACCATTTTGGCTTTATTCCTCCTGAGCAGTACATGCTGTAGGACCACTAACTGAGTTAATGAGTATTGTCCTGGGCAGTGAAATGTTACATTGTTTGTTTTTCAATTTGATTTGGTTTATATAAAGGATTGCTTTTGGCTTTAGGAAAGAGGACTATAGAAGGAGTTGGAGTCTTTTGTTATCTATACTTTTATAAAGAAAATGAAGGGACTCAATTGAGATGTGGGGTAAAGGTACCCACCATCATCCTGACTAGCTCTAAGCCCTAATCAAGTTTTTTTATAGCTGACTAGACACTAAGCTGGATGCTGGAAAGTGAGGGTGGATGTAGATGTGTAGAGAGGCCAGGTATCTTAGCCATGCCAAGTGCAATGAATCATTTATTAATGGATGGGAAATGGATTGCATGAATACTACTACTATGTATCTCATATAATTTTAAGACAAATTTTTAAAAATTGTTTAAAAAACTTGACTATGTGATCATTGACATTAACTTAAAATATTTACTTCCAGAATCATTCTTACAGTCACTCTTATGGAACGAAGAAGCGATCTTCTCATTTTCATAAAGACCCACTGGTTAGTTCTGTTGTGTCACATATCATAATTTACTGATTACTTTAAGTAAGAATTATGACTGCTTTGGTGTTTTTGGTTTTGTTTTGGTATGCCCTTAAGGCATAATTGGAACTTGAAAATATGCTGAAAGATGAGTTACCAGAAACTTTTGAAGTGATTTTGTTTTTACTTGTAAGATTTAATATTGGATTAGCATATGCCAACCTTTGGGGCTAGAATTAGGTTAGTAAGGTATCACAAGAAGCTAATGAATGAGGTGTTTTCATTTATGAATTATCTTTTGAAGTATACCTCAAGAATAGTGAGGTTTTTCATCCTTATTTTAGAACTTATAATTGATTTGATTATGGAATTATGGTAGGTTTCATTTTGAAAATTTGTTTTGTTTTGAAACTTGGAATGAGTTTTCTGGTGGAAACAATAAAGTATGTAATGACAGTTTCCCTAGTTCACAGAAAACTTCTTAACCTGTAATGTAACTAAGCTGCAAACTACCTTTTTTTCCATGCTAGCCACCTTTGCTAAATATCTAGTTTAGTGGGGAATCATCTTTAGAATGCCCACCTGAGACACTAGGAATGCCTTTTTCCTGTTTTGCTGATGTTGTACTGGTAAAAGAAGCACAGTTCCCAAGCTCCCTGCTATTTTAGGGTTACCGTGGGGAGGTGGGTGGCTGGCTTTGTCTAGTGGGAGTGAGAATGTAATGGATGAGAGATTTAAGAGAGGCCTTGGATGGTTGGGTATTGGGAGCTCTGGGGAAAGGTGAGCGATGGCACTTCCTTGGGGGGTGTGAGTTGGGAGTGGTGCAGGAAAGCCTGGGCAGGAGGGGTAGGGTTTGGGTAAGAGTAGGGATATCCCTGATTGCAGTGTCAACAGTAGAGAGGGAAGTCGTTTAAGTCAGAGATTGCATATATTTTCTTAACCTTGAGTAAAAAAGATGACTAGAGGAAATTTTATAGATGATTTCTCAAGTAACTGTGTTGTATAAAACTATTGTATAGTGTATTAAAAATGAATTTGCCATTGATGTTTTAGGCCAAACCATATTGCACTCTCTTTCTTGTAATTTAATTTGATCAATTTATTTTGACAAATAATGGGATGAGGAAAAGTTTGGAACCAAATAACTCTTTAATCATTTCTGTGGCTTTGCCAAATGGATTATAAAAGTGGTAATTATTCAGTTGTCCTAGGTTTTCAAGGACATTCTTAAGTATGACATGAGAATAAATCGCTTATTTTTATTTCATTTTTTTCGGAGGTAGTTCTTGTTTTTTAAAGTAATAAAAATTAGTAATGGGGCTGGGGGTGTGGCTCAAGCAGTAGCGTGCTCGCCTGGCATGCGTGCGGCCCGGGTTCAATCCTCAGCACCACATACAAAGATGTTATGTCCACCGAAAACTAAAAAATAAATATTAAAAAAATTCTCTCTCTCTCTCAAAAAAAATTAGTAATGACTTAGTTTGAAAATAGTTATGTTTTAATACCAATCTCTTTTTTTTATATATTGTTTTACATGTTGATGGACCTTTATTTTATTCATTTATTTGTATGCAGTGCTGAGTATTGAACCCAATGCCTACACATGCTGGGCAAATGCTCTACCACTGAGTCACAACCCCAGCCCTAATACCAATCTCTTTTGAGAGACTTGAAATAATTATTGCTTTGACTTTTTTTAGCATGATCCAATGCTTTAAAGACATTGTTTTGGAGAAGGAAGTTGGCAATGTCAGGTTTTGCCCCTGTGTGTTGTTTGGTCAACAGCATTTAATCTAAGAAAAATGTGTTTCATTTTGCTTTTTTCAGAGTGGCCTCTACTTTGATCAGAGAAACTATAGCAGTCTTAGACATAGCAAACCCACCTCTGCTTACTACACTCGGGTCTGTCTAAAGTTTTTTGGCTTCTTGTGTTTTATCCACTTTTAACTTTCTAATTCCTCATTTGCATTTTGACTAGTTGTAACTAATATGGGAATGACTGTGTTTGAATCCATTTTTGGTAACTGACTTCATGTAGTCCATGTGAGTGTGCTTTCAAACAGTGGGGACTATTGAATCACCCTGTTTATAAATCAGTTCCATTCCCCCCCCCAAAAAAAAATTTAAGTGAAAATTTTAAATGTACCAAAAGTTCAAAGAATTATATAGTAAACATCCCATACCTGTCACTTAGATTATAAAATTTATTATATTTCCTTTATCACATAATTATTTATTTCTCCATTCCTGTATCCATCCATTGATTCATCTTATTTTTTGAAGCATTTCAAAATAAGTTGTAGGCATCAATGTGCTTCACAATGGGTGCCCTTTTAGTAAAGTTTGCATGTGAAAGAATAAATTACACGAGATGAGAAGAATGTAATTAGGTTTCCAGTGTTGAATCTTGTTTTTCCCAATGTATTTAACAGATCACACATTTGAAACACGTTAAATATATGACACACAGTACATTGAAAATAATTCAGGGCTGAGGGTCTAGTTCAGTGGTAGAGAGCTTGCTTAGTGTATGCAAGTCAGTACTGGAAAAAGAATAATTTATAAACCTGCATACAAAACTTCATTGGTTTTGGTGAAAAGAACTGAGAACTTGTATCCTCAGATGACATCAGAAAAGAGAGATTTAGTTCCTTTAAAAAAAAATATTGTGCCCTTGTAGTGCATGGATTCATTGTGACTGGTATAATTTATAGCTGATTAAACTAAGGCACTTTGTCCACAGCATGTTTTGAAATATAGGTTCTCTAATGTATTTGAAAAAGAATGTGTGTAGTGATAACTCAAAACTCATTTATCTGCTTCCTTGCAAAACAGCCTAAGCCCATTAGGAGTCTTGTTATGAAATCACTGAAAATATCACAGGAGCTGCTAATGACCGGATGTGGTTACCACTTGCAGTGCTCTCTGTTTCTCAGTGGTTCCTTAGATTCCTATCTCATATCCTAACAATAGTGTTTAAAGGACATAGACACATTTATAAAAGACTGGTCCAAGTGTTTTTCTTTCTTATCATTTACAGTGGTGTTCAAGAAGATTTCTAAGGACTAAAGTTTTTTTAATTCATGTGTTCCTAAACTACCCTAACCACTCAGGAATCACTAATGAATTATGGAGTATAAAATCATAAACTGAAATCTTTTGCTTTCATAATGGTGGGACCAGTTTGTTTTTGTTTTTGTTTATCTATTTTGTCTTTCTTTCTCAACAGTCTTCTTCCCTATGCAGTGACCCTCTGGCAACATCTAAGAGTCACAGGGTTAGTACTATTGGGGGAGTGTGTTACCTGCAAGTTACCAGTAGCTTTTCTTTAGGTTTAATAATGCACTTTTTTCATAGGCCTCCCCTACTGCAAATTCTGGTCTGCTGAGAAGTGCCAGCCTGGTTGGTATTTTCTTATTCCAGTGTGTGCAGTGCTGGTGGGGCAGCTGGCATGGGCTAACTCTGTGGCTTGATAGCCTTCCTCCAAAATAGTCAAGAACACATGGCTTTAATGACATGTGTACTGCATAATGTGCTGCCTGTGTTTAAAGTACAAAACTGTAGGGCATTAAAAATAAGCATATTCCCTTCTCAGAGGTAGGTACTGCTGATAGTTGGTAGTCTTTTTTAGAATCCACTTTCTACTGAGAAGATAGATTTGCATGGGTTCCATGTACTCACAGTGTGAGATGGCTGCCTATGAAAGGGATGTCATATTTTAGTTTGAACAGCTACAACCTTTGCCATATTAATCTAGGATCTGATAAAGCAAGCTGGCTAGAAAAACAAAAGCAGTAGCTCTCTGTAATATGTGAATTGTTGGTTGGTGGCTTTTAAGCTGTGGTTTGTTGTGTCATGGCCTATGCTAGTGGACTGGGAAAACTTAATTTTATTGTGATAGTGGGCAAAATGTTCTCTGTACTTCATTTCCCTTTTCTGCTCTATTTCCTCTTTAGAGAGAATAAATAACTAAATATTGGTTCTTCTAGTTTTATTACATGATGATGAAAGAAAATGCTAAAGTCAGTGTTTTTTTTTTTTAATGAAGTACGAATTTAAAGTTATGATGAGATTGTTGTGTGTATATCAATGAATGTTTTGGTAGCCTTTAGTCTTTACTTGGGAAAGTTATACCCTTATGTCATTTTTAAAAACTTTTTTGGGAACTGAGTACTCAAAAAAAAAAAAGTTAAGACATTTTCAAAATAACTTTGATGTACAATAGATAAATGGTATTTCTTTTGTTCTTTAGGCATCATTCTACGATGGTGGATTATATAACCCTTATAGTTCTCGAACTGTAAGTCTAAATGGGGAAGTCGTGAAGAGCAGGGAGATGTAGGAGGGTACTATTGACTTACAAAGAAAAAATCACTCAATCTGACCTGTAATTACTTAACAAGCTGTGAACACTCACTCAGTTAGCCAGTCTTGAATCTCACCCACGCTGTGAGAAGGTGCCTGCTAGCAGTCATGACTTGAAATATGAGAGAAATAAGTAGGGAAACCTCTTTTCTTGCTCATTAATTCTTCCTGAAGTTCTGAGCAGCACTTCTCAGGGCATCCCCTTTCTCTCCTCTCTCTCTTTCTATGGGCTGTTTGTTTCAGACCGGAGAGTAATAGTTACCTTTTGCCTTGGGGATCATGGTCAAGTTAGGTCTAGGGCCATTAATGTATTCTCAGCAGAAATAGGACCTGATCATTATTATAAAACCTTTCTTCTTGGAAACTTTATAGCCATCTGAATACAGTTCTTACTCATCAAGAACAAGTTCAGCCCGAAGCAGTCCTGTGGTGAGCTGTCTAGTTTCTTTGCATGTTTTATAGAAACTTTTGGTTGTTTCGTTAACCTGCATTCACAGTTTAGAATATTAAGAATGTGGTGTGTTTCACTGCTTTGAGCATGGATTATGATGCTCCCTCACTGCACAAAATGAAGCACTAATTTCTCCTTAGCACATAATTTCTCAAGTGAGTCTTGAATCATGGTCATTAAGAAAATTTTAAGATTGTGTATTTCTCATTTCTGTGAAACTTCTTATCTTCTAAGTGGGGATAATTCAGTGTTTGGTTGGTTACCTTTTGTTTTTCATTTCTATCTGAACTTCTGTCTTGTGCCATTTCACTTGCTCACCAGCACTTTTGTAAGTAGAGGGGAAGGAAAAGAAATAAAACAAGCCAATATATATATATATATATATATATATATATATATATATATATATAATTTTTCATATATTTATGGAAAATAAAACTGGAATAAATCTAGTTACCTAGTCTTTGTGGAATATCAGACTTTACAAAAATAATATCAGTTAAGGAAAGTCTGAAGTAAAATTCCCCAGGTCCTTTCCTCCCCATTTCCAATACCCAAAAGGAGCCTCTGTTTTTATAATACCTTTCAGGATATTTTCTGCACATATGAGTGCTTTTTATTTTGAACACAAATAGATTCCTATATACCACATACTGCTCCTTGACGTTTTCTCTAAAGTATCTTTGTATATCAGAACATAGAGATTTATTTCACTCTTTTTTTGACTTTAAATTTTTTTTAACAAGTAAGCCATGTCCCTTACTTGTTTCACTTAATGCCTCTTAGAGATAGTTTCATATTAGCATATTATTTTTAATGGCAGTTTTATTCCATTAATGCATAGGTATACATTTTAAAAATCATTCCCTATTCATAGGCAATTAAGGTTGTCAGATTTTTGCTCCTATAACAGTTTTATAATGAACTATATATATACTTATCTATGTGTATTATTGTGGACTTCTGTGTTCACTATATATAGTACATGTAAATAAATGTGCTATGTACACTTTATATAATACATGTAAATAAATGTGCTATCTATAAATATACATTTATCCATTTATATTATTAAGTACTTCTATGAATGGATCTTCAAGGTAATCTGCACATCATGAAATAATAGGATTAAAGAGTATATGCTTTTAATTATGATGCATATTACCATATCGTCAATAAAAGGCTATATTCATTCACATTCCCAAAGGTAAATGATGACTTTAGAATCTACCTTATTATTCTCAATAATGTCAAAACTGGGGAAATTATTTAATCAGTTTATTATCAAAGATTTACTTTGTGGAATGGAATAGATGAGCTCTGTGGGCTTTCTTTTAAAATTATCTTTGGTTCATTTCTGCCATGTCCAAGTGGCAGTTCTCAAAAATGCCATTCCTATATTTATAAAAAATTATACATAGATGTTTAAGGATATAAAGACTTTTCACATAAGGAGGAAGTTTATTTTTAACCCATTTAGTAATAAAATTCTGCTTGTCAATTTTTGGGCCTGGTAACATTTTTTTAATGTTCCAGGACTGGTGGCACCTTGCAAATAGAACTTGATAATGTAGTTTCAGTCAAAAGTGTAGGACCTTGCCCTTGTGAGCTGGCTATATCCTATTTCATTTGCAACTTGGATTCAGAGTTACTTTGTGATGCCAGAAAGGTTTCCTAGTGATGTCAGAATGGGGAAGCAGGAAGAAGATTGCCCCATCCATGTAGGGTAATATTAGATATATCTCTACAAATTACATAGGGATGAATAAAAGGAAAAACGATTCATCACTTCAGTGTCCTTGCTGGTAGGAAATTCTGTCTTTGATACATATTATTGAATGTTGAAATTTTTTTTCCCCTTTCTCAAACTAAAACATTGAATATAATTATTGGCTCTGTGATAGGATCCCAAAGGATCTGGAGGTTTAAAAAGCATGAAATCCCTAGCTAGTTTTGGCTTTTACTCATGTCTTCCACTTTGTTTAATTTCAGTATAAAATTCTGCTTTATTTTTTATGCTTTTTGGAAATAGCTTTTGATTTTTAATGATAGTTCATTACGCTTTGCAATAGCTTTTCTATTTAATGACACACAACAGATTGTGCCAATTATATGGAGTGTTTGTATGCTTCTCAAACCTTCTCTATCATGCTTACAATCAGGTAAGACCTGTAGTGAAACTCAATCTTTTTCATTATCTGCATTTAATATCTATAGTTGGTCAACGATGACACCGCGAGCATTGTATCTTCTCTATCTTCTGATCGTGCCAGTCATGGGCGAAGGGAGAGTGTGGTGAGCATGGTTTGCATGCAAACAAATATGATGAATTTTAAAATGACAACAGTGTGTGATCACATGAAATCTATTGGTAAAATTTGCATTTGACAGAAAGAACATTTTCCTTAAATTTAGTTTGTATGAATAATTTGCCAAATAATGTGTGCTCTTGAGACTATGAATAGACCTTTTTAAAGTTACCAATACCACAAATTTTAAAAATTCTTGTCTGACACATTCAACTAATTATTAATTGTAGAGGCAACAGATATCTGTTTTAGAATACAAATGATATAGTTGAAGGTTATTTTATGAAGCAGGAAAATTTATAGAATTAATGACATTTTTGTGATATTTAAGGAACTGATTTGGAAATTACATTGTTGAGGATGTGTGTTAGCTTGGAGCTAGAATAAAGAGCCCTAGGAAGCTGTGATTTCTTTAGAAAAAAACCAAGGACATTTAATGCAAGTACGTTATGTGAAAGATTATAAATCCAAAGTTTTCATAAAGAAAGGGAACACCAAATGTTTTTGAGACTTGTTGCCAAAATTTGATTTACCTAATTAAAGTAGTTGTGATACCTTAGCCAACTAATTAATGCTCATGCATACAGCTAAAGGAGAAAGAAGAAACCGAAACATCTGAAAGCACCTCAGAAGGCAATGGAGTGGAAAAGGCAGGGGCTTTGATGTAATGATGCTTGGTCTCATATGCACTTCGCTACTTAATAGTTGTGCCGATAGCAGTTTTTAAATATTTACAATGGAGATGTTAATGGCTATCTTTGTAGTCAGGCTTAATATGGATTAAATGAATGACAAGGTGGAAAATACCTATCAAGATTCTGAAATAGTAGGTGCCGATAATTACTACATGTGAGTCCAAGTATGCTATTGTTTTGAATAAAAATAGCATTGCTTAATTGTATTAATCCTTAGCAAAACTTTATACCGTTAAGCCTGTTTTGTCTCTGTAATTGGGCTTCTGAATTCCTTTAAGGAGAATAGTTTTAAAGCAAGGTAAATGGTCAGCTGAGGTAAGAAATAGCTGATCAAGGTTAAAAATTATTAATTCAGTGTTAATGGAGTATCTTTTGAATTTGAGGCAGTGTGTTAAGTGCTACAAATAATGTTGTCAGCCTCTGACATGATTGGAGTTTATGTGCTAGTGAAAAAAATTAGGAAATAAGCTTTTAAGAAAGGAACAAAAAGAAAAGAAATTATAGTGACTATAAAGAGAAAAAGCAGGCAATATGATAGGGAACATACAAGTGTAGGTTTGTTTGTGAGTAGTCCTTTGGATGGAGTGGTAAGAGAAAGCTCTCGAGGAAGTGACTTCTGAGCTGACACCTGAAATTGGACAAGTCAGCTGCTCAGTGGGCTGGGAGAAGAACTTTCTAGGCCAGTGCTGAGTATTTATATGGGAAAGAACTTGGTGAATTTGAGGAACCCAAAAAAGACCAGTGTGATTCCCTTCCTTCATTATTTTGTCCTATAATCCCTGGCGTGGGGAATACGAAAAAGAGTATTGTGGAAATTGAGTCAAATTTTTGGCAAGTACCTTGAAAATACTATAGTATTCAACATGTATGTACTCAACAGAGTGAGTATTATAATGAATTATAAATTTTGTGAAATACAGTAAAGGCTTTCAGTAGTGTTCTAGAGACCCCCTGTTGATGGTAACAGATGTCTTAAGCATACATTTTCTTGCCCTCGGGCAGTAAACAATCTATAGTATAGAATTCAAGTTAAAATGAATAAAATAGTTTATTTTAGGGAACTGTGATTCCACTTAGGAACCCCTTCTCTTTTCTTTTTACTTTTTTGAGTATTAATTGTGAAATTTTCTTATTTCATTTCATGGTATTTTATCACACACCAAAATTTAAACAAACTTTCTCCTTATTGGCTAATGTTTTTATCTTTTTCTTCTCTTTTTTCTTAACTTTTAAAGCATCTCATTTTTTTTCTGACTGAAAGGTTTCTGCTGCTGATTATTTTAGTCGCTCCAATCGTAGGGGAAGTGTTGTCTCTGAGGTTGATAACATCAGTATCCCAGATACGACCAGTGTGAGTGTATCGCATGTCACAATGATTCTGTCTTACACTTGTGACTAACAGTTAATATGGAAACTTTTTAAAAATTAGGAACTTTAATTTACTGCCTAGGAAATATTTATTTGAATCTACTAACATAAACTATAGCTATTTGTTTTGGACTGTATTTATTATTATGTCCTTTTGAAAAAATTATTTTTCCTGTGATTATTTTTGCTCATAGAACCCATCAGGAGCTTCAGGAAATTATCACTATTTTGCCAATTTGTCTCATCTGTTTTTTACTCTTTTTCCTGAATTATTTTAGAGGAAATTCTACACATTTTGTCATTTTCCATTAATTCAAAATCTTTTCAGATGTACTATACCATTATCATACCTAATGAAATAAAAAAGCAATTCCTTAATGCCATCCAATTCTTACCCTATATCCAGATATTCCTGATTGATCTTACAAATTTTCCCCCTTTTTGAAGTATTGGCGCGTGCCTGTAATCCTAGAGACTTGGGAGGCTAAGGCAGGATGATTGAAAATTCAGTGCCAGCCCGGGCAACTTTGTGACTATCTCAATGTAAAAAAATTTTTAAAAAATTTCCCCTTTTGGCTTTGCTGAATCTATAAAGTGATAAGTAGACTTAAAAGTTGAATAAGAAAGTATACTACTTAGTAAAATGTCATTAGTTGATAACAACTGGGAAGAATCTGAATAGATTTTTTTTTCCCCCCATGGTGCTAGGGTTGAATCCAGGGCCTTGTGCATGTGAGGCAAGCACTTTACCAATTAAACTATATCCCCAGCCCCATGAATCTGAGTAGATTTTAAACATGTAGATTATGGTGTTGTTTTGAAGAAATGTGTCTATCCATTGTTTTCACATTCATTAGGAACTGAATTAAGGAAAGATTGTCCAGCAGAGATAACTTGGGTCATTTGTCTTATTAAAGGAGCTCTAACCATCAGATTAGGATCTACCTGCTGATCTCATCTTTGTGACATTTGCCCTTTGTTGCTGGTATTAGTGTTGTTTTGCCCACTGACCAGTGCTGTCCTGATTATCAAGCACTTTGGAGGGGATGAATGGTAGCATTTCCTTCTAGAAAAGTTAGACATTAGTTTTCTAATGTCTAATTATAATTAGCAATTCAGGGATTATTTCAAATAGCTATTTCTGAACTATTTTAATCCTAGAAAATAATTTCAAATGTGGCCTTTTAAATATTCCTGATTGTTGGCTTTCAAACCTGCCTATGCAATAGTATCAGCTTGCTGTGGGTTGAATCAAGGACTCTCTCTACATATAAAATTAGACGATTACCTCCCAAGTCATTTTGAAATTTTAATTTGCTTAGTAGCCTCTCCCCCCCCCCCCCCCAGATATGGACAGTTACATTTATTTTGTATACTTGTTCTCATACAGATTTTGTTTCTGTTATTCTTCAATTTAGGGTGTCTGAGTTAATGGTTATGTCCTTCTTACATTTATTTCTTGGAAATTTACTTAGTAATTACACAGAAATGAAAAAGTTGACAGTTATTTAAATCTCTCCCTATCTCTACCAATTACATGTAACTCTTTAATGAAAGGAAAAAAAAATGTCTTAGAGTAGAGCTTGCAAATCTTGTTATTTTACAGTCTTCAATTCACTGGCTTTTATTAATGACTATATAAGGACTTATGTGATATTTTTAATATTGTCTCTTTGAAAAGCCTAAAACATTTGCTGTTTCTCCATCTAGAGCAAGTAATTTTTCCTAATAGTATTTATTTCACAGAGCATGCTATGATTCACTTCATTGTAGACAAATAAAAGGCTGGCTTGATATTGATAGGCCCCTCACCCATTTTTAAAGATAAGTTGGAAATCTGCAATTTCACTGTGAAATATTCTGATTTTAAAATGCTGACAATAAATTCAAATTTTTAGAAGATACTTTTAAAAATATTTGTTTCTCTCTTTTTTTTTTAGTTATAGATGGACATAATACCTTTACTTTATTTATTTTTATGTGGTGCTGAAGATTGAACCTAGGGCCTCGCACATGCTAGGCAAGCGCTCTACCGCTGAGCCACGGCCCCAGACCCTAGAAGATACTTTCTGACTGCTCCATTGTGTGTACCAAATATGTTTTTATAGCTAATAGTTTTATAACTTCTGAGCTAAGAGGTGTTGAAAGTCAGGTCCTGATTCTGCAAGTCTGTATACTATTTATGGTCACCTTAGCTCTATGGCATTTTTTTTTTCTTTATTGGCTTCATTTTTGTTCTAAAGGTTTAACTGGAATAAAGGAACATAATGTAAGTGTGCTAACTAAAATTTTGATGATTGCTAATAATTAAATCCATTTCTGATTGGAATTGTCAGCCAGTTTTGCTTTAGGAACTTATTAAAAATGATTGTTTTCTTCCCTTCTTCGGCTGGGGAATCAGATCTTCCATTTTGTTTTTTCTTTTTTCAAACAATATTTGAATAGCAATAAGAAGCCAATACAGGTTGAGCATCTCTAATCCAAAAAATCAGAAATTCTCCAAAAACTGACATTTTTGGAGAACCAAAATAGTGTCACAAATGAAGAATCCCACTCTTGACTTTGTGAGAGGTCACAGTCAGTACTCTGGAACACTAAAAATAAAGTGTAGAATCATCTTCAGTCTATGTATATAAGGTGTACATGAACAATAAGTGAATTTCATATTCAGACTGGATCCCGTGCCCAACATATCTCATTATGTATATACCAATATTCTAAAATCTGAAAAAATCCAAAATCTTAACACTTAAACATTTAAAGAAGGGATACTTAATCTGTATATGTAAATATACATATTTAAATATATATAAACAGGTTTTATACACACACACACACACACACACACTAAACAGAGGATTCTTTCTGATCTACTGACTACATTTAACAAATACACTATGAATACCTTTGTAGATTATAGTTTTATATCTTAAACATGATTACATTTTATTAAACTTGAAAAGCTTTTTCAGGATCTTGGCAGACTCTTTGGGTCTCATTATAAATATTAACTTGTCATTGCACTGCTGCTAGTTAGACATCCTGGCTATTGAATCCCCTGGGGCTTTAGAATACCAGATTTCACCTAGCTTTACAGTAAAAGTCTCAGAAGTGAGAGCCAAAGCATCTCTGGCCAAGTCACTGCAGCCACAATAACTGGACTGCAGCATGACTGCTCTGGGCATTTTTTGCTGGCTTAACAATCCCTGAGGTTTGGCGCATGATCTCTTTTGAGTTGCGACAGTTGGGATCTGTCAGAAGATAGAGAAAGTGGTAAGATTCAATGTTGTGATGGCCCAGTTTGGTGATGCCAACTTCTGAAATGTAAGATTATTCCAAGGTGATACCTTCTGCTACAAAATGGGTGAGTTTGGGGGTAATTTTTGTAAACAGCAAATAGGAAGAAGGATTTAAATAGACGAATATTTTTATTTTGAATATTTCTTGCTTTTCTCCTTAGCTTGTTAGCAGAAATGAGTTCAAAAACACTCTGAGAAAAATAAGGCAGTTTATTCAGATATAATAATTCTTTTCCTTGAAGAATAACTGGTTAAATATCAGGCAGTGCATTTTACTAGTACAGATTTGAGGAAGGACTATTATCTTTTAAGGCAATAATTGACAACATTAAAAAACAACTTTTGCTTACTGTTATTACTTGTTTGTTGCAAAACATTTTATATATTGTTTTAAAAAAATCCATATAAAACTGTTTTTTGAGAGTAATGTAGCAAGAAGTAACATTTAGAGTTAAATGTCTAATATTTCAGTTACTGGTATAATAAAAGGTGTTTATAAACATGATGAATGTGAGTAATAAAAAGAACACTAAAAACTTTTTAAAAAAATATGAGGAAGTTAAAGTGTTCTGAGTAGAACCAGTAATAATAATGTTTTGTATTTTAATAATTAACTGATGAAGGTTTTCAGATTTCTTCTCTAGTTTGGACTGGGAAGGCTGATGTAGGGTTTGGAGTCTGGGTATATTTTATGTTTCTTTAGTTAAACCCTTATGTGCCTTTTCCCCCTAGCGGTAATTGGGATAGTATATGCAAGTAAATAACATGAACACTGCATTTCATAAAACTGAGGTTTGGACCCAACTCTGACATTTAGTAATTGTTCAACCTTCAGCAAAATCTTTCACCTCTGAATTTTCCCCCTTAGCTCTAAAATCAGAAATTTAGACTAGAACTTTGAGGTTCTTCCCTTCTTGAAACATTGTCCAAAACAACCCCAAAGCCTTTCAGCAGAGATGGGTTGATTCACTTATGATATATCAGGATAACAGACTACTATAAAGCTGTTCAAATAAATGAGGTAAATAAATATATAAGTACAGATGGAGTATAGGATGTACTTATTCATATATCCAACAAATTTTATACTAAATACTATATATTAGATGTTATTATTGGTACTAGGTATACAGCGAAAAACAGGACTTCTGTAGAGAGATCAGACCCTAAGTAAGTGAATAAATATAGTATAGAGTGATAAATGTTATGAAGAAAAATGAAATACTTTCTCAAAACATTGAGAATTTGGTAAGGGAATAGAAGAAACAGAATATATCTGGGACACTAGTATCAGAATTTTTAATGATTTACGGATTGGTTGCCGTTGGTGATTGGAGGTCAGAATATGGTATGTTAGGGAGAAAGACCTATTTCTGATATCACTATCCCCATTTTCTTTGGCCATGTATGCAAATATTACTTAAAACAGAACAAAAACATTCTTAATGATGTGAGGAAAAAATATTTGATGATTATATTTAATGTGCTTTAGTTCAATCTGAACTTCTTTGGCTAAGTATACTAGTCTTTATCTGTTTGTGTCTTAATGTTTAGAAATTTTTTTTGGCTTTTGGTTTATCAGGACTTTTCTTTTGATATGTATACACTTTTTGTATTAACATTTGCAGTACTAAAACCTAATTTTATATATAGTTTTCTTTAATGCATTTTAAATACCATGAAAAGAAAATCTATCCAAAAATCTATCCTTTTAATGAATATTGCTTGCTTAATGCATGTCTTTCTTAGGATAAGAAATAAAGTTCTTGACATTTTGTCTTATATTGGTTTTAGTATATTTACTTTTAGGTTTTAAACATCACTGAACTTGGGAAACTCAAATGAGATCACTTCTTTTGGCTCCTAAAAGAAAAATCAACATACTAAGCATCTTTTCTGATTTTTATCTCTGTTCTTTTATAGTTGGATGAAAAATCTGACAAACAGTATGCTGAAAATTATACAAGGGTGAGTATATAAATTCCTAAGGGAATTATGTTCTCAAGGTCAATTAAACTTTTCTATGACTTGTTCATTATTTTACTACAATTGGCCTGATGGAGCTACTCTTGCTCCCTTCATCTATTTCCTGTCCTTGACCCCTCAGAATTCCTCTTTAGTTAAATCATGTGAAACCCTGGGAAGAGAAAAGACTGCATTTTATTTCATTGAATGTCACCTCTTTAGCTTTTGGTTCTTCTTTTGGTTTTCATTCCTCTAGAAATTTATCCTGAGAAGCCATTAAACACTGGAATTAAAATGTGTTTAGGAGTGGTGGTGACAAACTGAGGATTTGATTTCTTTATGTATAAGTTATTCTTTAAATAAAGTAACTTTTTTGTGTTAGTTTCTAACTTTAACTTTTCTTCTAAAAGTAGCTTTAGAAAGTTGGTTAAGGAAATCACTTTTTAGGAATAATTTTATATTATATCCAAGAAAGTTACATCAGCTTTGTCCAGAAGACATACAGTGTAAGCCACTGTTTTAAGTATATACATTAGTCTAAATTTTCTTGTAGTCACATTAAAAAATTAAAAGAGGCAAAGTTATGTTATATTTAATACAAATATCCAAAATATTTCAACATAGAGTCAATGTGAAAAATTAATGATATATATACTTCTTCCTTTTTTCCACACTAAGCTTTTGAAATCTGGTATATATTTTATATTTAATCTCAGTTTGGTCTAACCACATTTCAAATGCTCAAAAGCCACATGTGGCTAGTAGCTAGCATATTGGACAACACAGATCTATATCGTTTATTAATCAGTAGCATACTCACATGAAATTAATTTTGGAAAGAGCAATCTGAATTCCTATTGATAGGCAGTGTTGTTGCTTTCAGCTGCAAATAGAATCTCTGTCTTTATCAGCAAAGTATTAGAAAAAGAAGAGATTCTTAAAGCAGTTTTAGGAAGTAAATAGGGGAAGTGCCAATTAGCATATCAGTTATAAAGGTCTAAAACTGCCTTAAATTAGTATATTGTGATCACACGAGTGCTATTTGAATATAGCAATGATTAACTTAGAGAATAAACAAACTAGGTTGGGGGAGGATGTAGCTTGGGTGGTAGGGGCACAAAAAAGATTGTGAGAGGAAGGAAGGAAGAAAGAAAAGAACCACCTCCCATTAAAAACAATTTCCTTCTTGATTATTTAATTCTAGATTCTAATAAGGTGTTTGAGTTAAGAAAATTATGCTTAGTAGGCCTGTACCCTTCTCTGATGGCTCTCTCCCAGAACAACTTAAATTGCCCATTGTGATGGTACTTGGTAACTTCCTGACTACACTGTTTTAGTATATCCATCTGAAGTGCACATCTGCTTCTACCACCCTTCTACCACCCCATTTTTAGTTTCCATAGCAAATATATTTTTAAAGAAATAAGATTCAAGTATCATATTTCTCTCTTTCTAGCCTTCATCTCGAAATTCTGCCTCAGCAACAACTCCTCTAAGTGGAAACTCATCCAGACGAGGAAGTGGGGACACCAGCAGTTTAATAGATCCAGACACCTCTTTAAGTGAATTGCGGGTAAACCGCAATTTTTGGTTTGCTTTTTAAAAAGTCTTCTGGTTTCTTTGTAGTGTACTGGAACTTTTAATATTTAACGTGACTTATTAGAAAGAAGTGACTATAAATTCCTTAAAAATAATTAATAATACAGTTTAAAAATTTGACTTGGATATTTCAGAGCCTGCAGGGAAAGAGATTAGATTATTCCTTTTTTTGTTCTCTTTCCTGAAATTTTGATGGTATTAGAATAAGTTCTACAAATGCAAAAAAAAAAAACAAAAAACAAAAAAAACCCCAACTTTGTTACGTGTATAAAAGCAATTCTATCGGAATTAACTGGCCATATTTTAAATGGAAAATATGTGGGTTTACAAAGAAACAGACTGGGAAATATTCGTCTTTTGAGCCATTGTAGTAGTATTTGGCTACTTGAATATAGTTATCTTTTTTTCATAATAATATTTGAAGTAATAATAATATTTTGGCAACCAAAATACATGAGATAATGAAACACTTATTTGACTCGTTAGTTGTGTCTCTTGTCTTTTTAACCTTTTAATTTATAAAATGAAAACTTAAAAAAATATACTTGAAAGTCTACTTGCTCAATCTGAAATTTGTGAGGAACAGAGAAGGATACTGAAAGAAATTGCCTTCCTCTCTTCCTTTCTTCATTCAAAATTTATTGAACACTTGGTCCTGGAGAAAGGAAACAAATTCTGGCCTTCAAGAGGCCACACTGTTTCATAGAGAAGACAAACTGATTCAAAGCAATAAATCCAGATTGTGTGATACTATAGTAATACCAAGAATAGGCTAAGTTAATTGAGAAAGGCATCATCTAAATTAGACTAGGAGAAGAGATAATAAAAGTCTTTTCAGAGAAGAACAAATTTGAGCCAGAGTTTGAAGGGAGAATAAATATTAATTAAGCAAAGAAGTTGAAGAGGGAGGATTTTCTTAGATGCATGCAGAGGACCAGAATGTTATATCGAAGTTGCCACAGGATAGACTGAGAAGTAAGAAGCAGTGGTGGGTGAGAGGGAAGTCTGGGAAGAAATGAGGGCCCAATCACAAAGCATCTTCTATGCCAGCCTGAAAAGAATTCAGTTTTTTTTTTTTTTTTTTTGTAATTCTGGATAGATAGCATGCCTTTATTTTATTTGTTTATTTTTATGTGGTGCTGAGGATTGAACCAATGCTTCACATATGCAAGGCAAACGTTCTGCCACTGAGCTACAGCCCCAGCCCAGGAATTCAGTTTTCCCTTGTCAATTCTGTTATATTAAGTAGGGGACCAGTATTCTCTGATTTGAATTATTAAAAATAAATTTGGCTATAGTTCAAAGGAAGCATCACAATAGAGAAAAATAATAACCCTGTGGTTGAACAATAAAGATCATCAGATGGGCAAGTCAAAATGGAAGGGAGAAAATGTAAGAAACATAATCTGAAGTGAATATGTGAGGCTGGAAATTTGTTGGGCAGTAAGTAGAGGTGGGCGAGAAGAGATTAAGAGGTTTTAACCTTCTTTTAAAAGTGGGAGTGTTGGGCTAGGGATATAGCTCAGTTGGTAGAGTGCTTGTCTTACATGCATAAGGCCTTGGATTCATCCCCAGCACCAAAAAAAAAAAAAAAAAGTGGGAGTGTTTATTGTTTTCATGGATTGGATTGAGCCAGTAGAGAGTAAGGTTGAAGATTGAGAAAGAGAAGAGGATGACAGAGCAAAATGCTGAGCAAAGTCCAGGGTTCAGATGATCTTGCCTAGTCTGAAAGTCCCTTCCACTGACACAGCAGTGGAGGAGGTAGAACAGGTGGTGACCAAGTAAGATTGTAGGTAAGGTTGGAACAGGAGTCTGGTTTGTGAAATGGGCTGGACACAGAAGAAGAGTTGATCAGTCCAGCATAGCTGTGGCATTGAAAATGTCAGTATTTATTGAGCTTTTACTATTTATAGGATGTTGAGTGCTGATGGTGCATTTTTGAATAAGACAATTTCCTGCCTTTGGATGCTACATTCTAGTGGGACAAAAGGACATGAGAATAAGGTCTTCCATTCTCAGACTGAACTCTCTCTTTAAATGACCACCTTGAAGGAATGAGATTTTGTGCCCTAGCACCTGGTTTCTGATAGATCCTTAGTAAATGTTTGTTGAATGAATCAATGAGTAAAAGACAAATCTCCCAGGGAGGGAATGAAGTGGGCAGGGGAAGCATAATACCCAAAATGTGTATAATTGGCCTTCAGCAGTTGATCCTGCCTATAATAGCAGAGTTGCATTTGGGGCCCTCTGGCAGTTATGTCCCACCTGAACTGAGTATCCAAAATAGACCTTATATAACAGGGTCAGGCACAAGGGAAATAATATTTTCCATTTAAAATTTGACCTATTTTAGTTTTTTTAATAATTCAGTGGTAATATTCAGAGCAAATGCTTTTCTTATCATTTTTGTGGTATCATCAGGTTAAAATGTCTCATTTAACATTGTATTCAAAATATGTTTAACTTCCCTCTCTTTTTCCCAAATTAATTGTGGTCAGCAACCAAGTCATTGAAAGATAACTTTGTTCATAATATTTTTGAAGCTTACACATGAATCAAAGTTGCTAATAATTGATTTTACTCTATATTTTACTAGTTGCAGGCTAAAAATTATTTAAGTGATTTATTAAATTAAAAATTTTATAATTTATATACCTTTTTTCTGTATACAGCCCTACCCCCATTTACTAATGTTGTTTTCAGTAGAATTAGTGCCAAGAAAATATTTAACATTAGCTTGATTTCTCCAGACCTTACACCAGCCCCACTATCAATTTAACCTATTTGCCCTTTTAGTGGTTTGGGGTAATAGCTTTGGTTTCTTTTAGTTTGGAATGTACAAAAATAAGTCGTATTTTCATCTGACTCTTTTAAGACTTAAGATATGTTTGTGCCTGGTTTTATGCAATGGTTCATTCCTATGTCCTGCAGGATATCTATGAACTTAAGGACCAGATACAGGATGTAGAAGGGAGATACATGCAGGGGCTTAAAGAACTAAAGGTATCAGGGTCCATTTTGCAGCCCAAGCATGCTCTGTATGCAGAAGTGTTGGTTATGGTGACTTCACAAGTTCTGTTAACCCACTGCACATAGCTTTACTAACAGTGTTTGTCTTTCAAGCATGTGCTTAACCTGCAAAGCATAGGAAAGGCAAACTTTCAATCTCTGCTTGTTTAGATGTTGAGTATAATTTTTGGAATATTCAGCAAATAATTATACCTTACAGTTCTGAAGACTTGTAAAATAGTTGCACATCTCTTGTGTTTTAGCCATAAAAATTTTAATTGGGCAAACACCTAAAAATATTTCAAGAATTTTTTTTTTTTAAATTGAGAATTGAACCTTAAAATTCTTCCAAGCTAAATGAAAGGATTTTACTTATTTCTATCATCAAATTCAGTCAGTATTAAAAGCAAGCATAAGAAGCAAATGAGAGGGGCTGGGGATGTGGCTCAAGCGGTAGAGCGCTCACCTGGCATGCACGCAGTCCTCAACACCACATACAAATAAAGATGATGTGTCTGCCGAAAACTAAAAAATATATATATTTATATATATATATATATATATATATATAAAAGCAAATGAGAAAGTATTATTATAAATATCCCCTTTGGAGGAAGGAATCAGAAGATATGAGGCCTATATTTTCTTTTTGTTTTTACTTAGGCCAAAAAGATCTCTAGTGCCTTAAAGAATTTGGAGGTAAATTTAAGTGGGCTTTATCTTTTCTCAACAAGGATGACTAGTAGCTTTCAATATAAATATATGAGATAAGGGGTATGGAGTATAGCTCAGTGATAGTGTGCTTGCCTAGCATGTGGGTTGTAAATAGCATTTGTTACCATGTTCTTTCCCCACCCATGTTTCATTATGAAGGGTCAAGCCTAGTTTTATGAAGAAACCCAAAGTTTAGGTCTGCATATAGTATCATGATTTGCAATAAAAATACACACCAAGTCTCTAAAAAAGCAAAAGCAAGACATTCAGAAAGGTGACTTAGGATATGCTCAAAGGACAAAACATGAACCTCATGAGCAGGACATGATTTGAAGTAGCTGCGCTCCCAGCCACCACTTTCATGCCGGTGCTTTGGTCCATAAGAAACTTAAATGAAGTTCAAATTCAGGACCACAAAGGGTGGGAAGTCCTATAGGGAGTATCCATGAAGGAGGCCTGAAAGCTGCTAATAAGACCATGTATGCCTGTAATCCCAGTGGCTAGGGAGGCTGAGATAGGAGTTAAAAGTTAAAAGCCAGCCTCAGCAATCGCGAGGCACTAAGCAACTCAGTGAGACCCTGTCTCTAAATAAAAAATATAAAATAGAGCTGGGGTTGTGGCTCAGTGGTAGAGTGCTTCTGAGTTCAATTTCTGCTACCCCCCCCCCCCCACCAAAAAAAAAGACCATGTGAGGTTGAGTAAACATCAGGAAAACTTAGTGGGACCTTGTCTCTTCTCATATAATCTTATTGGTCTAGTCTTCAGGATTTAATCCTGATTTAAACTTTTAAAAACATAATTTGTAGAAAAATCTTGGGTTCAGGAAGCAAATTCGGTACATTAAATAAATATGTGCATATTAAAGTCTCATACCTAACAGTGTATCATCAGGAAAGCAAACAAGTGATTCAGAGGCAGTCTTGTTTTAATTTTTTAAAGATGTTTTCTCTTGTATTTATTGCATTCTTTGAAGTATACAAAAGAACAGCTTAGATTTGAGACATGAACAGTTATGATCCCCCCCCCCCCTTTTTTTTTTAGTTCATGCTAGTATATAACTGAACTTGACTTCAGATTATGTTTATCCTTGGGAGGAAAGTCTATCTGGTGATGAAGCATTGTGTTGTGATATATTCTATTTTAAAAAGTATGTTGGTTCACTGCAAATGCCATTATTCTTTTTTTTGTGGGGAGGGTGGGTGCCAGGATTGAACTCAGGGGCACTCGACCACTGACCCACATCCCTAGCTGTTTTTTGTATTTTATTTAGACAGGGTCTCAACTGAGTTGCTTAGTGACTCAGTTTTTGCTGAGGCTGGCTTTGAACTTGTGATCCTCCTGCCTCAGTCTCCCGAGCTGCTGGGATTACAGACATGTGCCACCAAGTCCAGCAACATTATTCTTGATTATTATGTTTGCCTTTGGAGTGTTTTCCTCAAGTCTTCTTCCCTTTATCCTTTCTTTAATCAGGAAAGTTGAGCCTTCAGCAATACAGTGTTTATCACATTCCATAGTACTGTTTAGTGTGTACTTACCCATAAAATTCAGTAAAATATTTTTGAAAAACAAGTGAACTAAAAGGTTTTTAATGATTTTTATAAATTAAAGAACTAAGTTCGTTTTAAAAACTATTAAAATTGATACCTAACTAAATTTTAATGTGAAATGACAGCAGTAAATAAAGGAATTTAGTAAATCTTGTTTCTAGCAACTGAAAACTTTCCAAGACATTAAAAAAAGGCAACCTGTAGCATACAATGTATAGTATATAATTTATGTTTAAAAACATAAACAGAGGCAAGCAATAACTGCATATGAATGAATAAGAAATGCCTGGTAGGTTCTCCACCAAACACTGATGTCTCTGGAAGGCACATGGTCAAGGAAGAAATTTGCTTTATCTGTATTGTTTTTCTTGCAGTGAAAATCTTATCATGTTTTGCTTAGGTACTTTTAGGAGCAGTTGTTTTTTTAACTGGTAGATAACATTTCAGAATTACTAAAAATATTCTTAAAATCTTGGCTTACTATCTGACCAAACTTAAATTACTTAGCCTCCCTGTCATCTGTTATCTACACAATGGGGATGATGGTAAATATCTGATGGAGTTACTCATAGATTATATTCAGTAAGGCATATAAAGAACATGTAAATACTTTATAATACCTTGCAATTATTATTAGGTATTATTGTCATAACATTAGTCAAGAACCTACCTGAAGCTGGGTATGGTGGCACATACCTGTAATCCCAGCTTTTCCAGAGGATAAGACAGGAGGAACACAAGTTCAAGATCAGTCTTGGCAACTTAGTGGGACCTTGTCTCAAAAAAATTAAAAAGGGATGGGGGTGTAGTTCAATTGGGGAGTACTCCTGGTTGAATATCCAGTTAATCTCCATCCCCACCCAACACCCCTAATCTTAGAGGCCAGGGTTTGACCCTGTATATTTCTAAAAATGTTGAATGCAAAACTTCCTCTTGATAATTTGAGAGGCAGGACTGGTACTAAGATACTCGATGTATCTCCCTCAAACTTTTAGCAGTAGAGTATTCTGTGATTTTTTCAGGCCATGAGGAAGGACACCAGCTTACCTTCACAGCAGGCCACGAGGAAGGGGCGATACCAGCTTATCTTTTCGATCACTTGGGTCCAACATAATCTTGATTTAGCCAAAAAAAGTCCATCTTTGGTAAATGTTTTTTGGTAAGAAACAGTTCACACTCCACTTCCTTGATGATCTTAGCCTGAATGGATGGATCATCTTCCACTCTCCCAAACACTTTAAGTGTGTATCACCTTTACTAACACTTGACATATAATGACAAATAGTTGATAATATTTATGGATTTCATATTTGCTATCTCGGTCTCTTCATAAATTTGGAAATGTTAATCAATTTGTATGGTTTCATAGGTTATTAACTAGGTTTTGAGATGTAGAGGACAAGAACAAAACTCATGCATCTTTGTAAAAGTACATAGGTACTTGGTTCATTTTTATTGATCATTTTGTAATTAAGACCTTTTAGAAAATGTTCTTCCAAATATTTCCCATGCCTTTACTTCTTAGAAGAAGTGTAGGAATAAAGAGAGAAATGAGTTTGACTTAAGTAATCCCAGGAAGAACTAGAGGAGTTAATAGACTATGGGTATAAGTATTACATTATAACTTGGCCAGTTCAGTTATATACTAGCCTCAGCAAAAACTGAGTCGCTAAGCAACTCAGTTGAGACCCTGTCTAAATAAAATACATCATCATCATTTTATTCTCAGTGTGTGTCTACTGTGGGCACACACTGAGAATAAAATGATTAAGGTATTATGTCCATTAAATCAAGTAGCACACAAACTAGCTGAGGGTTTTGGTCATAGGGCTCTGAAAGTTTGTCCTAAGAGTTATATGGGCATTTAAAAATAAAAGAAAGAATATGAATTTATACTTGGAGCCACAGGGTTATGGACTATAATTTAGTTAAATATGTGCCTGGAATACTAGACCTGCTGCCCTTTACAACATTACTTTTGGAACTTGGCATTTCTCCACTGTTGTTTCCAGAAACATCTTTTTAGAATGGACAACTGATTGATGAAATCTTAGGCGTGAATAAATATTAATATACATAATAAATAAATTAGTGTTGTCATTTTATTAGAGAAAAGAATATATAGGTATATACAGTCATATTTTAAGCCTTTACCCAGTGACTTCAAAACTTTAGGGTGCACAAGAATTACCTGGAGCCTTTTAAAATATATATATTGATATTGCTGGGCTCTACCTCCAGATTTTCTGATTCAGTGGGTCTGGGAGGAAATTGAAAATTTGCATTTTTACCCTACCGAATTGTGTTAAGAACTTTTTTTTTTTTTTTTTAACTATTAGCTTGTCAAATGAACAAAAATCATACTAAATTCTGCATTACATTAATATTCTATTACATATGTACTATTATACAGTTGACTTTGCTTATAATCTTTATTTAGACTGAATGTTTCTAATACTAGTTTAAATCTTTTGGGGAAGCATGATTTTGGAGAGAGAAAGAGAGAAATGTATTTGTGTGTATTCTTATTAAGGTATAATTCACACACTATAATATTTGCCCATTTAAGTGCATAGTTAGTGGTTTTCAGCATAATCACAGAGTTGTGCACCTACCACTACAACCCTAGCTTTAGAACATTTCATCACCCCAGACACAGAGGCTCTGTACCTATTAACAGTCATTCCCCATTCTTCCTCTCCCACTCCCACTCCCATCCTCAGCCTGAGCAGCTGCTAGCTTTGTCTATAGATTTGCCCATTCTGGAGATTTCATATAAATAGAATCATACAGTATGTGATCTTTTTTGGTTGTTTTTTCATTTAACATAATGTTTATAAGATTCATCCATGTTATAACATGTATTGGTATTTTTTTTTAATGACTGGATAATATTTCATATATAGATTTACTTACTACATATCATTTACTATTTTTGCTATTATGAATAATACTGCTGTGAACATTTGTGTACAGTTTTTATGTAGACCTATCTTCATTTTTCTTGGGTACATAAGTAGGAATAGAATTACTGGATCATATGGTAACTCTATATTTAACAGTTTGAGGAACTGCCAAACTGTTTTCCAAAGTAGCTATACCATTTTACATTCCTATTAGCAATTATAAGGGATCCAGTTTCTCCACATCTTCCCTAAAACTTGATACCTTGTTTTTTTCTTTTTGATTATAGATTATAGCCATTCTAGTGAATGTGAGGTGATATCTCATTGTTTTGGGGGGAACTAGGGAATGAACCCAGGGATCCTTTCACACTGAGCTACATCCCCGTCCTTTTTATTTTTTATTTTGAGACAGGGTCATGCTAAGTTGCTGAGGGTCTCCCTAAATTGCCCATGCTGGCCTTGCACTGGTGATCTTCCTTCCTCAGCCTCCCAAAGTTGCTGCAATTATAGGCATGAGCCACTACACCCAGCTTCATTTTTTGGTTTTAATGTGCATTTCCCTGAAGTCTAATAATATGGTTTTCATGTGTTTACTGGCTGTTTGTGTATCTTGGTTGGAGATATTTCTGAGTCCGTGCCCATTTTTAAATTGAGTTATATTGTCTTTTATTGTTTAGTTGTAGGATTTCTTCATGTATTCTAGCTATAAGTTCTTTATCAGTTATAGGATTTACAAATATTTCCTCGCATTCTGTGGGTTGTCTTTTCATTTTCTTGATGGTCATTTAAAGCATAAAAGTTTTAATTTTGAAGAAGTCTATCTTTTAATTTTATTTGTAGGGGGTTCATAAGCTTTCATTGTTGTACCTAAGAAACCACTATGTACCCCAATGTCCTGAAGATTTACTTATATTTTTTCTCTGAAGAATTTTATAGTTTTAGCTGTATTGTTCATTTTGAGTAATTTTCTGTGTGGTTTAAGATAGGGGCCTAAATTAATCCTTTTCATATGTGAGTGTTCAGTTTAATCTATCATTTATTCTTTTCCCATTGAAATATATGGCCATACTTGCCAAAAATTAACTGATTATAAATGTAAGGATTTAGGATTTGGAGACCTTTTCCCCTTGAACCTTGGTTTGTAAAAATTTGTGCTAGTATTTTTAAAAATTTATTTCTAGAGCTTAATTTATTTTTCTAGGTGAAATGTTTTTCATTTTTGCTTTTAAAAAATCAATAGGTACAAGTAATTACCAAATTAAATATAATTATTAGAAAAACATTTATAAGCGATTTTAGGTAGAAGTTTTGAGGTATATAAAATATCAGGCATTTTGTGGTAGCTCTCTTTTAAATATTTGTTTTTGTATTGCTCACTTATAAAAAATGATTAAAATTTGAATAATTGCTAGAAGAAAGTTTACATATTTACATTAGCATTATCACACACAGTAGGAAAGTATGGAAAACAGATGTTCAGGAAGTGGCAAAATTCTGTTATTGTTATACTGTATTTTGAACACTACCAGGAGTAACATTTCTGAAAATATTAATGATTCATTATTTTGTGACTCTTACAAATATGTTTTCCACATACGTGTACACCTTTCAGAAGCTATATTGCTGCTTCATTTGTTTTCTTGGTGAGCAGAGAGGAAATATATTTCTTAGAAAGGCTCTATTGGCTTATTATCGTCTTCTTGTTTTATGTGCATGTTACTAAACATGGAGTTCCCAGACTGCTTTTATTTTGTGAAAATGTATCTTTATATGTTTGTGCCAGTGCTATAATTTCCTGTGATATTTCTTATGTACTATACAATGAACATATTTAAGATACCAAGCTGATGACTTTATCATTTAGGAGTCTTTGTCTGAAGTGGAAGAAAAATACAAGAAAGCCATGGTTTCCAATGCACAATTAGACAATGAAAAGAACAATTTGATCTATCAAGTGGACACCCTTAAAGATGTTATTGAAGAACAGGAGGAACAGATGGCGGAATTTTATAGAGAAAATGAAGAAAAATCAAAGGTAATTGCCTATCTTGTATCATACCATTTTATTGGATCAGAAAATAAGATCCAGCCATTTAAAAAGTGATGAGGTCAATAGGGATTTGGAGTTTTTTTTCCCTGTGATCTCCAAATCCAGCCTAAAGAATGATGTGTTAGCCAAAACTTAATGGTCCAAGAAACATTTAAAAAATTTTTTTTTTAATTTTTTATTTTCCCTATTTTTATTTTAGCACATTTGGTCAGCATGTGCTCTTTTTTTATTTTTTATTTTTTCCAAGAAACATTTTTGTAAAACTTTTTTGTGTGAACACGTTTTCCTTTCTCTTAAGTATACCCTTAGGAGTGAATTTGCTGGGCCATAGAGTAACTCTCTGTTCAGTTGAGGAATGACAGACTGTTTTCCAAAGCAGCTTCACTGATTTACATTCCTTACCAGCAGTTTATGCAGGTTCTGATTTCTTTGCATCCTTACCAACACTTATTATTGTCTGGCTTTAATTCTTGCCATCCTAGTGGATATGATTTTGATTTGCATTTCCCTGATAGTCTGATGCTTTGGAGTAGATTTTCATGGGCTTATTGGTATATTTTCCTTTGAGAAATGTCTATTCAGATCCTTTGTCCATTTTTTAAACTTGGATTATTTGTCTATTATTGAGCTATACGAATTTTTATAAGTTCCGAATACAAGTCACTTATCAGATACATGAGTGGCAAGTATCTTCTCCTGTAGACGTTTTACTTTCTTTTGCTTTATTAGCTTTAGTCCACTTTAAAGAGAAACTTCCTTATTTCTTATTATTCAGATGAGATGGTTTACATAGGGAATGGGTTTACATAAGGAAGGTAAGATAAAGGCTTAATTCTTTGCCTTTATTTACAAGTTTTCAAAACAAGGAATTATCATTATGAAGTCATGAATTCAAACATTTGAATTTTTTTCAGTGCATTGCAGCTTTTATTCTTATTGATGCTCAAATTGTCCCACTTTTGGCTAGTGTGAGCCTCTTCAGATTGATTCCCCACTATTTTTGATGAGTCTAATTGTTTGTCTAAAGTCTAAAGAAGTCTAAAGAAGCTATCTTTGCTTTCTGACAGAAGAAGATGTTCTTGCCTCATTTTGTATATTTTCTGGCCTAGGCTTGGAATCAGCCATTTCCCCAATGAATCCTGGTCCTCTTTCAGTGGAGCAGTATGGATGATAGGGGTGCTTCTTGTCCCTGAGTTGCTCACTGTGTATAGACATTTATTGGATATATCAGGGAAATATGTATGTGGGGCTTCTGTTTGTTTGTTTTTTAAAGAGAGAGTTTTTTTTAATATTTATTTTTTAGTTTTTGGTGGACACAACATCTTTATTTTTATGTGGTGCTGAGGATCGAACCCAGCGCCCCGTGCATGCCAGGCGAGCGTGCTACTGCTTGAGCCATATCCCCAGCCCCTGTTTGTTTATTATGAGTTCATGCTGGTAGTCCCAGTTTATATTCAGGACCTTAGGGATTTTACTTAACTTCTTCTGTCTTAATATCTGTATCTCCTTTTTCCCACACTGCAATTTCTATTTCTCAAAGTCACTGGGGATGACAGCAGTTATGTTACATTTTATTCTCACTGCTTTATTCCATATTACTCAGAATAGCAATACCAACATCAACACATACATAATTACTGAAAGGAGTGAAACATGTTTGGTTTGGTATGGCCTTTATTTTTGCTAGGCTATGTATAGCCAAACTATTGTTTTAAAAAGTTACTTGAAATAGTTTTCTCTCTCTGTGCTTAGGTTACTCTATCTTCTCTGTGAATATATAGTTAGGTTCATTGCATTTTATATTCAGTATGTATGTAGGTGTTGCTTTTGGGTTTTAATTTATATTTTTATTGTAAAAAGCACAACATAAAATTTATTATTTTAATCATTTTATTTTACTATATTTTCTTATTTATTTTTGTAGTACTAGAGATTGAACATAGTAGTATCACCACTGAGCTACAGTCCCACCCCGTCTTATTTTTGTTTTTTGCAATAAGATCTCACTTAATTGCCTAGGCTGACCTAGAACTTGTGATTCTTCTGCCTGAGCCCCTTGATAGCTGGGTTTACAGGCACGTGCCCCCATGCCTGGCATTTTAAAGAGTATGGTTGAGTGATGTTAAGTGTATTCATTCACATTGTTGCGCATCAGATCTCTAGAACTTTTTCATCATTTTTTTTCCTCCAGTATTGGGTATTGAACCCAGAACATGCTGCCACTGAGCCAAATCCTAACCCTTTTTTATTTTTTTATTTTGAGACAGGGCCTTGTAAGTTGCTCAGGCTGTCCTTGAATTTGAAATCCTTCTGCCTTGGCCTTCTGAGTTACTAGGATTACAGATGTGCACTACCATGCCAACCTAAAAAGTTTTGATTTTTATGTAGTTTAATTTATTGCTTCATTTTCCCTTATTGCTTTCAGATTTTTGAATCATTTTAGGTAAAGTTTCCCTACCTTTGGTTACATTTTTTCCATTAAATTTCTGTGTAGTTAATTGGTTCTCTCTTACTTGCTTTCTCATATGAGATTAAACTTTTTAAGATTTTCAAATCTTTCTGTGGAATTTACAGTTGTTCTAGGTTCCTACAAACCGGCAGTCCAGACATGTGTCTGAAACTCACACTTGGCCTCTGTGTTTTATCACATATGTTCTCTGCCATGACCCGTATAAATGATGATATCTTTTGTTTAATAACAGGAGCTAGAAAGGCAGAAACATATGTGTAGTGTGCTGCAGCATAAGATGGATGAACTTAAAGAAGGCCTTCGGCAAAGAGATGAGCTTATTGAGGTATGTCCATGAACTGTGGGAATACTCAATTTTGATAGAACATGAGTTGATTAGGATGCAGGTATGTGTGCTGGGAGAAGAAAGGTAAAATGCTACAGAGTTCATTGTGTCTTCACATTTGGCTGTCTCCTAAAAAATTTTAAATATGAAACATAAAGGCAGATTTAAAACAAATTATGACTATGAACCCTATAAACATTCCCCCTTCAATAGCCCAGTATTTTAAACATTTTAAAAGATATGGTTGAGTAGTGTTAAGTGTATTCACATTGTTGTATATGAGATCTCCTGAACTTTTTCGTCTTTATTTTTATACCTGGTATTAAACCCTTTGGCACTCCACCACTGAGTTACATTTGTTGGCTTTTTTATTTTATTTTGAGGTGGTCTCCGTAAGTTGCCAAGGCTTACTTCAAATTTGTGATCCTCCTGCCTTAGCCTCCTGATTATCTGGAATCAGGAGGCTAAGTCAGGAGGATCACAAATTACAGTATGAGTAGGGAAAGTCGGCAGTGATAATTTACCAATAATGTATAACAAAGCAACTTAAGTACAAGAGGATATCAAGTAAGTATCATTGCCTAATTAAAAGAATTCTTTGAGAATTGCTAAATGTTAAATTCTGGTTTTTCTAACTGATGTTTCCTTTATAATTCATGATGTTCCTACTATTATAGATTCTGCTAACAGAAAATCAGTTATCAAGCTAATACAGGTCTTATTTTTTTTAGTTCTGTTTTAAAATATAAAATTCAAAAATCCTACTTATTCTCTGTGATAAAGGATCATTTGTTCATAAACAATTCTAGAAATGTAAGTTGTTCCATGTTTGGGAAAAGCAGTTATCAAAGAAAGAGTACACATATGGAGCCACATGTACACAGAAATCTAGCTGGCTTGCTGCCACATAACTGTGGTTGGAACAGTTATTCCCAGTCCCCTTGCTTGGTTTTGCTTTTTTTTTTTTGGCGATGCTGAGGATCAAGCCCAGAGCCTGGTGCATACTAAACATGTACTCTGCCAGTGAACTGCACCCCTAGAAGCCCCACCCCAACTTTTGTAGGGGCAAGCCAGTGAGACTCCTGTTGCAAGACCCTGGATGTCATCTTTCCTTTTAGCAAACCACTCTTGCCTTTTCTGTTTATCCCACACTTTTAAAAAGTTTATCAGCTTTATTTTTTATCTGTTTTCCTCCCTTTGATTCCTTCCCTTTTTTCTTCTGCTCTTTTATTACTTCTCTTCCCCTCTTCCTCTGCAGGAGAATCAGCGCATGCAGCAGAAACTAGACACCATGACAAAAGAAGTGTTTGACCTCCAGGAGACACTTCTTTGGAAAGATAAAAAAATTGGGGTATGAGATGAAGTTGGGCTTTGATTAGAAGCTCATCATTGATGAGGAATAGACCAATAGAATTTAACTTAGGGACTCCTAAAAATCTGGCCTTTCGATTGTTCTTGAGTGAAATATGATTAGCAGAAGACAGAGGGTCTTCCATGGGAAAACCTGATACTGTGCCTGGAAAGAATTCATCTTTCCAGCCGACTTGGAGCTTGTGAAACCTATGAGTAGAACTTTAAAAGAAGGTGTTCTTCTTGCTCCTAGGAACCATATCCAGAAGCAGCCACAGGCATTTAATTCAAAGTTTGTGGGTAGTTTGATATGTTTACAAGAATCTGAATAAGAAGCAGAAAGACAGGGAGTGGGGATAGGGAAAAAGTTATGAGCCTCCTATAAATTCTCAGTGAATAAAATGGGAAGAGATTAAAATCAGTTCAATTATGGAAGTTGATAGGAATGTTAGACTAGGGTGAGTTGCCAAACTGTGACATCATCTTTAATTATAAATCCAGAACTCCCTAAAGCAGAGCCCAGATAAGGGAAAAATTCCTCATTGCTTTTTTGCTTAGTCTTGCAGGTAGATTCCAAGTACTCTGGAAACTGAAAATTTCCCACCAGTTCACCTCAGGTGTCCTTCAACTGACAATCCTGTCTTTTGGCATGAGCTTTCTGTTCTGCCGTGGGTCCGTGGGTCCTACGTAGTTGCCAGAGGCTTACCTTTTTAGGGAAAGGAAACAAAAAACAAATGAGGAAAGTCTTGTTTTTTTTGTTTTGTTTTGTTTTGTTTAAGATTAGATAGGGCAGTGAAATGTTGGCAGAGATCCACAAAAGCACTTGTGGATGTGACAGACATGCTCAGATGTGAATGCTCTGCAACAGATCCTTCCCTTTTAGGGCCATTCTGATGCCCAGCTGGTGGTCAGCTGTACCCCATTCTTTTCACCATTCCAGGTACCTCATCTTCAGTTAATAAACACAAAGGAGTTCATAGATCAAGAATTTAAAGAACTAAACTACTTTTAGATAATTTTCTGATGCTTAAGTTACTGAGTTTCTGAAACTTCATCCAAACCTAGGAAAGCTTTCTGAGGGATGAATGAGCAACTCTATTAGGCATTTTGAAATTGTGGTTGTGAACTACTGATTTTATTTAAACTTTTACTTGGGAACTATAAAATGAGATATGAAAAATTTATGTTACAAATTAGGCAATTTGTAAAGTATAATTAAAAATCTAGTCATTGTCTACAGTGGGCTTCTTTTAGGACTTTACATAATTTCCTTTAGCACAAATCTACAGATCCGGGGTTTCTAATTTGTATAGTTGTCTCAGTTTTTGAGACTGAGTATTGTGGACCAGTCTTAGAAACTCTTAAAACATTTAGTTCAATAAAATGTTCTTTGCTACCAAACGGGCAGGCTGATGGTTAAGTTATAAACTTGGCTTTTTAATTGTCTGGACATTTTTTGAATGAATAACTGGAAGTCTTTATTCTGTGGCTGTACAATTATGCATTCCTTTGACTTCTTAAAATTAAACATTTTTAATTTTGAGAACATTTTAGAGTCACATGCAACTATAAGAAATAATACAGAAAGATCCTGTATGCCTTTTATTCTGTCTTCCCAAATGTTCCCACATTGCAAAACTAGTATAATAAATATCACAACCAGGATACTGTATATAATAAGTTGAGATACAGAAGTTTTCCATTCCCAAAAGGGATCTCTATTCCCTGTCCCGACTCTGGTACCCAGGAACATTCTACCACTGAGCCATATCCCCAGCCCTTTTTAGTTTTTATTTTGAGACGATGTTCTTGCTAAATTGCTAAGGCTGGCCTTGAACTTGTAATCCTCCAGCCTCATCGTTCTAAGTCTTTGGGATTACAGGCATGCACCATTGTGCCTAGCAGATCACTCCTCCCTTTTGGCCACATCTACTACCCCTGTCCCTCCCACCCCAAGCTCTGTTTTCTATTTCTATACTGCTGCCATTTAAGAATGTTTTATGAAAAATTGTTCTAAAATACAAACAACATACAATTTACCATCTTAACCATTTCTTAAGTGTATAGTTCAGTGGCATTTAAGTATATTCACAGTGTTGTGCTACTGTCACCGCCATCCACCGCCAGAATTTTTCATCTTCCCCAGCTAATACTTTGTTCCCATCAAACAGCTGCCATCCCTGCCAGCCATCTTTTTACTCTATCTGTAGGTACTGTACTGTATAAGTACAATCATATAGTATTTGTCCTTTTATAAGTGGCTTATTTCATTAAGCATAATCTCTACAATAATCAGTATTGTAGCATATGTCAGAATGAATGTCCTTAATGAATGTCCTTAATTTTTAAAGTTGACTAATATTCCATTGTATACCACATTTATCCATTGATGTACACTTGGGTTGCTTTTCCCTTTTGGAAGTTTTGAATAATTCTTCTGTGAACATGGTATACAGTTAACTCTTTGAGATCATGCTTTCAATTGTCTTGAAATACTCAGCAGTGGATTTGCTGAATCATATAGTAATTCTATGTAAATTTTTGAGGAACAGTCATTCCATTTTCCATAGTGACTATGTTCTCTTACATTCCCATTAGTAGTGCACAAATATTCCAATTCCTCCACAGTTTCTCCAATACGTGTTATTTTCTTACTGTAAGTAGCCATTATTATTATTATTAGCCGTTCTAATAGATTCAAGGTAATCCTCTTTTAACTTTGAAGACACATTTCAGTTATGGTCAGTGACTACTTAATACATCATTTGTCTCTAGCATCATTTCCAAGATTCAGATTTTGTGACTTCCTGCTGAAATATGTCTGTTATTCCCAGGTTAGAGTTCAGTTTTTCTAGTTGTTCCTTCAATGAGCTCAATGGTCTTGCCTCTAGTTCCACTGCAGTTCTCCCCAAATGCCCATGTGTAGAGTAAGTGTATACAAAGGCCCTGTGTGCTTGGCTAACCCATCATACATTTGTTCCCATTCTGAGTAAGATATTTGTGGCCCAGAACAATTATATGGTGATTTAACCTGTTGCCTCAAAGTTCAGCCATATATATTGCATATATCTCTGTTTGGCCTTTTGACCAGAATTTGAGGTTAGGTTAGGGATAAAGAATTATTTAGATCTCCACAAACATGTACTCTTTCTCTAAAAAAAAAAAAAATCAACTGTAGGAACTATTATTGCATGCAAACACAAGGGTAGTTGTTATATATGGTCAGGTAATGCCACAGGATTGCAAATCCAGCATGAATACATTTTATCCAATTAGAAGGTATTTTGGTAGTTTTCAAACTTTGTGGTGAAATGGACAGATATACAGGATATATTTTATTTTCCCATCTACAATTGTGGGAGGATGAAATTAAAAAGTCTAAAAGTAAAAATTAAAACCCAGCAGTACAAATGTGGAAAGAAGAGAAAATGTCATATACTAGCATTTGCCAGAATTCTTGGTTTCAAATTGGTCTGTTCCTAAGCGGTCTTTTATATTCAGTGGTATTGTTTCTATAGAGCATGTTGTGACAGTGATCATTTACTCAGTTACATGTGGTGATGCATGGCATAATTATGCATGCAGATACCAATAACTAAAAGTACCTAACCCAGCAGAAATTAAAGTGTGGCTATCCGCTGATGGGAAGATATCACTGTGCTTTGTTCTCCTGATGTTTCATTTGTTAATAATCTAATAGAGTGTTAATGCTATCCCCAAGTGTTGGAGTAAAGACCATATGGTACTAGAAACTCAAATTAATTTACAGGTAGATCATATAATACAAACTATAAAAGGAAGTTAGCTCAACTGTGGTTAGTGCATAATCCTGCTGTAATCCCAGCAGCTCTGGAGACTGAGGCAGGAGGATCAAGTTCAAAGCCAGTCTCAGTAAGAGTGAGGCACTAAGCAACTCAGTGAAAACCTGTCTCTAAATAAAATACAAAATAGGGCTGGGGATGTGACTCAGTGGTTGAATGCCCCCGAGTTCAATCCCCAGTTACTCTCACTGGCCCCTGCCAAAAAAAAAGGAAGTTGGATATTGACATTGCAATTGGATAAGAGCAGACTTGCCCTGTGACCTACTTTTCTAGCATCATTTGGGATGATAATCAAGTAACATAATGCAACCTCTATAGAACTGTGATATAAAAAAAACTGTATGCAAGGTCTTTGGAACCAAAAAGAACTAGATTCATTTTCTGGTCTTGCCACTTACTGTGACTTTGGGGGAAAACCAACCAACCAATCAACAAAAGGAAGACCCCACCACCACCACCACCACACACACATACAAAAAAATACTTCTCTGAGCCTCAATTTTCTGATCTATAAAATGAGGATAAGACAAGTAGTACATTGCAGAGTACATAAAGGAGATATTTCATATATAAAATTACATATAAGGGAGAAATTATGGGTACATAAAATAGCTCCTGCTATATAATTTGTGTTCCACAAATGGTCATTGCTATGATTCCTTTTTAGTCCCAATTTGGCTGCAGAATAGAATTATTATAATTTTTAAAAATTGTTCGATTGTATAGTAACTAAGCAGTTGGCCCACTTTGAAACCTAGTCAACTAAGAGATAAGTTTACCTGTTGTAATTTAACTTCTTGGGTTTATGGGAATGCTGGAAGAAAACATTAAATACAAGAATAAGTATATAGAGAGACTTTTTGAAGTAGCTCAGTTGTGAGGTCCCTGCATAGATTACTTAAGGTAGTAATGTTTTAAAGTCTGGGTTACTACATAGTAGATTTGATTTTTTTTTCTGCTTTTGCATTGTCCTCCTTACCTTTGATAGTTCTGAGATTCAGGGAGTTCCCAGTGGAAACACCAGTCTGCTTTCTCTGAACCTCTCCTGTGGCCTTGGCTGCTGCAGGTAGTGCTCTTTGCTGAGTACCCCTTTAAACCTCTACCCTTGGGGTGAGCACTGTTGCTATCTCTACTGTTTATCAGATGAGGGAATTGAGGCATAGGTAAATTAAATACATGCCAGGACCTAAAAGCTTTATCCTGGAACCCATAATCTGCCAGCCTCCATAGGTGGGCTATATTTATTTTGTCAATGTTTTATTTTTGCTTTTCACATTTTGAAAGTACATCAGAAAACCAAATGAGTCTTAATTGTATTTTATTAAATTAACAGAAATCCTGGAAAATCCCTTTGGAGACTTGCTATTTTGGACTAAGTGGTATTTGAGTATTTTGCCACACTATTTGGAGAACAATCATACAGCCAATATTTAATTAAAATAACTTACGTATACTGGTTATTTTTCTTCCAAAACCAACTTTTTATTTTAAAGAGAGCAGATATATTCTTGAATAAATTGTTTTAGTTAAACATGAAATACTTCTTGTTGTTGTTGACCAAATGAAAATGTACTAAGGAGGTCAGTGAGGAAAATTTTAACTCTTGCTGCTGTCTTCATCTTCCTTTTCCTATTTTCTTCTTTGACTGGAAAAGAAAGATTTTTTCCTGCTTACTGTGATAAGCATGTTTTGCTAAATTTATGCATGAGAACCAGTTTCTACTAAAGCTCTCTTCTGCAGATGTATACCCATATAACCATTTCCTCCCCTGACTGCTTGTTTCCCAGCTTTTAATGGCCTCCTTGCTTTTTATGCCTTTATCTTTGCTTATTTGAATTAGTTACCTTTCACTTGCTCTTTTTCTGTGCCATTTTTTTCCCTTGCTACCCTTCCTAAAACCAGGCCCTAGAGAAACAGAAAGAATACATTGCCTGCCTTAGGAATGAGCGAGATACGCTCAGAGAGGAGCTGGCTGACCTGCAGGAGACAGTGACAGGAGAGGTATGTGAGCATGAGCTAGAGCTCAGTTTCCCCACTGCTTTACTCTGTCTTTCTCTTATCCTGTCATCTTTCCTAGCCTGAATACAAACGACAATTTGATCTGGTTTGATTAAGTCATTTTCTTCACAGAGGTGTCTATATATTCCATGTAATTGATTCTAACTAGGTTTCCCCGTGGCAAACATACATTGTTGCAGAGTTACCTCACAGAGCTTCCTGCTTCCATATGAGCCATCTTTTGTGATGGTGGGTTGTGTTTTTTTTTCCCTTTCCCACAGAAACATGGTTTAGTTATAATTCCTGACGGCACTCCCAATGGTGATGTCAATCATGAACCAGTGGTTGGTGCCATTACTGTTGTGTCTCAGAAAGCTGCTCAGGTCCTGGAGTCAGCGGGAGAAGGGCCACTAGGTAAGACTGGTTGCTATTTTATCTTGGATCAATGTTGTTGGACTTCTAGCTTGTTCATAATCCAGCTTGGAAAATAAAAACAGGATAAGGGCCATCTGAAACTCATCTAGCTCCCTAACAGGAAGATCTGGATGTATTATCTTTAGACATCTTTTGACATTGGGTAACCAGCATCTGAGTCATTGTGAGGCAGTTAAGTGTAACTACAAGGTCCCTGGATGGAAGCACCATGGGTCTCTACCCAGTGCTTTTCACGAAAAAAGTCAAGCATGCCCATCCCAGGGAGGCTGTGGGTTGGCAGCAACTTTCCAAGTGTATTTTTAGTTTTTTCTTCCTGGAACATCTGGTTTTGTGTTTCACTACTTAGTTCAGGGATAGCTCTTTGCCATCACATTTCTTAAGGCAAGAAATAGATGATCAGGAACGATGGGTATCAGAGGCCCGAGATTTCTAGAGCAGGGCTTCTAAGCCTCTTAAAATCTGGACCTCTTAAATGTCACTCTGAGAACCTAGTGGCACCTCTCCCAAGGAAACCACCAGGGTGCCCATCCATTGTCCCTAACAGTCCTACTAAAGGAAGAAGAATAACACAGATAGTTACTGTATCATCAGCTCACTTTTACCTATTAAGAAACAATCCTTTTACATTTTTCATCTTGTTTTTATATATGCCAAGGTTTCCAAAAAGGAGCAGGAGGTGCTGGAAAAGTGGCACAAGCTGATAGTATTTTAAAAGTTAGTAAGCAGGTTCTTCAATGTGCAGAATTTCTGAAATGTAGTTATAGGGCACTTTGATAAAGTAGAAGATGCTGGGTGGGTGAGAGGGAAGATCTAGAGAATGGAATAAGTAGAGTCTAGGGTAGCTCAGAGTATTTCTTCTGCCTGTTTGGAAAGTGCTGAAGAAAACAGAACTTATATTTGGCTGTGACCCTTATTAATTGTGGGATGTGCTTCTTTAACTGAACTATTGTAGTCTCCTCAGACCCAGGGGCCTATGTTACTTAGCTTTTCATCAGTGTGAACAAAATAACCTGAAAAGAACAATTTGGAAGAGGAAAGACTTATTTTGGCTTATGGTTTCAGAAATTTCAGCCTGTGGTCTGCTAGCTCTGTTGTGCTATGGTGAGACAGAACATCATAGTGGAAGGGGTGTAGTGGAGGAAAGCTTCTCAGCTCCTCTCAGTCAGGAAGTAGAAAGGAAAGAAGAGTAAGCAAGGAGGCAGGAATAAGATACAGTCTCCAGAGGCATGCCCCTGGTGACTTAGTTTCTTCATCTATGCCCCACCTATTTACAGTTCCCACCCAGTAGTTCATTCATATTATTAATCCACCAAACGGATTAGTCCACTGATGAAGTTATAGCTCTCATAATCCAATATTTTTTCCTTGGAATCTTGCTACATTGAGGATTGTGTTTCTAACACAGGAGCTTTTCAGGGGACACTTCATATCCAAACTATAACAGGGCTTATATTGGTGCCTGCTTAGGAAGAAGCAACATACTCCACAGGCTGGGAGCAAGCCCTAATGACGCTGCTTCCCAGCACCAGATTTGCCCATGGCTGCCCCCATCTTAAGAGTTTTCCGACTCTCACTCACTAACTTTTGTGGGAATTTGCTCCTTCTAGCATTGTGGTCCTCTGTTTTCTTGGCTCTAGCTTGCCCTTGCCCAGTCCCTGTCTTTCACAACTTTTGAGCTCTCCTGCTAAGAGTAGAAGCCTGTGGGACTCCCATTGGCATTTGAGTTTTTCTGTCTACTGGTGAAAGTTTGTAAATTTTAGAAACAAGGAAGTGGTCTCCTTTGTGCTTCAGTTTGCCCCTTAACTGGAAAAATCACTGCTTTAGGAGCAAATGTTGTATTTGGTGCCCTGATAAACATCAATGTGTGGAAATACATTTGGGATAATTAAGTAATAGTATGAAAGTTTCTATTTCTTTTCATACTTGGAGCTGTAGGTAATGTAACTTATCAGATGTTCGCTATTTGAGAAATTAATTGTTTATATACTACTTCATTACAAATTTAGTTTATAGCCTTTTTCATTTGTTTCAGACGTAAGGCTACAGAAACTTGCAGGAGAAAAGGAAGAGCTACTATCACAGGTAAAGACTTTCTTCTTTTTAGAAGATATTGTTAACTTTACCTAAGTTACATGGCAGACTGTTAATAAACTATTCATTGGAAATTGGAAATGTGCTTATTTTAAACCTCAGTACTCAAGTGAAATTTAAAAGATAAAAAAGATAGTGCATATTTTGTGTCTTTGTTGTTTCTTACTCTTAAAAAACTATAGGACACAATCTCTAGTGAGTCATTGAGTTCCGCAAAGTGAGTGGAGACAGCAGTCCTTTGCCTGACTCCTCTATCAGCCCTGACCATTTCTATTTAGTTTACAGCTGACTCTTTTGGTTTGTAACCTGCTTATGTTGCTTCTTGATCATTCTGTTTTAGGCATTCTCTGTTGACATTCCTCTGTGGAAGATGAGAACTTAGCTGTCTTTCGTCCTCTGTCCCTGTCTTGGACGTGCATACTTCCCCATCTTCATATCCTCCTAATGAAGGAACAGTGTAATTCTAGTCTGTTTATGTCATCAGGACTTCTGAGCATTACTCACAAGGAAGCCATGTGACATTCTAGGCTTGACTTTCATCTCTTTCACAACCATTTGTTAATACTATGGTTTTTCTTTTCGTTTCATTTTCCTGGTTTTCTTTGTGTTTATCATTAATTTAGCCACAGAGTTTTAAGCAGTAGTTTAAACCCATTCTTGTTGTTTTCACATACATCAGGTATTCTCTTGTTTCATCTTCAGAAGTCTTGGCTCTGACTTGACCCATTCTAAACTAGTGGCTCTCTCCTTGCACATGCAGATGTGATCATGCTGTCTTGGCACGTGGGACTTTTCTCTGCCTATGATTCGGGCTCAGTTCCCTTTTCCTAGTCTGATGCCTTCTTCCTTTATTTATTCTTTTATTTTGGTGTATCTTCCATAACTTCCTGAGGAAAGGGTATGTGGGCTGTTAACTTTTCATGATGTTCTGGGCCTAAAGTGTCTTTTATTTTACTCTCTTGCTTGATTATTGGTATCTAATTCTTCTGGTCTGCAGCATTTCCCTTTGGATTTTAAACAAACTTCTCTGTCTTCCAGTGTGGTTAAGAGTGTTTGAGGACATTTTGATTTTTAAATCTTTTTTAGGTGACATATTTTTACCCTGCTTCTGAAAGCTCATGTCCTATTCTCTTTCTCATTAGTGTTTTAAAATTTCAGTGATGTGTTTTGAAGTTTTATTGCATGACACTGGACCCTGTCAATTCTAGGAACTTCTGTTTTTAGTTCTGGGAAAATTTCTTAAATTATTTTGTTGACTTTTCCCTTACTCCTCCTACTCAGTCATTCATCAAGTGTTGAGAGAGATACCACTATTTAACGGTTACTTTTCTATGCACTTGGGATATTTAAGTGAATAAATCAGTTCAGAAACTGATTCTGTCCCAGTGGATCTTACATTGTAGAGAGAAGAGATCAGAGATAATAAATAGTGAATGTAATTAAGAAGTAAATTATATGCTATGTTAAAAGTTTATGTGAATGCATTTATTATAAGTGTTTCACTAGCTACAGTCAGCTCCATGGGTAGAGGTCGTGACTGAGTAGAGTTATATTTTACTAGGCAAGTATAATGGGGCAAGGGAGGTGAGGGAGTATAGAAGAGAATGATGAGTCTACTGGACCTAGAAATTAATCTGGATAAGGAGGATTGAGAGGACATCCAAGAAAACATCAAGGCACTGTGAAAATACGATAGAATCAGTGGAGTTGAAGTATGTTAGGGTCTATAGATAATGAGTTGGAAAGATTAGGATTCGTGGTGAGAGAGGATGCATGGAGCTGAATTGTATAGGAACTGTTCTCTGATGTTGAGATCCTAATCTATGACTATAGCATGAGTGGCTGGGGACAAGAAAGGGTGGATAGCAAGATCCTTGGAGAGGAAGTATTCCAGAAACTGAGAGATGAGTCCAAGAGCCTCTCTGTAGATGTTTCTTGAAATTACTGAGAATGAAGATGGGTGGTCTTGAGGAACTAAAATGCTGATGGAGTGGGATGATGGAGGTGAGGAGAGGGAGGTAGTGTGTGTAATTTGAAGAGATGAAATTAAGAACTGTGCCTTTAAAGGAGGATGGGGTGTAGAATAATTCAGTACCAGCAAGGAAAACAAGAGGACACCTATTAATTTCCAGGTTCAGTGGTAGGAGGCTGTGGAAGAAAAACAAAAACAAAACACCCAATACTTGGTGGGACTGCAGAAGAATGTAGATGAGCACTGAGGTAAAGGAAGAGCTCAGAGAAGATGCTGAAGGAGGCAGGGGCTTGCTACTGATGGACTGACACTTCCAGAGGGCACAGCAGAAGAGTTCCAGGCACTGGGAATGGTTAGGAGATGAAGGTTATGGGCTGTATAGTCTTGTGGGGGAAGAGTGCAGAAGAGGAAGGACGTCCCTTTTCGAAATGGTTGTAATGATTTCCTCAAGGCAGAGAATACTGGCAACCCCATGAATGTTCAGAAGTCAGAGGTGTCTGGGAAGCGTGGGTTTAGTCCAGTGCAGAGCTCACCCTTTCCCCATGAGGTTCGTGGCAAACTTCCTCTTGACTACTGTGGATAGAGTTGAGGACAGTTGGGAAGCCACTTGGACATTTCCAATCATTTTTGTATATAGAAAGCTTTCTAAATATTTCACTTATCTCTAAATTAAACATTACTGGTGATAAGAATAAATTGTAACTGCTTGTGAAACTTTCCATTTTTAATAAAAGTAATATACCCACAAGATGTACTGTTCCATAAATATACACAAATAATAAAATATGGCTGTTTTTATTGGGACACCTGGTCCTAGGGCTCACTTCTTTTTATATTTGTTTAGAGCTTACCTCTAGTACCTAGAATCATGTGTTCCTTAGTAGGCACTCAAGAAAATAATTTCTGAATGGAATGATTTGTATGGCCAATATGATGAGAATCTGCTTTGTTCTGTGATGTGGCCACTGGGCCAAGCATCTGCTTCATTTGAGAGAGTGGATTTTGCCAGTGACATTTATTTTCCATTTCAGATTAGAAAACTGAAACTGCAGTTAGAAGAAGAACGGCAGAAGTGCTCCAGGAATGATGGCACAGCGGGTGACCTGGCAGGACTTCAGAATGGCTCAGACTTGCAGTTTATTGAAATGCAGAGTAGGTACTAGGGGACAGGCCAGTCTCCATTTGTATACAGGTGTGTCCCCAGAGTGGGATTGTGAGCAGGTTGTTGGGTTCTCATACTCACTTGTTTTGGTCATTGGTTGGTCTAGACAGCAGTCAGTAAAGCAGCTGAGCAGAGGCTGCATTGGTCTGTGGCCTATAGGTATGTGAGAGGACACCATCTTGCTCTCCTGCTGTTTCTGGGCAAAGGGGTTTCTTGGAGCATTTTGCAAGTTGTGAAATGCCTTTGACAACCTGATACTGTCCTTTGTCACACCCAGGTGTAACTTTAAGCTCCCATGCAGCACCCTTCCCCCATTAAAGTTTTGTAGAATTTATCTTGGATAATTGGAGATTTGGGACTAATACTAATGTTAAGTAGTTTCAAATTTTTTTCTAGAAGTACTTTTTTATTAATTTATTTTAATTAGGTATGTATGACATCAGAATGAATTTTGAGTCATTGTACACAATTGCAGCACAGCTTTTCATTTTCTGGAAGTATTTTTTAACCCAAATTAGTCTCTAGATGGAATTTTAAAAAGATCACAAGTCTAGTGTACTGTTTATCCAGATTATTCCAGTGTTTAGCCCTTTCTACTTTTGACCCCATATTATTTTTACACACATATAGCATTCATATTAAATCCCTAGCTCAGAGATTTCAGCAGCCATTGGTATATAGTTGGTTTTGTTGGTGGTGGCATAATTTATAGACAGGGAAAGACCGATTTTTCCAATTTGAATAGCTTTCCTGATAACTGATTTTAAAATCTTGGCTATTCTATGACCTTTTCAGGTAAATAATCTGAATTAGGTCAAATAGATAAGACTTTTTGAATTAGGGTTTATTAGTACCAACTTTTGAAGTTAGTATTACTTCTACTTTTGGAGTCAGCTAAAATGCTAATAATATTTCCTGGTGAATGTTTTGTTACAGAATATCATTTCACTGTGGAGGGTTGATGAAAACAGGGACAGGATTAGAGGGGGCTGGCTAGTTAGGAAGATATGATGGTGAGCCTGAATCAGTACAGGGACTTCTGACAGGAGAAATTCAGAAGGAATTGAAGAGAAATGGGCTGGCATTTATGCGTGGCTACTTTCTAGAGCCAAGTGGGTATTGTAGAGCTGGTTTTTGCAGAAGGAAAAAGTCTCCAGGGATGGGGGGGCAGGGTGGGGTGGGGAGGGATAAAACAAAGTGAGCTGAGCAGGACGACTGTGGGAATGCCAGGCCCAGCTGGTGAAGACAAAAGCAAGCAGCTCCCTTGGACCAGAAGGCCAGGAAAGGGGCCCAGGCAACTTTTGGCTTTGAAAAGCACCTTGGCAGACATGGTGCTTTGGAATGAAATGACACATGAAATGACTGAGACAAGGGACTTATACTTTTGTAAACAGGAAGGAATGGGTGGGTTGAAAAGTGAGAAGGAAGCAGCATATTTTGATAATCAATAGGTTGCTAGGGATAAGAATTGAAAAACAAGACCCTAAAATTGAAAAACAAGACCCTTCTGTTACAGAGCTTGTGAATGGAATAGCTCTCTTCACTTCCAGGGTGGCTTTATAACCCCATGAAAGGTGATAGCAGCTGTACTATTCCAAACATCTCTTGCATTGAAGATAAGTAGTTATAATCTTGACCATGTGGAAATATAGAAAAGTTCTTAGGTTATTTGAATATTTCTTTTTGTTTAAAAGTTAGATTTAGTTTATCTCCTTCAAGCTAAGATGATTCTATAATCATTGTATAGGGAAATTTTTGTTAAATTTGGGTTCCTGGAGGGAATTTTTATTCCGTGCCCCATTCATTTCTCAGTTTCTCATTTTAAGTGATTTATTTCTTAGGTCAGATGCACATCTAATGATTCATAGCTCTTTGCAAACATTATCACAGTTTATTAAAAAGCATTTCTTCTAGCAAATACTGAAACATCCAAGGCTAAGACAGAGCCCCTTACCTTACACACACACACACACACATACACGAACATATACTCTCTCTCTCTCACACACACACACACACAATTTGAAAACATGATCAATGTCATAAAAATCAAATTTTAATGCCGTAGGGAAGGAGAAGATACAGTTAACTAAAGAGAGTCATGCAGGAGATGAAAGGGCACTTGAGGTTTGGGGGAGCAGAAGCAAAACCTGGAAGGTGGGAGGTGAAGGGTTAGGTTTGGGGAACCAGAAGGCCCAGTTCTGTGAGCATGGAGGCTCTGTGGGATACAGGGCTGCAGATGAAGTTGCTTCCTTGGCAGGGTTTCTTTCTTCAGGTTTTGCTCACAAAGATCAAGGGGTGAAGAAAGACTTTTCTCTGAATTTCTAGTTCAAGGGAAGGCTGTTGCAACGTAAGTGCTGGAGATTCAGCAGCCCATCACCTGGCTGCTGGAGATGTGGCAATTGCTGTGTTTTGTGTTTCATAGTCTTGGAGGGCACATTTCTCTGCATGCTGCATATCCAAAAGATGAAGATTATTCATCATTATATTCTGTTCTAGGAGATGCCAATAGACAAATTAGTGAATACAAATTTAAGCTTTCAAAAGCAGAACAGGATATAACCACCTTGGAGCAAAGTGTAAGTACTTCTTCTGTATGGTACTTTGTGATTTAAATTTTTTTTAAAACATCTCCACTTCCTGCATCTAAGTGGCTAACCCTATGAGTGCAAGAGTTACTGTGAGGTTTTTTTATTTGTTTTTTTTCTTTTTTTGGTGGTGGTACTGAGAATTCAATCCAGCAGTGTTCTACCACTAAGCTATTTTCAGCCCTTTTTATTTTTAAGTTTGAGACAGGGTTTTTGCTAAAAGTTGCCAAGGCTGGTCTAGAACTTGTAATCCTCCTGCCTCAGCCTCCCAAGTTGCTGGGATTATAGGCATGCATCAACATACCCAGCCTATTTGGGGTTTTGGAGACCCTATTTGGGTCTCCAAAAAAGCTCTTTAAAATAGAGAAGCCAGCAGAGAGCACCTGGCAGGGCGCTTTAGCCTTCTGTTTTCTCTAAAAACATAAAAAAAATACCTAATAATTGTTTTTTTTTGTAGATATTTCAGAAGAATTCAAGATCATAACATCTAACAAAAATCCCTTAGTGTACATTTTAAAAAGTCTAGAAACTTCTCCAGTGAGTTTCCTCTTACAATGCTACTGTGGCACTTAAACAATATTTTATCATAAAACTTGGGAAATTGGCCCAATGACTCTATATCTGTAATTCTCTCTGGGGATTGTTCTTGGTTTATAAATAGTAGCTGGGTCTGAGAAGACCTATGACTCATCCTAGGGGGACTCATTAGTGTTAGATTATTTAGAAATCGTAATGATGTTATATTTCCATTGTGGCTACCAAATAGTGGTAGTGAATACTAGACGCCTGTATTCTCATATTCACAGATTAATCGGCTTGAGGGGCAGGTGCTGAGATACAAAACTGCTGCTGAGAATGCTGAGAAAGTTGAAGATGAACTGAAGGCAGAAAAGAGGAAGCTACAACGAGAGGTACTTATTTTAATATACCTCTTGGAGAATACATTCCTAAAAAGAAAAAAAATCCTTTGGAAATAAATTCTTTACTGCCTAAGAAACTTGACACTGGGTCAAATCTTAAGGAAACAGCAGTTGAATGTCACTTATTCTTGTTACCTGCATGTTGACTGCCACTTACTTTTTTGTCTTGGTCAGTTAGACTTAATAAGTTAAAAAGGTGATTTTCATTTTTGTTTCAGATCAGGTCTATTTCTGCATCTTCTCTATATCTTTTCTGTGATTTTTTGCAGGGGAAGGTACCAGGGATTGAACTCAGGAGCACTCAACCACTGAGCCACATCCCCAGTAATATTTTGTATTTTATTTAGAGACAGGATCTCACTGAGTTGCTGAGTGCCTCACTTTTGCTGAGGCTAGCTTTTTTGAACTTGTGATCCTCCTGCCTCAGCCTCCTGAGCAGCTGGGATTACAAGCATTTGCCACCACACCCGACCCTTTCTGTGATTTAAACAAATAATACATATAATCATTGTTTAATACCTTTAGGTGACTAAAAAAAAAAAAAAATAGGCTGTTTTGGGATCATGTGTGAGGCCATCACAACTTGCAATGCTTTGTTTCCCAGAAAATTGAAAATAAAGTAGCACTGAGTTTTGTTTCTGAGGTTTTGGCCACATGAAGTCACTGTGCTCTCTCCCTGTCTCCAGTTACGAACAGCACTGGACAAGATTGAGGAGATGGAAATGACCAACAGTCACCTGGCCAAGCGGCTAGAGAAGATGAAGGCCAACAGGACAGCACTTCTGGCCCAGCAATAGGGCAGCTGCCCTTTGACCTGGGTGCTGCTCTGTGGGGCCCTGCCCAGAGGGACTGACTCTTTTTGTACATTGACACAAACCCTTTCAGTACTGTTTTGAGTTTTGTCATTAAAACATCCACCTTTGTATTTTATAATTTATGAGAATGAAGCAGGTTTGAATCTTCATGAACGAACACTTTGGATTTTGTGTGTAGTTTGATTCTAGACTAAGAACTGGTCTGTGCTATTCATGTTTTGTTTCCATAATTTTAGAATCATGTTTACTCAACATTTTCCCCCAGCTCCCTCAGTGACTGGGCACTTGGAGGCCTTGGCACGGGGTCTGGAGGACAGCAGTTTTATTGCGCTGAGATACTTGCTGGAGACCTCAGAAAACACAAGTGCCTTCTCCACAGAGCAATTCAGACTTCACTGGTATCCCGTGGTCAAAAGACATCTACCCGTCATATGAGATAGTGTTTATATTTTAGTGAAGAAATAAGTTCAAGCATGGGGAATCAATGTGTTTCACTCAAATTTATATGTTTGGAGGAAAACCCCTTTTTTTTGTAAAATATTTAAATTTATATAAGAAAATGTTAGAAAAAGATATGGGGAATGTATATAAAACTTGCTTTATTGCAGGGGGTAGTGGAAGTCCAAGGCCTATTCTCTTAGAGTAAGAGCAGGGTTCTTATTCTTCCATATCAACTATGCTGTACCTTCTAAAGTATTTTCATCAGCTGCTTATTTGTGGAATGAACCTCAGACAAGCCCGAAGGTGGAGGGAAGGGCAGGGCAGGCAGGTGGGAAATCTGCCTGTGAATTCTATTAAAAATACCCTTCTTGCCAACCTCAAGTGGCTGTTGACACATTCATTTTATTATAGGAGACTGTGAAACAAATCATGGCAGCCACGTCTCTCCTCTGTCTTGCTTCCTCCTCTTTTCTCTCCTCAAGGAAAAATTATCTGGAATATAGAACTTTTTCTTCTACAAACTTTAATTTCATCTTTAAAGGCATCCAGTTCAAGGGTTTTTTTGTTTTGTTTTGTTTTTTTTAATTAACCAAGTGTAGATACTTTGCAGGATTTGTGATTTTCTTTCACTATTGGAATCAAGGTGGTGTTTATGGACATGATTACTGTAGCTTCAAAGTTTACACAGAAAAGATGTGGGGGAAAATCTAATGAATCAAGGCCACTTAAGATAATAAAACTAGATTTAAAACTAGATAATAAACTCAAAAGTGAATAAAATCTTTAATAATTGTTCCCTTCTTTAGAGTAATTAGCCCTTCATTTTTAATATATGGAAACCAATCTCCTGGATTGAGACAATTTCCTATAAATCATCTTTCTATAGTTTTGAGGTTGGACACGGGCAGGAGGATGTTCTAAAATGCAGATTTATCTACGAATCCTCCAGCAATCTAGCTCTGAAGGGCCTGGGAAGCCCCTTTCCTCTCCACCAGAGATCACTCAGCTGGCACTCTTCTGGGCTCATGAAACCTCACTTCTGAAATGCCCCAATCCAATGTTCGGAGTTTTAGTTGTCAGAAACTGATCTTGCCCCTTTTATGACACAACAAACATATCCCTTCCACTCTTTTGTCCTAGTCTTTTCTAAATGGAATGGTTTCATTTCTTCATGAGATACTCTGTTCTTTTCCACTGAACTTTCTTCACAGAAGCCTGTAAATCTGAATTTTACCTTAAAACTATAGGCATTCTTCCTCCCTGTGCTGAATGCTCAGTTTTTGTAAATGCAAGCTAATATTAAGGTATCTTATTTTGGCACTTATAGTTTAAGTGTGTACTCACATTATCCTTCAAAAAGAATACTGTTAAGACACATTTGAAAATTTATTTATAGTCAATCCACCATGCAAGAAATGATCTTTTCTCTGTCATTTTACTTTATTTCTGGTGTTTACTTTGAATTAGTTTCTCCTTAGAGAATAAGTTTCTTCTAGTGTAGTTCCTCCCTATGATGGGCTTCACTTTTATTTTTCATTTCTTCATACCTAGGACTGAGGGTGTAGCTCAGTGGTAGGGCACTGTGGGTTCAATCCCCAGTACTGCAAAACAAATATTTAGAAACCTCTTTTTTCCTTCTGTTCCCTCCCTTCCTCTCTCCCTTCCTTCCTTAGTACTAGGGATCAAACCTAGGGTCTCCTGCCCCCCAGCCCTAGAAACTTAAGTTGCTAGTACTCATAGCCATTAACAAGGTGGGATAAGTTAAAAACTCACACCAGTTATAGAACACATGAAGACATTTACCCTAAGAATAAATTAGCTTTGGCTACTGAAGATATTGATAGATTCTCAAATCAAACTTTTTCCATAGTTGATCAGTAGAGACTTAGGTGTTCAGGACTTATTTTAAAAGGCAGCTGGACTGACACAATATATGGTATCAGAGGATAAAAATTTGCCAAAATACAGAAAGAATCAAATCAAAGCATAATCTGCCAAGTCTTCAAGACCATTTTAGAATTCCTCACGGTGCTTGTAGAACACCTTATTAGATATCAGGGGCTTTCAAACTTTGGTGATTCTTCAACACAACCTGGTATATACTAGGAAAAAACTGATCTAGGAAACTTTTCAAGTGTGATGTTAAATAAGAAACTGTTAAGACACATCAGAAAATTTATTTATAGTCAATCCACCATGCAAGAAAAAGTGCCACAAGTTGACAGGCAAATGCAAATTTTCAATCCTGTCTTTCCAACCACATTGGGATACAAAGGAAGAATAGAATACTCCAGAGTTCATAAATGATCATATTTAACACCTCTCAAAGACTTTGTACAGATCAGGCAGGTTAGCAAGCTGCAGAACATTCCCATCTTCTGTGAAATGTTTAGGAGGCAGAAGGTGTGAGCGGAATGCTTTATAGACAATGTGTTCCACAGTCCACTTCCAGGGGTTTGGTGTGGAGCCAGGTACCTCGCTCTGAAAAACACATGTTAGATGTCATAAGCCTCCCTGTACATACTGCCTTCCTGGCAATGGGGTGGGCACTGGGCCTAGACAGTCCTGGTGGCTTGCGATGGACTGTGTTGTCTAAAGCCTAGCCTCTCAGTAATCCCAGAGGCTTGAACATAAGAGATGAGGTCTTTGAGAGGGCAAAGTAGCTATTGCTCTTGCAGGGCCATCTCCTATGGAATTTCTGTGTCCACTCAGGAAGGAATGTGTTGTTTATTGCAGGATCTAACATAATGTCTGATCCTGACTGGTATCTGGATGGCAACATTTGAAGTATCTAACTCACCTTCAAATTTGGAGGTCTGAAAGTAGCTGTTTTTCCAAAACCTCCACAGATAAGAAATGAAAAAAAAATGGTAATTTTGCTTTATTGTTCCTATGAGAAAATGTTCATTATCATCTGTAGTTCCTTTCCTTGAGGTACATACTCCCAATCAAATAAGATAACTCTCAGCACTGTATGGTAAGTGTGCTGCCTTGCCTTTTCCACCAGAGGGAGAAATTCCCATGGCTTTAGCCAGAAAGACCTGGGACTGAATCTCCTACACCTATAAGGCACTGGGGATCCCTGAGTATGCCAACTGTCCTGCAGCTTTCTGACCTGTGAAGCACGCAGACCACTTCATCTCAGGGTGACCATGAACAATCACTAAGATGGCTATGCAGTAAAATGGCTATCCTTTAATTTGTGTACTACTTCCACTCCTCTGACCCCCACTCCCCCGAAATACTTGCTGATTGAAAGGGATTATTATCTGACTGGTTGTTATTTGTGTCAGATTGACCTATAAGTGGAATTCCAGAGTCTTATTTCCTGGCTGTGCAGCAGTAGACATGGCAGAAATAAAGGGTGACCAGGGACACATCCAGAATCTGAGGACTTGGGCTGACAATGGGACTCAGGGACCCACCAGCCTCGGACAATCTGTCTCAATGTGATGGCTTGTGCTTCTACAGTGGACAGTTTCTGAGATCATTCTAGAGGTCTAAGTTCTAGAGCAGCAGAAGGAAAAAAAAAACTCGTAAATAAAGCTGACCACTGTGTTTGATACGGGAGAACATACCCTGTTAGATATATGAGAACTCAAGATTTTAGAGATGGGCAAGTTTCATCTCTTAAAGGTTGTATAAGGGCCCGTCCCTGTCCTGGAGTGCTAGTGTGCTAGGCCACAGTACCTGTTGGCCTGAGAGGGTCGACTCCTCCGATATGTACTGCTTCCGGATGGAATAAAACATAGCACATTCTTTACTTAAGCTTTCAAAACATTCCTTTTCTTCATCCCAATTCACCTGGTTGAAAGAATTAAAAAACTTAGGATAGGTACATGCTTTAAATAATTTCATTTGTAAATGGGGATCATGAACTACTTATAGCTAAAAAATGTGACTCTTAGGCATTGAAATAGTTAACTGATAAGTATGGCTGGGGACAAATATTGGTGTGGCTGATGGAATCTTCATGCTGTTCTACCCTTGTCATCTTGACAGTTCCAAACGAAGGTGCGGTCACATGCCCCCTTTACCCAGAATCCATGCATGTACCCATATGCTTAGTACCTGCTTATCACTCACCTCTGTAGCTAATCGAAGGATGAAGATAGGCAATCCCTCCAAGGGGGGCACATAACTGTCAATTAGAAGGGGTAATCCAATCAGGTTCCCTTCCTGCTTGTGGGAAAAAGGACAGAAAAGGGGACAATATTTAACAAACTTATTTAAACAAAGTATAAACAAATTTCATTAGTGCTTCCCCAGTTCTCATCCTCAAAGGTTTCTGGTTACTTGACTGGACTGGGCATGGGAGGAAGATCCAAGCAGTTAAAAAGCTTTTGGTCCCAGTGTACAGCAAAACAACCTTTTATTTGGCTCTGCTCACTAATCAACACATCGAGACAGAAACTCCCTAAGATTAAGAGGTAAGAGAAAGAAACAGAAGCAAGTGGCATAATCTCATGTATTGAAGCCTGCAGGGCATGGAATTCAGCTCTTCCTCCTGTCTGGATCCTTTACCATGAGAACAGGAGTGGCATAAACAGTTGTATATCCAAGAAATGCAAACAGGGAACAAAGAAGATTTCATTTCTGTCACATGCTGCTTCTGAGGGGGAGCCCAGACTTTTCATCTTGATCTAGGAATCTGAAGAATATGGCAGGGGCTGTATACAACGAATGGCCATCATACCATATCAATTTCCAGAGAGAAATAGTCTGCAAGCATCTCAGCCTTCTTCTTCAGAAACTCAACAATATATTCTGCAAGTCCTTCTTTGGGGCCATCTTCCTCCGTCCAGCCACTCTCAGGACTGTCTAAGGCAAGCATGGCAAGGTCAAAGAGTGGTGCTGGCTCCTAGGAAGGAGTGAGAACATCAAGGAGCAAGCATTAAAAGGACATCAAATTACAAAGCCCAAATTCCCACCAAACCACTGCCAGAAGAGCAGGTGAGATACCACAAATGTTAACATTCCCCATTTCCCTCCAAGGAAGTGCCTGAAGAGTCCACACAAAACCTCTTTCCTCTTTGTCAATGGGTGTTTCAACAGACAGGCTGTGATAGACAAGAGGCCTGCTGAACAGCAGGAGGGCTGAGGCTACCAGCAGGTACTTTTCTTTTATGTAGCCCTAGGAATTCAACTAACACAGTTCTAGAAAACTACTAAGCAGATCATTTCTTTACACTGATTCACCCATAACCAAATCAGGGAGGAGGGAGAATAAATCAAATAGAGCAACATTTCAGGTAAATCATCTATCTGGTGGGGAAGAGGATGGCAATCTATGGTCAAAAAGGAGATACATAAAGCTATTCTCCGTTTTTTCCCTTCTGATGTCGTTACTATTATTTTGATGTTATTTTTTCATAATAATAGGATTAAAAAAAGGATGTAACAACTTTAAACACTTTAGTACCTAATAACAGTGCTTTAAATTATTTAAAGGAAAAAACTAAGATAACTGCAAAGAGAAATAGATAAATTTGTATTTATAGCTTGAAGTTTCAATGCCTATTTCTCAATAACTAATAGAAAAAATAGAAGATTGGCAAGGATATTGAAGACTTAAGCATAAATATCAATTTGATACATCTGATATTATAGAACGAACTCAACAAGATCAGAAGACTAATTCTGTTAAGTACAAACAGGGTATTTACCAACAAAGACCATATTCTGGGCCATGACATAAATCTCAATAAATGTATAAGAATTCACATGTGTTCTCTGACCAAACGGAATTCAGTTAAAAATCAGTAACAAATCTCTGAAAAATCCCCAAGAGATTAGAAACTACATGACACAATTCTAAGGTCAAAGAACAAATAAAAAAGAAAATTAGAAAGAATTCTGTTCTGAATGAAAATGACAACAATATCAAAATTTGTGCTAATGCAGTTTTTAGGGAAAATTTATAGTATTTTACATCTATAGCAAAGAAAAAAGCTCTCAAATTAGTGACCTCAGCTTCTACCTTAAGGAATATAATATAGAAGACAAAACAAAATAAGCAGAAAAAAAAATAAAGGTCAGAGCACATATCAATGAAATAGAACACAAAAAGCAAGAGAAAGGGATAAAACCAAAGTTAGTTCTTATGATATGATCAATAAATCAACAAACCTTTAAGTAGATTAATCAAGCTAAAAAAGAAGACAAATTATCAATATTAGGATTGAGAGTAGTTATATCACTACAGATCTATAGATATTAAAAGAATAAGTAATATTACGAACAACTTTAGGCCAATACATTTGGAAAAAACAGGTTAAAGGAACAAAATGCCCAGTGTTACCCAAGAAGAAACAGGTAATTTGAATAGCTCCTTATCCAGTAAAGAAATTAAGTTTATAGTTTAAAATTTTCTCATAAACAAATTCTCCAGGCCCAGATGAAATTACTCATGAATTCTATCAAACATTAAGGAAGAAACTCTATAAAAACCCTTTCAGAAAATAGAAAATGAGAGGATATTTATCAAAGGAGAGGATAGTATGGGATCAGCATACCCTGATACCCAAACCATAGATAACAGTACTTCTACTCAACTTTGTTCTGGACATTCTAGCCAGTGCCATCAGTCAAGAGAAAGAGAAAAGGCATCCAGACTGGATAGGAAGGAAACTTCTTATTCTTTGATGACATGATCATTTATGTATAAAATCTGATAGATTTGAATCACCATTTATCACAGCATTAAAAATATGAAATATTAAGGGATTAATTTAACAGAATATTTTCTCCCCAAGTTAAACTATATATTTAACATACCCTAATCAAAATCTCAGCAGGGTTTTTCATAGAGTATGTCAAACGAAAAAGAAAGCTACCTGGATGGGTAGTATGGTTTTAACTCTGAATTAAAATTAGGTACTGAAAGTCTTGGAAGAAATGGACTAAAATTAATTGTTGGGGTTGTGTATTAACTAGTTTTATAAAATATTTATTTTCATCTCTTTCCAAGCTTTCTTAAATAGATATGTATTAATTTCTATTATAATAAACATTTGTTCAAGTTGGCCACTAAATGACTATTTGGCTAAAAAACATCTTATGGCAATTAGATACTTCCTATATAGCAAATGATACAATACACAAACTATCCTATGCATATTTAGAAAAATTTAATATACTACAAAGAAGATATTTGTGTAGAGCTCCTATTTTCAGAAATGACCAGCTGTTTAAGTTCCAGAAATGAGAATATAAACTTACCGATAACTTCAGAACACCAAAATTGGCAAAATCATAAATGAGTATCTGGTAGAACAGTTCTTCACTGAAAACAAAAACGAAGTAATTTTAATGAAGAGCTGAATCCATGCTTGTGGGCTGAACAGTGGGCACAAAATGGGAGAAGTAACCTCTGAAACATGGACAGAGATGGTTCTGCCTGGCTGTGGAATCTGGTTTACAGTCTAACAAGATTTCTTCTTCCTTCAAAGAGCTGGGAGTACCAACATTTGTTCTACCAAGGCATTGGGTAGCCAGCCTCCACAGGCAGGGATTAATTTAACAGAATATTTTCTATGTCCAGCTTACTATGTCTGGCTTGCTATCACCCATGCTGTTCCCAGCCTTAGGGTGCTATAAAAGATTTCTGACATCCTGTAGTGAAATTTAAGTTTTTTGTTTGCCTTTCCCACTTAACAAAGAATCCTATAACAACTTTTTGACAACTCAACATCAAAAATTACATAGGAAAAAATTACATGGAATGTATAGGCAAGACAGGGAATCTTCCTAAGTAATTGAAAGAGGATATAAGGCAGAATTATACTACACTGATATATGGCTTAGGATGGTGCACTGGCTGGCAACAATCCAAGAGCAGCTGTTAAATATAGAACATACTGAATTATTTACAGAAACAAAGACTTGGAATAAATGTTACATTTATATGATACTTTCTAGTTCTTTTTTGTGCTTTTATTCGTGCATTATAGTTATACATAACAAATAGGTTTTTCGACATAAACATACATGCATGGAATTTGATTTACTCTGTTTCAGTTTCCAGTGTCCCCCCTTTCCCTTCCCTTCCCCCCCCCCCCCCAATTCTCTTTCCTCTACTGGACTTCCTTCCACTCATTTATTTATTTTTAATTGGTGCTTTATAGATATACATAAAGGTAAAATTCGCTGTGGTATATTTATACATGTACACCGCATAATCTTGTCAAAATTGCCCTGTATTTCCTCCCCTTTCCTTTCCCTCCTCCCTCTCCATCTCCTTCCACTCCACTGGTCTTCCCTATATATTTATAATATCCAATCCTCGCCTTCCATTTTTTCCCCTTCTTTTGCCCTAGCTTCCATATGATCCAACCCTTGATTTTCTGTTTTTCTTGATTTTCTTCTTATTTCACTTGGCAAGATGTTTTCCAGTTCTCTTTACCAGCAAATGCTATAATTGTGAATTTCATACTATAAATACTGATGTACCTGTATTTTGATAGTATGCTGATTTTAATTCTTTTGTTGATGTGGCTAGTCTTAAGGAAGCACCTACTGCTTTCCAGAGTGGTTATACTAATTAGCAGTCCCAGTTACCTTTCCCCCACATTCTAATATTTATTATTATTTGTATTCTTGAAGATTGCCATTCTCACTGGATTGAGATGAAATCTCAGTGTAGTTTTGATTTCCATTTCCCCAACTGCTAGCAATTTTTGAACATTTTTTCATGTATTTTTTGGTCATTTATACTACTTCTTTTTTGAAATTTCTTTTGCCCATTTATTTACTACATTGTTTTGTTTTGTTTTGCTAGTTCTTTTGCCCATTTATTGATTGGGTTATTATTTTTTTTTGGATGTTAAGCTTTTTGAGTTCTTTATGTATTCTGAACATTAATCACCTGTCAGAGGAGTAGCTAGCAAAGATTTTTTTCCCATTCTATAGGACCTCTCTTCACATTCTTAATTGTTCAAAACTTTTTAATTTGATGTTGTCCCATTTTATTTCTTGAGTTTTTGGGGTCTCAGTAAGGAAACTGGTGTTGACCCTATGTTTTCTTCCAGTAGTTGCAAAGTTTCTGGTCATCTTTGATCCCTTGATTTGAATTTTTGCAGGGTAAGAGAGAGGGCTGTATAGCGTCATTCCTCTGCATGTGGATATCCAGTTTTTCCATCAACCTTTTTTTTTTTTTTTTTTTTAAAATGGTCTTTTTTTGGGCTGGGGCTGTAGCTCAGTGGCAGGGCACTTGCTTCGCATGCATGAGGCACTGGGTTTGATCCTCAGCACCACATAAAAATCAACAAATAAAATAAAGGCATTCTATCCACTACAACTACAAAAAAATTAAAAAAAAAAAAAAAAAAAAAGGCTCTTTTCTCCAGCATATGCTTTTGGCACCTTTGTTAAGAATCAGATACCTGCATCTCTATAGGTTTGTCTCTCTCTTCTATTCTACTCCATTGGTCTTCATGTCTATTTTGATGCCAATATCATGCTGTTTTGGTTACTATAGATCTGCCCTTTACAGTTCTTAAAACAACTGAACCTTGGAGATCTTGCTGAAAGACTTCATTATCAGTCAAAGCAGACAAAGAATCCTCTATACCTGCATTATAGTGGGGAAACTGAGGCATCAAGTGAGTAACTAATGTGTCCCATGTCACTTAATAAAGTGACAAAGGAAGGAGGTGAATCTAGATATTAGACTGAACCCAGTTCTCTCCTTGTGACTTTTATCTTCTTACTGGAAGCCATTCACATTTATTAATACAAGTTGGTATCCCTTATCCAAAATGTTTAGGACCAGAAGTATTCTGAACTTTTTCCAAATTTTGGAATGTTTGCGTATACATAATGAGATATGTCTAAACACAAAATCCATTTATGTTTTACACCTTATACATATATCCTGAAAGTAATCTTATACAATATTTTTAAGAATTTTGTGCATGAAACAAAGTTTCACAGTGCAGAATTTTCCACTTGTAATATTATGCTGGCACTCAAAAAGTGTCAGACTTTGGAGAATTTTGGCTTTTGGATTAGGGATGCTCAAACTGTAGCTGCAATTCTGGAACTGGCCTGGATTTCTATCTGTGACTTGAAAGAACCTGAATGCAAGTGTGATTTGAAGCCTTGAAAGTTATGTACTTAGATATGCCACAAAGGAAAGAGCAAGCAAAGTAGAATTACCAACAAATTAGTAAATGGCAGCTCACTATACAAACCCAAGGATTCTCAAAGAAGTCAATGGAACTGGAAAAGAGCTGCACCAAAAAGGTTTCCAAGCCTAGGAAGGAGTTCTAAATATCTGAGCTATGGAGGCAATGGTATATTTCTGGACTGGGGCAGTTACTCAGTAAAAGATGGAAACAAGATTTTATGTCATGTGCCAACTCTAAGCAATGTATACTGGCTGTTGCACTCAACATGGCTGAGAACCACTTGAAGCCACACAGCAGGTTTTGGAAAGGGGTAGTTCCACAGTTAGTGAATGGTGTTTAATATATGTAAGGTAGCAGCAGCATCCCATGTCTATTACCTATTTGAGAACATATTTAGCAATGGTTCTAGACAACAGCTCATTGACCAAAGTCCCAGGAAACCATCAATAGAAATGCTGCTAGGCAAATGGCCCTGTTGAGGTCCATCTTCCTGTGCTGATCAATACCCCCTGGCTTTTTTGGCGGTTACAGTATGCCTTTGGTACATCCCCAAAGCCAGATGGCAGAAGATCTTCTTGCCTCCCCCACAGTACCCTGTTGCACACAGTAATACCAGAATTGTCTACTAGCACCAATTCCTCAATATCTGGTTCACAGCCAACAACATTGAACTAACTCAGTTCAACACTGAGCACTAAGCCCATTGTGAGGACTAGGCTTCCCGGGTTATTTTCCTCACAAAAAATCCTTCAAGCAGGAGGTTGATAGTAATATCCTAATAGTAATATCCTAATTTACAGATGAGACATAGTTTAGGAAAGTAACTGGCTCACAGAATGGGAAATGGTTAAACATGGATTTGGAATCATAATTGCCGATTCCCAAACCTTTCCAACCACCTCAAACAGCCCTCCCCAGCTTTACACCCTGGACCATTCATCTAGTGGCTCTACTTTTTAATTTTTTAAATATGTTTTTAGTTATACATGGACACAATATCTTTATATATTTTTATGTGATGCTAAGGATTGAACCCAGGGCCTCACATGTGCGAGGCATGTACTCTGCCACTGAGCCACAACCCCACCCAAGTGGCTCTACTTTTTATATATGCTCATTAACTTACCTAAGTTTGGTGGTATTGAGGAGGTATAACTTGGTCTGATGCTGTGCCAGGGCCCACTGAGGGTTTACGCAGCCCACAAAAGAGTGGTTATGTAGCATCTCTCGGAGAGCTGGAAAACAAAAAAGAGAAATGTAAAACAGGTAAGTAATGAAATCCTACCAACACTTCTTCATACTCCAAGGTACCAAGAACCAGCACTAAACACACCAAACAGATAAACATGCCATGACTGAACCTCCTGCTGAAAACACACACACATGAGGAATTTATAGACTCATCTTTTAAAATGCAATGAGGGAGCTGGTGTTGTGGCTCAGTGGTAGAGTGCTTGCCTACCATGTGTGAGGCACTGGATTTGATTCTCAGCACTGCATATGAATAAATAAAGATCTATCAACAACTAATAAAAATATTTTTTAAAAGTAATGAGGAATTGCTAAAAGATTAAGGAATACTCAAGGTTTAATCAAAGACAAAGCAGGAACCCAGAGAAAGAATGAGAGCTCTGAAGTCAATTTTATACAAAGATTCTAGATGAACCTCAGGAATCACAAACTTTTAGAGTGAGAAAGGAGGACAAAAGTCTTAAGAATGGTTTGAAATGGGAATTCTAATAGGAAACCACTGCAGTACACACAAAATTGAGATGAAACGAGTGTTCATAAAAAGAAGTTCCTGGATAAGTCCTAAACTGAAGGTATTTTCACATAACTGATTACTACCTAGAATATATATATAAAGAGCTACTAAAATCAGAAAAGATAAAAAAAACCCAACAGAAAAATGGGCATAAAACTTGGAGAGGCACTTAGCATTAGAGGAAATACATTTAACTGAGCTTTACTAGTCACCAATGAAATGCAAACAAAAACCATCATCAGATTACTGTTTCATGATTACCAAACTGGTAAAAAGTCTGACCGCATCAAATATTGGAGAGAATACTCCTTGGGTACAAATATACTTCTGTACATTGTTGATGGGAGTATAAAGGAAAATTAGAAAATAGTTTGTCATTTTATGACCCAGCAGAAACTCTTATAAGTAAACACCTTAGAGCAGAGCTTCCCAATCAGTGTACCAAGCCACTGATCAACTCATGGGGGGGGAAGCTGGGTAAGATTTGAGCAGCCAGGGACTGAAGCCATACGAATCTTTCAAATGTCCTTCCACAGAACGAATGAATGCATATTCATGAGGTAGAATCCATTATACAGAAAAAGTAAACCAGAGCTGTATGTAACAAATGGATGAATTTTAGGAACATAATATGCCTGTGTATGTTCACAACTGAATAGTTTTTTAAGGAATACAAACATAGGTGGTAAAAATATAATAAAATGAAAGGAAATAATTGCACAATTTGGGACAACAGTTATTTCTAAGGGTATTTGTTTCTCTGTAGATGCTACATTATTTTGTAATATGATTTTGGATATGCTAGTGTGCATGCGTGTGTGCGTGTGTGTGCGTGTGTGTGTGTGTATTATTATTATCTTGGCAGTGCTGAGATAGAGCACAGGGCCTAGTGCATGCTGGGCAAGCATTCCACCACTGAGATACACCTCTAAGGCCTTTTTAAATTTTGAGTCAAGCTCTTACTAAGTTGCCCAGGCTGGCCTCAAACTTTAAATTCTCCTGCCTTAGTCTCCCAAATAGTTGAGATTATAGGTGTGTGCCAATCTTCCCAGTCCACGAGTTATTATTTTTAATGAAAGACATCAATCTCCACCAAAAAGGAAGAAGGGAGAAAACAGGGCAAAGATCTAGGCTCAGCAACAGGCCTATATGTTGTATTTTTACTATATTTTTTCTTTAAGCTTGGCCATCACAAGAAAATTTTCATAGTGTTATATAAGTTCTGTGATGACCCCTCCACCCCCATAAAAACAGACATTCATTTTTAGAATAAGTGTTTCCCTCTGTTCCCACTGAAAATTCAATGTCTCTACAGGATGTTCTGCGTGGGTGGAGAATGATTATTTTAAAAGCTGGAGAACATTAAATAATCTTGAATAATGAGGCACTGGAGGAAAGAGAAAGCAGCGTAATCTACTAAAAATGGGTCAGAGATTTTTCTGTGCAGAATATTCATGGCCCGCTCTGCTGCACCCATAGCTGCTGACACGCAGCCCCACCAGCAGGGCAGGGAAGGGCAGCATGTGTTCACCATGCACAGGGCTCTGCTTCCCTGGGCCTCTTCACAGCTTGTCACAGCATCTCTAGGTCATTCCTACTCTAAACTCCCCACAACCCTAGAAGTCCACCAGTGTTATTTTCCCGCTATTTTGCAAAGAGCAACATGGGACAAAACCCTTCTGGGCTTTAAAGCCAAACTGCATGCACATCTGATTCACAACTGAGGCCAGCAAGTAAAACCAAGCCTAAGGAAGGGCCCAGGAGCAAGCACCAGAAGAAAGGAACCAGTTCTTTAGTTTCTGATGTCCATCTGCAGGTGAAGGCTAGTGCCCTGCTGCTGCCTTCTAGAGCCCTGTGTGCCAGGACCTCTGAGATGATCAACTGGCCTACCCAGCCCTCTGGGGAGCTCTGACTGTGAATTCCTGCTGAACTGCCCTTCTCTCTACCACAGAATTTCTTTCATTCTATAGCAATGGTAGCCAATTATTTACTAAACAATCCCCACACAATACCATGGTATTCTAGAAGGCAGTGTTCATGGCCTATTCATCTCATCCTCTACCTCTGAGCTTGGCACAAAGAATTTTATAGAGAAGATACACGACAAATGCTTGCTGGACTGATTTCATATACCAAAAGAAACTGTCAACTGTGACAAACCATGTTAAGAGTATATATATTTAGACCTGAGTCTATTCACAAGGACCAAGAAAATAAAATCGTGGTTGTCTTGGGGCAAAAACAAAACAAAACAAAACCCCAAACCAAAACCAAACAGCTATGACATTCATTATCCCCATTTAATTAGATCAAAATTATGGGACTAGCAATAAATCCAATCATTACTAATCCCTAATGTCATGGAACACCTGACTGGATACTGGGCCTTCCAAAATTAACCTCATTTGTTAACTGAACATGTGCTCACCACGGATGGGTAAACCCACCAGGCTTAAGAAACTTGTCTGAGTGTTCAACTTGGATACCTCTCTAGAGCAGATCCTAGGTCTTCACCTCCCAGCTGTTCCTCTCAACCACTTGACCTCTCCTATAGCAAGTATCTCCTGAGTCTACATGCCAGGCACCATGCCGGGCAACATGAATGATGAAACAGCCAACTGGAGTTCAGAAGGTTGTCTTGAGAAAAGCAGCTCTTATCTCTTCAAACAGGATCATAAGGTCAGTGACCCTAAGAGAAATCCTGGTGCAGCATTCCACTCAAAGACAGCCAGTTTTCCCCTGTAGGTATAAATGAGATGCCTGGAACAGTGCCTTGGAGCTTCCAAAGCATGCACACAGTATCTCAGGTATTCACAACAGCCCAGTAAGGCCTGTCATAGTGGCACATTTTACAGAGCAGCACAACAAAGCCCTAATAGCTGAGTGAATTTCTGCCTGGCCAATGAAAGGTGTAGCTGGCAGGCGCTTCATAAGAGTTCTAGCTTTGCTCACCCCACTTCCCATATTACAGCTACTCCTGCTGTGAGACCCTACATGCTACAGACCTCCCATGTCTGAAAATACTGGCCTTGCCCTATGGTGTCAGAATCACAGGGTGTGCTTGTCCTGTACAAGCCAATAACCTGGTTTTGCAATTAAATACTGGGTGAGACTTCCTGGGTAACTGCCAAGGCAAGCAACAACCCACCATCTATAAGGTAAGTACCTGGGCCTTTTTTCCCCTCAAGACAGGTGCCCACAGTGGTGCCCTGGATGGCCTAGAACTCCTAGACTCAAGCAATCCTCCTGCCTCAGCCCCCAAGTAGCTGGGATTATAGGCATACACTGTCACACCTGACTCTCAGACAGTTTTGGATCATTGGGCTGTTCCAACTAGTTTATCCTCTTCCTCTTCTATTTCTCTGTCATTAAAACAGGAGCCGAGTGTGGTGGTGCACACCTGTGATCCCAGTGGCTCAGGAAGCTAAGACAGGAGGATGGTGAGTTCAAAACCAGCCTCAGCAAAAGCAAGGCACTAAGCAACTCAGTGAGACTCTGTCTCTAAATAAAATACAAAAATAGGGCTGGGGATGCAGCTCAGTGGTAGAGTGCCCATGAGTTCAATCCCCGGTACCTGCTGCCAAAAAAACAGGAGATGACAACACCTGCTCTGCCTCCCTCATAAAAGTATTTGAGAATTAAATGAGATAATGTGTGTATATAATTTTATACCATGTAGATTTATCATCTTGGCTTCAGCAAGACTCCAAACCTGACCATGCTTGAGATAGGGTGGTATTATATTGCACTGAAGCAGTCCGACACTATTAAAACATTTATTGAAATGATCTTTAATAGTCTTTGCATGAGGGAGACAAACTCAGTAAATTCCAAGTCTGAGAGACTCTGTCAACTAAGACTGTTGTGAAGAGGACTGCTAAATAAATCAAGTAACAAGTTGCATTACGTTACTAAAAATTGTTTTAAGAGCTCCCAGCTTGAAAGCTAATAACAGGGGAAAGAGCAACTGGAGCAAATCTTCATGGAAATAACAATTAGAATCCAAATGGCAATCATTTCCATACAAATGGCAAAAAGTCAGTCATAGGAAGTTTTTACCCTGCCCAAGTGTAGAGACACCCTATGTATCTCTTCCTACACGTAAACAAAGGTCCAGAGTGCTAAGAAAAGAGAATGAACAGGGAAAGGCAAGTTGAGGCCTTCCTAAATTAGATCAGCTAAGTGGTGACTAAGCCTAGGAAAACCTTAAGAGGCAGCTGAGTCACAGCAACTGTTTCAAAAGGTTAAGGATTAGTGGGAAAGTACCAACTTGCTCCTTAGCTATTCATTCCTTTTAAAAATTAATCCAGATGTTCATATTTTAAAATACATTGAAAAATAGTGTTGAAATTTATTTAAATCAAGAATATATAGTAGATGAAAAATGAAAAGGTCATGGTTAAATTTTATGCAGATGCAAGTGCACAGTTGCCACCTGGAACACTGCTCAATAAAGCCTGTACTTGGGGTGTTCTTGTCTCAGATGGTGGGGTCAGGATGATGTGAAGGCCAGTTTGCTGTTACTCACTCCAATCCCTGGATCAGCCCCCACTTTTAATTCCTATAACCATTAAGTTAGTTTTGAAGTAATAGGGACCAAGATGGAGTTCTATACTTTGGTATTCTCAAAAGCTATTTCTGAGGAAGATGATAATAGTTTATTACTTTCTCTTCAAGTTATAAAAATATCTACTGACTCCTTATACTATAATAAGTATTTTATTTATATTTAATCTCTAATCAGCACAATGATCTTACAGGGTAAAATTAATCTCACTTTATAGATGAGGAAAAACCAAGGCATAGAAAGGTCAAGTCCCAAGTATGAGGTCACATGGTAGAAGTGGTTGTGCCAGGAACCTCCAAAGCCTATGAACTTTCAGCAACAGCATATCCCATTCAGGCTACAGGATAAGAATTTTGCTGACTGTCAAACTGCTTTTAACTAAAAACAGTAACAAAAACAAACTAGAAATTGCTGAAATGACTGCTCTACTCTGACTCCTATGGTTTAATGAGATAACCGATTAATTCTAATTAAAACAAACCAACTATTTCCCCCCTTCTCTTCTTCTGAAAAGTGTCTTTAAGGGAGGGAAGAGAGGTTTGCCCAGTACATGCAGTGGGTACCCTGACAACATATATGCTTTCTGCATTTCTCAAACCTATTAATGTTAGCAGGCAGATTTCAGCACTTACGTACTCTCATGTCCCCGCTCATTAATTTCTTCCTGCAGACTCAAAACACTAGTGAGGTTAATGATCCTTCTCCGGGGCATACAGGCTGCGGTCATTTCCTTCCGGGAATCACTTTCTATCATTTCCACATCGGAGTCTTCCCGATGTCTTTTTCTGCAATGAAAAAAGGAAACAGGTCATTGCTTTTCCTTTTAATTTTTGGACTTAGCCAAGTTTTTCATGTTGCATTTTGGAAAAGAGAGCAGCTTCTACACAGCTGCAGAGAGATCCCTACTGGTGGTAGGCCTTTCCAAGATGTCTACTCTCTAGTACACTCCTTATCTGACAATCCTTAGATCCTAGCAGCAGGCTATGTAACCAGGATTTGGAATCTAGCTTGGCCCATAAAGCCATAGGGTTCTGAGCAAGTGAACTGATCTTGTCAAGCCTGATTCATTCATTCCGCCATATACCCATCCATCTATCTGACACTGTTATATACTAATTACAAACAGCAACAAACATAGCAGACACAGTACCTGCCCTCCTGATGCTTACTTTCCAGTGGGAGAGTCAAAAGACAATAGAAAAAATAAAAAGATTGTTTTTAGTAGCAATAAATGCTAGGAAGAAAATAAAACAAGGAAACATACTAAAATGATGGGAAGGTGAGAGGAAAGGAAGCTTTAGTCTAAATGAACAAAGAAGGCCTCTGGCAAGAGGGGACACTTGACATGAGACCTGAGTGGCAAGAAGTCAGTGCCTTCTAGGTTAAGGGAACAGCAAGTGCAACTAGAGGGTAAGAAGCTCAGTCAATTCAGATTAACCACATGAGCCATGTGGCTAAAGCAGCATGAGGAAGAGGGAAAGTGGAGGTTTAAAGGGAAGGCAGGCAGGGATTTAGGTTTTAGCCCAATGCAATGGGAAACCACCGAGAGGTTTTTGGCAGAGAAGTGATGCAATGACTTTTGCTTTAACTGTTCTGTGGTAAATATTACTTAGTTCCTCCAAAATAAAATGCAATACTTCCTTTGCAGGGTTTAGAGCATTAAATGAGACAATGTATACAAAATATCTAACACACAATAAATGTTTGATACATACCAGCATCTTTCAATATTGTCTAGAAAAAAATCCTTAGAAACTGTCATGATAGGATGTCTCAGAAATAAGTAAACTGGAGTTAAGTAATTTGTCCAAGTTGAAGTGGACATTTAGTGCTATGGCTTTTGGTAGTCAGCCACCACGTAAATGTGCAGTATGGGGCAAATGACTTTATCTGAGCTCCAGGTTCAGCATGTATACATATTAAATAAAGAATACTGGGGCTGGGGTTGTGGCTCAGTGGTAGAGCACTTGCCCAGCATGTGTCAGGCACTGGGTTCAATTCTCAGCACTGAATATAAGTAAATAAAACAAAGGTTCATTGACAATTAAAAAAAAAAAAAAAAAGAATACCCACCTCACAGATTTCAGTGAGGTACAGTTTTTAGAGAATATGCATAGTGTACACAGGAAATGCTCAAACAAAATGAATCTAGTATTATTCTAGTATCATTCCTGTCCCTTTTTCCTAGCTCTCTTTTACCACTCACTCATATACTTCAGGAGTTTTGTGAACTGGATTCAGAAAGTGGGCTTCTTCTAAACAGAGTGATAGCAGCTTTGTAGGATAGAAGAGCTATTTTAGGCTTCTGTCTTTAGCAACCTCTGGTGTTGAAGCTTTATCATAATGCTTTACTAAAAACAAAGGATACACCTGCTTTTTTTCTGATGTGTTTTTAACTAATACTTGGAAACCATAGATGTTTAACGTACCTCAGAGAACACATGGTCAAAGACAGACAGTGGACATAGTCACAGCACTGCCACAGTGGAGGGAGAGGACAAGTCAGGCAAAAGAAAATGCAAGTGGTTCGTGAAAATCCAAACTTAGAAGGTAGTTTTATTACAGAACAAACAGGTAAGCTTCACTTTCCTCAAAAAGCCATACCTGGGGTTGCTTGGGCTGGGACTGGGTGCTCTCTTCTCTACTGTTTCCGAAGCCTCCTTTGTTGCATCCTCCTCCAAGCTCTGATTTTTGGCAGCCACCTCAGCAGGAGATGGAAGTTCAATCATCTCCTCATCTTGCTGCCTGGCCTCACCACTAGAACCATCTGTCCTATCCCCTGGGATAGTGGCCTGGGGCTGACTGGACAGGGCCTTGCTCATGGGCTGCAGAAAGGCATCAAGTTTCTGTTCCCGGGAATCTGTTCGGACCATTTGGTAAGCATAGACCTTGTCACCACTTCCAGAAGTAGATGAGGAGGTCACACCTGTTGTGGATTTAACCACCTCCCCAGAAGGACCTGGAAGTCCTGGTAGCAAAGTCTGTATCAAAAAAGAAGACAGTGGAAAGACTCAGAATATAAATTATAGAAGCCCATGGGCCAAAATGGAGCAGTCTTAGAGAAAGAAGTTAGAACTAGATATGATTAGCATTACACAATTATTATTATAAGCAATTTTGACCAAAATTCAATAAAATAGGTTTACAACTATAAAATTCAGGAATTCAACAGTCTGTATAATATTAAAATTAACTTAAAATACCACTGTAAAGTTTTCATATTTTCATCCTTTCTTTGCTATTATTTTGTTTTTCTGTTGAAGTGAAATATATATAACATGAAATTTACCATTTTAACCATGTTTAAATGAGAGTTAAGTGGCATTAAGCACATTCACACTGTGTGCAGCCATCTCCACCATCCACCTCCAGAACTTTTTTATCCTCCCAAAATGAAACTCTCTATGTGTTTAACAGTAACTTCCCATTCCTTCCTCCTCCCAGCCTATTTTTATTTTATTTGACTTAATTATTTTTTGCAGTGCTGGGGGCTGAACCCATGGCCTTAAGCTCTCTATATCCCCACCCCTATTTTTAAATTTACATATTTCCTAGCTCTGCACACTTAAAAGGCCAAAAAGTAATGGCTTCCCAGAAGCCATGAGGACCCCAGATCCCAGATTATGGTCCCTAAATACCAATCCCCAATAAAATGAACTAGAGCTCCTCAGAGAAATGTAGCCATTTCTAATCCAGGGCTTAGGCTGGGAAAGTACAGAATATGCCTACAAGATCCTGCCTAATGGAACTGGGTCAAAAAGAGAGGGCACCAGCTAGAAGGGGCTTCCAGTGGATTAAGACAGGATCATTTGAACATCAATAAGAAAAATAATTATAATTGATTAAAATAGGTTGTTTTGTTAATAGTTATGACAAAATATATATATAGAGAGAGAGAGTGGGGAGGGAGAAGAAGGAAAGAGGGTAAGAAAGGAGGAAAGGAAAAAAAAACATTAAGCACTACTGGAAAATGCCAGAATACCAACTAATTCCTTTGAAAATTCATATAGTTAAAGGAACAGAGTTCAGCATTTGGCCTTACTTTCTAGTATGAACTATATTTCAGGATAACCAAACAGCTTTAACAAATGAGACAACATTCTTTTGTATAAAAGAATTATAATCAATTGATAGAGGGAAAAAACAGATAAAACCAAAAATATCATAATCTTTAATTTAATAAAATAACTGGTTCAGGTAGTGGTCATCAAATGGTGAAATCACTGAGCTAGGTGTTGATGGGCAATTTGACAAAAAGGGAATCAGGCTGTCACCACAAGACCTCACTGATGAACCTACCACCAAAATGACACAACTAGTCACTCTGCGCCTCCTACTGGGACATGATAGGAAGCACAGGGTACCACCTAACCAGAGTCCTTGCCAAAGTGCTTTCCACTCCCCATTGCAGGAGGATGTGTGAAAAACTCCTCAGTCTGGGGCAAAAATTAGTCCCCTACTTTTCCTACCCCAGGAAACCCCACTAAACTCATTGAGTATCAGTGCTGATACCTTACTTTATGTCTTCCTTAGAATATGGATGAGTCAAAAGGGCCACTAAGCAGATTCTATCGGTGTCTTGGAGTCCATTGTTTAAAGGCAGGAGTGGATTGGCAGGGGATGGATCTGAGACAACCACCTGGGTTATAGGCCCAGCACACTCCTACGCCAGTACTGCTCTAGGTAGAGGATTCTCTCATTCATCTTCAAGTTTCACAACATGTTCACGTACCCTGAGCTGCTTCCTGATGGAACTCCTCACTCCTATTCTGCATCCCTACAACAGTCTGACTGATTTCATGTGTCTCCTCATCACCAAAGAGAGGAAAATGGACAAACATGAATGAAGCCCACAGACAGCATCTTTGAATAAAGAGCTGCTCTGACAAAATGAGTGGGGGTGAGGTGGCTATCATTTGTGAAACTGTGACCCTAGGTCATGATCCAAGGTTGTTTTGAAAATTAGACTAGTGAACTCAACAGTGACATAAATGTATTTAATGCTGCTTAACTGTACATTCAAATAATCATTTGTGTGTGTGTGTGTGTGTGTGTGTGTGTGAGAGAGAGATATATCTCTTTTACCACAATTTAAAAGAAAACCGAATGCCACCTCCTTGACTGGAGTAAGGAAGTTTCTGACTTCATTGGAGTGGGCCATTGGCAGTCTGGAAAACCAAGGTTTAGCAATTTGGAACATTTTCTTCTTTCAAGGGATCAAAAATGTGCGTGAGTGCTGGGATGAGTCTCAGTGGTAGAATATTTGCCTAGCTATGTGTGAGGCACTAGGTTTGATCCCCAGCACTGCAAAAAGTAAAATAAAGTGAATAAAAATTATTAAAAAGAAGAATTCTTGCCACAAAAAAATTTGACTCTGAATATAATCATGCCTCTGGATCTAATTTAAGATTCAAAGAAAATATGGAGGATCAGAACAAGTTAAGTGACACTAAGAAGAAGCAATCAGACTATCCAAACTGTGCATTATTCTATAGGAAATCTTTACAACAAGCCAATGGAACAACAATGAAAAAGAAAACTTTTCTAGTTTCAAAGAGAATTAAACAAAAACAACCAAATATTATGAATGGAACTTGACTGGATACAGATTTGAACAAAGCTGCTATAAAAATATTTTGGACAACTGGGACATTTGAATACAGATTGGTAATTAAATGATATTGCTATTAATTTTATTAAGTGTAAAATTACATTTTCTTATGTGATCACATAAGAAAAAAATTTTAGATGCAGGAAAGGTACTAGGGGAGACATGTCTGGATTGTACTTTAAATTACTCCTTTCCCCATCCCTAAGCAAGACAGGGATAGATAAAACTAATAGGGCAAAATGTTGATAGTTGTAGAACCTGAGTGACAGGTACACAGATATTGGTTGTACTGATTACGTTCTATTTTTAGAAATATTCATAATAGTTGGGCACATGGTAAATGCCCATAATCCCAGTGATGCAGGAGACTAAGGCAGGAGGATCAAATTTGAGGCAAGCTAGGGCAGCTCAGAGAGATCCTATCTCAAAATAAAAAATTCTGGGGCTCTAGATCAGTGGTAGAGAACCGTACATTCAATCTCAGTGCCTCAAAAAAATGATAATAATAATAATAATAAAATTACATAAAGTAGCAACTCTGTTCAAAAAAGTTCAACATACCCAATCAATAAATGGGCTAAGGAACTGAACAGACATCTCACAGAAGAAGTAACACAATCGATCACTGGGTGTGGTGGTACATGCCTATAATCCCAGTGGCTCAGGAGGCTGAGGCAGGAGGATCAAGAGTTCAAAACCAGCCTCAGCAAAAGCAAGGAGCTAAGCAACTCAGTGAAACCCTGTCTCTAAATAAAATACAAAATAGGACTGTTGATGTAGTTCAGTGGTTGAGTGCCTCTGAGTTCAATCCCCGGTACCAAAAAAAAGAGAAAGGAAAAGACAATCAGTCAACAAATCAACAACCAACAAACATATGAAAAATTGTTCATTATCTCTAGCAATTAGAGAAATGCAAATCAAAACTGCTCTAAGATTCCATCTCACTCCAGTCAGAATGGCAATTATTAAGAATACAAGTAATAATAACTGTTGGTGAGGATGTGGGGAAAAAGACACTCGTTCATTGCTAGGAGTGCAAATTTGTGTAACCAGTCTGGAAAGCAATATAGAGATTCCTCAGAAAACTCAGGATGGAACCACCATTTGACCCAGCTATCTCACTCCTCAGTTTTTACCCAAAGGACTTAAAATCAGCATACTACAGTGACACAGCCACGTCAATGTTTATAGCAGCTCAATTCACAATAGCTAAATTGTGGAACCAACTAGATGTCCTTCAACAGATGAATGGATAAAGAAATTGTGGCATATATACACAATGCAATATTACTTGGCTTGAAAGAAGAATGAAATTATGGCACTTGCAGATAAATAGATGGAATTAGAGAAAATCATGCTAAGTGAAACAAGCCAATTCCAAAAAACCAAAGGCCAAATGTTTTCTCTGATAAGTGGATGCTGATCCATAGTGTGGGGATATGTAGGGAAGAATGAAGGAACTTTGGATTGGGCAGAGGGGAGTGAGGGGAGGGATGGGGCTGTGCGGATGGGAAGGAAGGTAGAATGAGAGACATTATTACCCTATATAAATGTATGAGTACGTTACTTTGTACATGGACTCTGCACCATATAGAGCCAGAGAAATGAGAAGTTATGCTCCATTTATGTATAATGTCTCAAAATGCATTCTACTGTCATGTATAACTAATTCGAACAAATTTAAAAAATGAAAAAAAGTACAACCTTTCTTGTAGGACAATTAAAGCCACTATAATGTATTTACTTCATTTGCTTTTGCAGCATTCAAAGGTGGGTTTGGGGAAGCAAAAGTTAACAAAACCACTTTGCAGGTAGGAATTTTAAAGTCTAAAAAAATGGAATACTTTATGCAATATGACATAATTGTAACAAATCTGCAAGAGGGCCCAGGGTTCCTGATTCCCAAACCAAATGGCTTTACTGCAAACCAGGGACTTTGATTTCCTGGCCCTGGGTGGTGGGGCACAAGGCACAAGCAGGGGAGCAGGAAGATGGCATTTCTATAGCTGAAGAGTTAGAGGTCAGTTAGAGGTCAGCTGCTGTTGATGAAGAGGAAGGTATTCTGATCACCCTATAGACCAGGGAGGACTCTGGGTTGGACCTCATGCTCCATGACAGCAGGAGTCTATAAGGTCGGTGTTACTGCATCATCAGAGTAAGGCTCTCTGATGTAGAAATACACTTTCCTTCTGAAGACATACTGGGTCAGGACTCTACAGAATGAATGTTCTTATGGGAAGCAATCATCCACTGAGTAATTTTTAAAGCTTTCTTTGAAACTTGCTCTCACAAAAGTCTGTTTGCAGAATACAGTATAATACAATAGAGAAAATATTTCCATTTTAATTTCAGTGTCTGTTGTGTTTATAATGAACACATCCTTGCCATGAATAGGAGGGCTGCCCAGAATCACATCATTTCAGAAATGGGAGGGGACACTAAAGAATATATTGTCCAAATTGCTTATTTTACAGATAGGAAAACTGAGGCTCCAAAGAAAGAAAGTAACTTAGAATTGAACCTGTATAATTCTAACAAGACACATAGTGCCAGCCCCTACACCAGACATCTTCTGTTCACTGTTAACCTACTGCCTGTAACTGTCCTTAGATATACGGGTGACCAGTTCCATCATTACTGAGGGAGACCAGGAGGCAAGGCTAGGCAATGGCTGGTAACTTAGGTCTGTATAATTAACATTAAAGTTCTTTCCACTCTACCTACTGCCTCCCGGGGCCCAACCCCTCCATTCAGCCCTGCATGAGTAGAACTGGTCTCTTCCTGAGCATCTCAAGGGCAAAAGAATGCACTGAAGGAGCTACCTATTCCATTTTCAGATAGCTCATTTTCCTAGGAAGTCCAAGGTCCCAGACAGAGGCAGATAAAGAAGATAACTCAGTCCTATGACTCTAGGTCCCAGGATGATAGTGTAACAGCTTCACAATTAGACCCAAAGAAAGAAATGCTGCTAAAAGAAACCTATCAAAGTTATATTACAAAGAAAGTTCTAAGGCACAAGGCAAAAATTTGGGCTCTCATGTCTGACAGGGCACTCTACCAGGTGACAAAAGCACAAAGGTGGAAAAGAAACACCCTCACCTGGGTAAAGTACATCCTGGAGGAATTGGAGCCCAGGAGCTTGCCCTCAATGTGCTGCTGCACCCGCTCCAGAATGCTCTCTTCGTGGAGGAAGTGGACTTCGTGCTTTGTAGGGTGCACATTGACATCCACATTCTGAGGGCTGATTTCCAAACTGCCAGGAAAAAAAGAGGACAATTACCACAGATTGTGGAGGGAGGGTGGAATCCACACATGGTGTATATGGTGACTAGATGACTTGGGAAGCCAAATAGCAGTGGTTAAAAATCTCAAGATCAAGTGAGTGGTCAAATGTTGGTTTTACTACTGAAGAGCTGTATAGCTTTAGATAAGTTACAATATATTTCTTTGCCCCTTGTTTCTTTATTTGCAAAGTAGACATAACAGCATTACTTATGTCTCAGGTTTGTGGTCAGAATTAAATTCATGTAAAGCACTTTGCATACTCAACATATTTAAAATATGTTAGCTATTATCAACATCATTCTAGAATTAGTAGAATTTTTTATTATGTGACCTCAAGAAAGTCACTTAATTTCTCTGGATATTTTCTCATTTGTAACAATAAGGTAACCAGAAATCTGTCCCCTACTTACTTTTCAGTATTATGTGAGGATCAAAACTAGAACATATGCAAGAGAACTTTCCATCAGTAAAATGTAACAAAAGAATCAGTTCAGAGACTGTGTCAGCTATCAGTTTATTGTCTGTGCTCCAAGTCCATCATCTTTCATTGCTTGTTCTATGATAATGAAGCTTTACAATGTGAAACTTTGTCAGTAGAGGGCACCAGAGGGACAAAGGAGGAAGAAGGGTTTCTCTGCCAGGTTAGGGTGCATTTGTGAGTTGCCTCCATACTCAAGCAGCATGTGGCCCCTTCCTGTAGGCAGCTATCACTAGAGCCTCTCAGAGTGGCAGGGGAATGCCTTATTGACTTTTCCATCATGCAGTGAATCACTTCCATTCTCCTCAACAAGATCAGCACCTCAACCCCCAGTGTTGGGGGAGGTTGTGCAAAAGGGACTCTATCTTAGCCCTTGGTGGAATGGCTGCTCCCTGTCACTTCACCTCTTACTACCTGATCTCCCTTTACTCTAATCCTGTTTGTAATTCTTTTTTTAAACTTCCCATGTTCTAATTGTTGTGTAGTTTCTATCTCCTGTTTAGACATGGACTGATATGGAGATAGAAGAAGGTGATAAATGGACCAATTTATCACCTAGCAAGGGAATACAAACGGGAATCAATAATTCTACATTTAGTTTAAAAATTAGTTTTGGCCATGATTCCCACCCCTTCCCACTTCAATCAAAACTAGAACGAAGAGAAAATTACTTTCTAACACAATTTCTGCTCAGAGTGAAAAGATTTCAGACCTAAGATGTTTCAGAATGAACCCGTACCCTGTACAAATATGGCCCTATTGTTCTTTTTTGGGGGGGGGGGAGTGGGGGGGGTTGCACCCGCAATCAGGGACTGAACTCAGGGGCATTCGACCACTGAGCCACATCCCCAGCCCTATTTTGTATTTTATTTAGAGACAGGGTCTCACTGAGTTGCTTAGTGCCTTGCTTTTGCTAAGGCTGATTCTGAACTCAATCCTCTTGCCTCAACCTCCTGAGCTGCTGGGAGGGCCCTGTTCTTAAGAGAGCAGTCTTCTGTAATGTTGTGATAAAAATGCCAAGGCTGTGAAATAAACAAGCTAGTAGTAGAGCAAGAAACAATGAAAAAAGATTCTCCATACTATAATTTTCTCTAGGGTAGGGCGCTTCACATTTATTCTGCATTTCAAACACCTACCATAGGATTTGGTCTGTATAAATGCCAGTGCCAAATTATTTATAATCATTAAAATTATTTAAATGAACTTAAATAATTATTTAAGTGGCTAAATTATTTAAGTGAACAATCAACAATGGACATGCCAAGACAAGAACCTCCATAGAGCAGAAGACACTGATGGAAGGAAAACTGTAGCTGTTTCAGTTTTTCAGACTGACCTCAGCAGAAGGAATATTCAGAGTTTCTTGAGCACATCTGTCTATTCTGCCTACAAGCTATCCAATCCTCCTGAAGGGGAAAGACATGTTACTCACTTTCCTGCCACCAACTTGGCAGTGGCTCTCGGTGAGATTCTCTAAGTTAGTAAATACATAAGGGAAAACTGTGCCTTTTCTCTATGAGAAGGGACAGAGCATCCTTCCACCAGCCATGATAGGATTCACTGATTGGCCAATTGGCAAGCCTACATCTTTCTCAGAATTTCTGTTCCTGTGAGACTTGAGTGAGGAGTTTGGTGCTACATACCTGAGGTACAGGAATGGGTGTGTGTTTTTGGGCAAATATGCTGCATATACAGTTTCTATGGCTTTCCTTAAGGAAGTTGATTCCACCAGTCGATCTAAAAAAGAAAAGGAAAGCAACATGCTTGAAACTGTCTTTATAGGGAGGTCACAGGTGTGCACTCCCACCAAGCCATGAAATTTTCCCAGGAAGAATACCTCCAGAGCAAGAGCCATATCGGATTCTCATGGAGAAAGGCCCCTATACCTGTCATCACTTCCCAGCATCACATTATGGGCATGGGACTTGCTCTTCTCATCCAAAAGCAGAAGAGATGAGAGGCAATAAATTATGTCTCTCCACCTCCCTTGCCTTCCTTCAATCAGCCCATGTGGATTAACTAGCTGTGTCCTTGTTGGGCCCAGCAACAAATATGACCTCAGCTCTCAGATTTTCATTGGGCAAAAACATACTGGCTACCTAGCATACGTGCCAAGTACTGGGAGAAACTATGCTAGTGAATGACTAATCCAACCCCAAGTGGTCAGCACTATCTTACAGAGGTGTGTGCTACGTGGTATGTGAGAGCAGCTAACTCTCTCAGGGGGTTCCAACAGTGGGGTTTCCATACCAAGTAATGAAAGATAAAAATAAGTTTTCTAGAATTTAAGGCAGTACAAATGTCTGACTGCATGTTTAATGTAATTCAGAAAATGATGCAGGTTTGGAGTTGGGTATATAACAAGACTGGGAGAAAGAAGACTAAAATCAGAGGAAAGATCTGTTTTCAGAAAACAGCTCTTTCTTCTGAGGCAGATTTTAGAAAACTTGCTGATGATCTGTTGTCCCAACTGTAGCCAAGGATGTTGCACATCTTTGTATTTCCAACAAGAAGTGAAACCATAATTTTTACTCACCATATCCAAAGCCTCTGCAATAATGAGCTTGTACTCTTTAACACATGCCCTGATCATACAGGCCTGAAGCTGGAATGGGAACCTGACAAAAAGGACAGCTGGAGCCCTTTTGCTGAAATTTCTAAACTTGAGACTAGCCAAGTTGTCTTTGTCTCTGCCACCTAGGTGAGCCTTCATAGTGTATAACTGTAAGAATCTGACCTTTCTTTGCTACCGAGAACCTGGCATTATGAAAGGATTTGCTATAATACAGAGACTATGGTGAGCAGCTCTAGCAGAAACAGACACATGACAGCCAGATGGTACTTACACTGATTTCTGCTTGTCTATTCTGGAGCCAACAAGTGTGTTATAAAGCAGTTCTTCTTCATAGTTAGAAAAAAACCCAATGAAAATCATTTTGTGAGTTACATGCACCCAGCTTTGTTTTCTATCAGGCTTCAATTGTTCCTCATGCAAATAGGAAAAAAACCTTGCTAATATATGAGTTTAACACAATCTGTCTATAAAAGGACTGACTCTCCCATCACTGTTTCTATATTGCTTTGAATAACTGCTGCAAAACATGCATACTTTGAGACTTTTATTATTATTATTATTCCTGTAAGTGGAAGAGGGAAATATAACATTTCTAACAGCAAACAAAACAAAAATTATAAAGTTATCATGAAATACTTAAAAATAATAAAGGTAAACAAGCCATAAGAAAATGAACACATAGAAAGATGCATGTTATTTTTGGATAGATAACTGAGTCAGACTGTCTGGATTATGTGTTGTTTTTTCTTTATCAAAACCTTGTAACAGGGGCTGGGCTTGTGGCTCAGCGGTACAGTGCTTGTCTGGCATGTGTGAGGCCCTGAGTTTGATTCTCCGTGCAACATAAAGATAAATAAATAAAATAAAGTTATTAAAAAAAACCAACCTTGTAACATACAATTAAGTTTACAAAAGCAGAACATAAAATAGTATTACTTAATAAGAATTACATAAACAATGTCAGCAGAAAGATAAGGATTGAAAAGGAATTTGGGAAAAATCAAATGCACTTAATTTTCTCTCTCATTTCTAGAAATGCTCTTTGTATTACAGATTTCATTCTTTAAAAAGAAAAATCTTAAGGTTATTAAAACTTGGTATTTTTACTGCCATTACAGTAAAAGTTATATTAACTTTTAAGTTACAGTAACTTTTACTGTAATGGCAATAAAAATAGCTAAGGTGTCTGTTTCTGTCTTTGTCTCACTCCCAGTGTGTTCTATTGTGTAATATCAAACAACAGCCCTTGATCTAGGGCATGCTGTAGAGGATTCACTTCCAGAGGGTAAGGTGCTGGATTATAGGGCCTGTGATGCTTTCTCCTAAGACCCTCTTATAAGCAAGAACCAGACCTGCTAAGAGCCACAGCCAAGTAATATGATGCATGGCATTTTTGGTTGAAAGGTGATGCCAGCAAGCCATTGAGATGATATGATTATGTTAAGATTTGCATTCATATGGATATTGGACTCCTGCTGCCCACCTCGGCCTGCAACGGGACTCCTGGAGAGTTCCCATTGGTTGGGGAAGTGCGGTAGGAGGGAATTCTGGAGGAGGAACTTCCTCTCTTGGGTTCCGGGGGGCTGGGAGAATGGCCGCGAGCATCGATCGGCAATCTTCCCGGGAGCTTACGGGGCATTGGCAGCAGTTTCAAAAAATAAAGTTTGTTCCTGCTTGAGTGGCTTGTGATTTTGTGCCCAGCCAGACTGCGGCACAGACCATGACAGCAATAAGCACGAATGAGAGGGCCAAGCACTGATTTAGGATAAAAAGTATAAATGCTTTCTAATTAAACAATTTTTGGCACAGAGTTCCCCACATATAATCAAACCTCTGAGTTAGGAATTTTTGCAGGGTTCCATAAAATTCTCTGTGAACATATATCCCCACGTAGTTCTTTTTCACTTACGGTTGATGAAGAGTAAGAAAATGCACTTCTTCACTGAGTAGTTTGCATTGGATATGTAGCCATTCATTTTGAAAGCTAGGGTTTTATCCTCACACCCAACTTCTATCAGTTCTCTGGTTAGAAAAGATAAATTTTGAGGCCTCTGAAAACACTGGAGAACTCAAACATTATAAAATAATCAGAATTAGAAAACACACAGCTCCTTCCCATAAACTAACCCAGCCAAATGAGGACCTCAGAGACTTGGTTCATTGAGGTCCTCTGGACCTACCCGTCCATCTGTCCATCTGTCCATTCACGCATCCATACCCACACACATCACCCACCCAACACACAGTCAGTGTTGTGAAGCACTTAGTCTATACATCAGGGACTGCTCTAATTGCTGGGGTATAAAGATGGGTGCAAGCTCTGAGACCTTGTTTTGCTCAAAGTTTTATGCATCTTAGTAACTAAATCCCAGAGTTAAAATTCCAGGAACTTATTTCTGCTTAACAACTTACTGTAAAGCTTGGCACCACAATGGAGCTCCAATGTGTTGTTCCCCAGATTGTGTTTATTGGGGAGGGTAAGTTGATGTGAAAGACTGGTTCTTGGATATGCCACACTTATCTCTGCCTGAAGGCCTTCCCTAGGACTGAACCTTCTGCCTGGAGGGCTAACTTACTGGCAGTTAAATAATTCCTATTTATTCTTCACACCTCAAGGAATACTTCTTCAAAGTCCTTCTCTGACTATCTGACACAAGATTTTTCCATTATGTCCTGAATTTTTAATTGAGGCAACAAGCACAATCTGCTTATGAATGACATAATAGTCTCATGTGTCTTTCAACCTGGAGAGTTGTAAGAGGGCAAGAATTGTTTCTGTTTTGTTTACTACTGTATCCCCACCATATATTCTAGCCCAGCACCAGGGGAATAGCTGGCATTCACTAAGGATTTGCTAGTTGGACAGCATAGTGTTTCCTGTACACACTATACACACTGAACCTATAAACCATTTCTTCCCAAAATGTCTCAAGAGGCTGGTGTTCTGGAAACCTGCTTTGGAAAATGCTGCTCTGTGGGATTTCTAATCTCTTATAGTCTCTGGGAATTTCCCTAATTATGAGTTTTAAAATTTAGTCAATAATCTAAAAAGTTATACTGTAAAAGAGCTCTCTCTGTTCTGGAAGCACAGTTTAAAAATAGTAACTCATTTATACTTAATTAGAAATAAAAGGGTAAAAAGAATGAATAACTTGTCTTTCAAAGTAGAAATCTGGTACTTGGACAACTGCTGCTGCTTTTAAGATTTCTGGGAAAAGTGAACCAGGGGCTGTCAGATTCTCCATGCATCTATGTATCCACAGCACCTCCTGCATGTGTGGCATATGGAAGGGTTTCAGTATTCTTCCCCTCAGATTATAACATGGCCAATCTGGACTTTCTGAATACCTGAGATTCACTGAGAAATCTACAAAGGCAATGGTGGTCTTTACAAGCAGATGGGAGCACCAGGAAGAATCTGCAACACAAGTAAGCTCTCCTCTTAGGCTTTCCTGACAATGCAGATTTGGTAACACTTGAAAACAAGTCTTTAAGGGCAAGAAATATTTTATTCATGTTTACACTTAACTTCTAGCCTGGAATATGGGAGGAGATTAATAAATATTGAATAATAAATAAATGGAATTCTAAAGTAAGTTCAAGGAAAAGAGAAAGCAGTAAAGAATGACAGAATTCTACTATGCTATGAATATCCTAAACACAAAGACCAGGAGAGAACACACTGATTTCAGTCATAGCATCTAAGAGGCAACGCATACCCTGGAAATGTCAATTACATGAAATAATAATTCTATTAGCAAACTTGAAGCATAAAGTCAAGCCTGTATATTTGACTAAAACAAACTCTTAAGTCAGGTGCTATCTTGAGATTACAAAATAGTGTGATTGATTGGAAAACTAAGATAAGAAATATAAAAGACTTTTTATATATGTTATCAACGTACCGACTAACAGCATTTCCAAAGATGGAGCGAATATTGTCCACTGTTGTGGCACTGGGTAGTGTTCTGACGTCAGCTACTGTCTCGCCTTGCTAATAAACAAATAGAAGATACAATGACTTACTGTCTCATAGTTGTAACCAAAACATCATAACCTTATCTCCACAGGCAAACTATTGAAAATTCCCTTTTGTTATAATACAAAACCATCCCTCATAATTCAAGAACTTACTTTTTTAACTGAGAAGCTAATGCCTGAATTGTGTATTGCATACCTGGAAATAAAAACAAAATAAATGATAAGCAAAAAATAGCAGAATACAAAGCCAGGCACAGTGGCTCACACTTGTAATCCCAGTGGGAGGCTGAGGCAAGAAGATCGAGAGTTCAAAGCCAGCCTCAGCAAAAGTGAGGTACTAAGCAACTCAATGAGACCCTGTCTTTAAATAAAATACAAAAAAGGGCTAAGGTTGTGTTTCAGTGGTTGAGTGCCCCTGAGTTCAATCCCCGGTACAAAAAAAAAAAAAAAAAAGGCAGAATACAAAATAGATGTTAGAGCCCCTCTAGTTAAGTAAACCAGCGAAATCAATAGAGCTAAAGGGCAGAAGCAAACACACACAAACAAAAATATCTCAATACACCCTATTTTACCCTCAGAAAAATAAACCAGCAGAGACTGTAGAGAGATCTCAATGCTAAAATGGGACTAAATCAAACAAAATACAGGGTTCCTTTCTGTTTTTATAAGTTGCTGACTGGACTCAAGGATCTTTCAACACAGTCTCTTCTTTACTTGCAGTTTTATTTTCATAGTGTCCAGAAGGGCCTGGGGGCCTCCAGAATATCTTAAAAAGCTAACTTTAAACCCTGCACACTTTTATTCTCTCTCAGATCCCTCAATAGACCCTCCTTCCGGGCTTCTCCCCTGCCCCTAGATCCTGTTCCAGTATCTCCCAGCCTTTGCTTGGTTGACCATTATTTATTACTCCTCTCTCTATACTCCCCATGAACTGAAATACTGAATCTAGCACAATGCATTTAAGTTAAAAAAAAAAAAAATTCACTTTATCACACCTAGAACCCAAACTCCCAACTTCCTTTATTTTCAGGAGATAATGAATATTCTGACACTGATTTATAAATTTAAAGGGGGAACAAAAAAAAAAAAATAGAGAGCTTGTTTGGAGGTTCTAGCAGGGAGTACAGCTACTCATATACCTTTGATCTAAGAACATCATCCTCCTCTATTGGGGAAGGTTATCCTCTTCCACTAAGCATGCAGCTTTGGGAGGTTTGCACATGGAGTGGAAAGGGAGAAAGGGGACACCTGCATAGTCAGCCAGATCAGCCAAATCAACTCTGATGATCAACTGGGTGACAGATGTTGCAGCCAGATCGCCCTCACATCCAAGAAACTTAATGTATAAATCTGTACCAGTTTATTATGGGCAAAAGTCTAATTCACTTTAGGTTTCTTTAGAAATACTGAAAAATAATTAACATATCTATTACAATGCAAGAACATGTGGGTTTGGAAAGCCCATGCTGGAGCTATCTGTAGCAGCAGATTAAGTCAGTCAAGATCATAATGTTGCTTTCACCTACTCTGAATTCCCTCTTCTACTTCTGGTAACAGTCTCTAAGCTTCCCTTGGGAAATCACCTCTATCCTGTTCCCATTCCACCTGATGCATTCTCAGTAAGACTACCAATCAAGAAGTGTTCATTCCATAGTCATGGGTGCAGCTCATATGACCCAAATTATGCCAATTTCAGATATACTCTCCAGGAAACAAGATACTCGAGCAGGGTCAGGAAAAGAATAAAAACAACTGAAACAGAATTATAATGCTAAAATCCTGAAGGCACCCTGCTTTTTGTCATCTCCAAGAAGCAGCTGTCCACACCTTTTTCCACTTCTAGTCTTCCAATACATTTATGTTCAACTCAAGGTAGCTAAGGTCAGTTTGTTTTGGTTGCCACCAAAGCAGCCTCACTGATATAATAAAGACCAATTGTTCTTTGCTGAGGAGATGATAAAAAGCTCAGAATTGGTGACTAAGCTTTGATCAGAACAATATGTACGCTAGTATTGCTGTTTACTATTTAGCTCAGCAATGGTTTTCAATTTGCTAGCACCAAAACATTCCTTTGATGAAACATCTCAGAGACTTTCTCCCACATTTTCGACTGTACCTGCCAACAACTTCCAAAATTTTTCCATACTCTTCACTTGGATTTTTTAAAGCTTTTCTCCTTGTGGTTATGTTGTAAAAAAGATCCTCCACCTGAACAGAAGATTGATTTTTCTTGTAAATTTATAGAAGAACATGGAAAGAAAGGCTCACATTGTTCACTTAAACCTGAGTTTTAAAGTAGTGAATCCAAAGATATTTACTAACAATATACTTACAAGAATTGATTGGGGAAGTAGGCAACACTGACAAAGGAATTGAAGAATATTTTTTTCTGCCTCTCACATTCATTCACTGATTTCTCAACTATGAGAGCTATCTGTATGTTAGCCTTTTTGCTTTGCTTTTTTTTTTTTTTTTTTTTTTTTAAATTTGTGGTGCTGGGGATCAAACCAGAGCCTTGTGCATGCTAGAGAAGCGCTCTATCACTGAGCTACATCCCTGGCTCTAGGCTCTTTGCTTTCTACTCAAAATATGAATACAAATTTTAAAGTGTAGTCTTACTCAGGAGAAATCATAATTTAGGGGGTCATACATGTAAATTTATAAAAAATGACAATATCACATGGCATTTAAAGATATTTTTCAAACTAAGGATAATCACAAAATTTCCGAGATCATTTGGACTTTCTGGAAATCATGCTGTAGTCACCCTGTCAAGGCTCCTTGTTAACATGCACTAACAAGTATACCACATTCATTTATGCCTACTGCCTGCTTCATCATGCCCAGGAGTTAAAATGTTAGAATGACCTTCAAGGAGATGTGCTCTAGTTGGGATTTGTGGTGCGGGAAAGAGTGTATAACATGACAGCAGATGTTTTGTGGGGTCAGAAAATGGAAAGAGACTAACCAAGGCATTCTAGAAATAAGGCAGCATGATGGACTTCCTCCTGACTAATGATATAGTCATATGATCTACCAAATACACTTTGAGGCAGCTGTGCACATATTCTTTGTTCCATTTAATAGATGAGAAAACTTGTTAAGTGACTTGCCTCTAGACACAACCATTGACTGATCAGGCTGGGACTCCAAATCATGTTGTCTGGAGCCAACCTTAATGTTTTTTCAATTCTAACTACCCTGCCACTGATTTTTGCCATCCCAACTCCTTACAAAAGATAAAAGGGTGGGCAGGCTGCCATGCCACAAAACCCAAGAATCATTTTTCTTGCTTACAGGGTGATATCTTTGGTCTTCTATTAACTAGCAAAAATTAATTTTATTATTAGCCTAAAAACTCCAAGACATTTATTTTTCAATATTTATACAAAGCTCTTTTTCAGCAATTTACATTCTTACCGTGATCTGAGTCCCTTGATTGCCAGCACATGGTTTAGGAGGAGCTTTCAGCTTTCCATCGGAGTAAGTTGCTCTAATCAGAAAATATGCAAGATTATTAATATCTAATAGAAAATGAGATACTCAGCAGATAGAATAGACATTATGATTGCGGTATGTATATAGGTGATTCTATGACCAGTGTGATTCTGCAATCTGTACAATCAGAAAAATGAGATACCCCAATGATTCAAATGTATGAATTGCCAAGATCATTGTAATGTCATGTGTAGCTAATAAAAAAAAAATAAAATAAAAAAAGAAAATGAGATACTTATCCAAACTGTAAAAAAATTATACCAACAAATTAAAATACAGGCATATCATATATTCTCTTTATTACTTACTTTTTCTATTACTTTCATATTAATTCTAACCAAATTAAAATTTAAAAAATGGTCCCTGTTCGAGCAAATTTTGATTTTTTTAGCTGCTAAATTCTGAGCTACTATAGTTTTGCCATTGCCTAAGACAATAGTAAACGTCTGATACAATTCTGCAATCACTGATTGAGGAGCAACCATGTACCAAGCCTATGGAAGCACTGATGATAAAGAAAGGTCTTAGAAAACACTTGCCCTAGAGAGGGGACAGTTTTACCTAAAGGACAGAAGAATGTGCTAAGTGATCTAGAGAAGGAGCCATATGGCCTGGGTGGGAGTGAGGGCTGGTAAAGGCATCAAAGAAGAGAGGACAGTTCATCTGGGCTTCAGGGAGGAAGGTTTCAGGTGGAGAAACCAAGAAAGACCATCTAAGAAGGGGAAAACAAACAAAAGCATAGAGGCTTCTGAATACATGGCAGCTGAGAATGTGTCTCGAGAAGAGGCTGGAAGGGCAGACTAAAGACACACTGGGAAGGTACTGGTTGCCAAGATGATGACTCCAGATTTCATGCGGTCACAAAAGGGGAGACACTAGATCCTAGGCAGGGGAAAACATGATCCCAGAGGTCAAGAATTAATTTGGGACACAATAATTCGCAACGATCTCCAAGGTTTTCTTTATATGATTCAAATCATACCAGTCCACCCAGATGCTGGGGCAATTATAATTCACACCTAGTCAACTCCCCTAGCTTACACGCTGTATACTCTGAAGCGCTCATTACTTTGCACATTTGTTTGCTGAAGAAGACTAAGAAACGGATATAGAATGAAATAAAAACACACTGCTCAATCTCCTACTTCATCAAAAGGGAAAGGTTATCTAAATTGCCTCTTTCATTCTGTATTAACCTGTGATAACAACCAGCACTTTGATGACATATTTAAAGAGAGGATATAAAATTAAAACAATAACATAACCATTAGAACTTGAAATTTTTTATTTTGATTGACAAATAATCTGTATGTCTAATTTTCAAAAAAAACAATTGGCATGAATTGGGTACACCTGTCTTCATCTAGTAAATAGCTAGGGCTTATAAAAACGAAGTGCAATTTTGATTCCCTGAATTCTATTTTGTTCTGTTCCAAGGCCATTCATCAGCCTCTGGAAGTTGTGTCAGCAGAACAGCCAGCAAGCAGCCACTCATGAGAAGGCAAGACAGTCCAGGAACATAAAGATAGCATGAGCTGGTAGCTCAGGAGCCAGCAACGGTACTATGAGCCTTCAGCATCCCAGTCACAGCCCTGTAATCAGCCCCAAATGATATCCTACTAAAGGATAAAGAAGCAGAATTAACATCAGCAACCACCATTTACTCAGAATATTTATGGGTAAGATACACACCTTGCTGGATACTTAATATGTTACATTTTATATTTTAAGAATCCAAGAAGTAAGAATATCATCTAGTAATCATCCCTGTGGATTATCAATTTAACAACAGAGAGGAAAGAAAACTTACCCAAGATCTCAGCCAAAAAAAAGATCACGCTTGGTATTTAGTTATGATTACTCTGAGATCCAGGCAAAAAGTACAAGATGAACATACAGGAGTAAAATAAGTCAGCACTATACCTGTATGCACACTTTCCATCAGCTGTCTTGGTTGTAATAGTAACATGAGCCACATGGCTTATGCTAGCCAATGCCTAGGAAAGAAAAGGAAATAGAATAAGATAATAACACACTGCTCAATCTCCCACCTCGTCAAAAGGGAAAGCTTATCTAAATTGCCTCTTTCATTCTGTATTCACCTGTGATAACAACCAGCACTTTGATGACATTTAAAGAGAGGATATAAAATTGAATCAGTAACATAATCACTAGAACATGAAAATATATTTCTTAAAAAATCCAAAAGGAAACCCATCAAAGCATTAATGTGCTAACAACAATTATATTCAGGTGGTAGAACTATAGCCATTGTATTAGTTAGCTTTCTATTACTACAGAACAAATATGTGAAATAAACAACTTATAAAGAGAAAAGTCTTACTGTGGCTCAGTCAGAGACTTAGTCCATGGTGAGTTAGCCTCTGTGCTTTTGAGCCTATAGCAAGGCACAATAATGGTGAAGAGCATGGGTGGGGATAGGGGAAGCAAAGTCACTCACCTCATGGCTGTGGAATGCCAAAAGAAATGAAGGAGAGGAAGGGGCCCATTACCTCCTTAAAGGGCACACCCCCAATGATCTAAAGACCTCCTACTAGGCCCACCTCTTAAAGTTTTCAATAATGCCAAGCTGGGGACAAGACCTTAACACATTGTCTTTTGAAGACCCAAGGCCTCATGCATGCTAGGAAAGCATGCTACCACTAAGTCATACCTGTAACCCCTTCAATAAATTTTAAAACTTGCCTTCAGAAATGGATAATGAAATCACTCCAAATAGATGATGCTATAAATTGTTACTCAAAACTTGGGAGGGAGGTACCAGGGTTTGAACTCACAGGCATTTGACCACTGAGCCACATCCCCAGCCCTATTTTGTATTTTATTTAGAGACAGGGTCTCAATGAGTTGTTTATTACCTCACTTTTGCCAAGGCCAGCTCTGAATTCACAATCTTCCTGCCTCAGCCTCCTGAGCTGCTAGGATTATAGGTGTGCCGCGCCACTGTGCCCAGCAAAGCTATTTTTTTAATAAGCAATTACATGTTTACAAATATAAAATTTAAATGATACAATTAAATCAAAATATATTTTAGAAACCCATGACCATTTCTTTCCCCTTATAACTCAGACTGGTTTCCTGGTCCTTTGAGATCTGAATCTCTTCACAAGGACCACATAGTATATAAAGATGCCACCCAGAAACTGTGCTATAATGGGGTCTTCATAACAGCTTCTACACACTTGAAGGAGGTTCAGTTCATTAAAAGGAACATAGCTCTACTTGGCAGGCTGAGGCAGGAAGATCACCTGCATTCAGGAGTTTGTGACTAGCCTGGGCAAAAACAAAAAAAGCAACATGGATCGGGCTCAGAGATTACTTTGTCAAGAATCCTTGGTTTATGTAATTTTCATCATTAAAAAAAGCAAATTATTTGGAGACCTATGTAAGGAAGAACATTACATATGTACAGTAGTACAGTACTACACAACATCTGGAAGAGAGAGTGACACTACACATGGTCCAGCAGATGGTCTTGCTGCTTCAAAGAGGCATTGTTGCTGACAGGGAAACAGACAGACAGGAGCTCAGATTGTGGAGTCAAGGGCCTGGTTCAGTTTCCCACTCTGTCACTTTCTAGCTGTGTGCCCTGACTACATTCTTCATCACTCTGTATACTTCTCCCTGTATAAAACAGGGCTTCTGAAAAACCTACTCTGTGGGGCTACTGTCAGAATTAAGAGTTAATACATACATCTGCTGAGAACCATGACTGGCACAAACCCTCAATAAATCTTCCCTATTTAACTGCAGTGAGATAATAGCCCTGAAGATGTTCCACAGCTAGGGCAACGCTCCAGAGACCAAGGGCTTGGAAATTGACCCAGGGAATTTCAAAGCCAGAATGAAACTGTGTCTCTGGAGCTTGACCTGAGGCAGCCTCGGGTCACTATCACTATGAGCACAAGGATGTTTGAGAACACTCTGGTTTGAAGTAAATAGAACAACATTACACAGATTAGATCAGAGACACGTTTTAATTTTTAAAAATTAAGTAAAAGTAATACATGCCCATGATGATAAAAAGTTCAGAAGCTACAGAAAGCCCTGAAATGAAAAGTAATAGGCTCTTTTCCTCTTCTCTACCTCCACTCTTGTTTTCCCAAAATAACTACTCATGACAGTTTCTCTGGTTCTCTATAGCCTCCAGAAAGAAAATGACCAAGTAAGCTCCAAGTCTTCTGACCTCCAGAAGTACAGGATAATAAATTTGTGTTGTTTTATGCCACTAAGTTTGTGGTAATTTTGGGCAGTCAGCAATAAGAAAACACTACCAATTGTCTTAAAAGTATGTCTACTTTTACCCAGGAATGTTACTTCTATAAATTTATTCTAAGAAAATAACTAAACAAAATGCAGTATTTCATCAAAGCTTTACACTGGAAAAAACAGCAGCGTCTTAATAGGAAGTCACTCAAACAACCTATAGTATACATACATAATAAAATAATGTGTACCCATTAAAAATTATGTAGGCCTATACTTATTGGATGAAAAGGTATCCATAGGAATTAAGTTAAAAAATAGAGACCCCATTCAGTCTTAAAAATATTTTTGTCTATTTTCCATATCATACATTCCTATAATTTTACCCACATATAATTTAGAGTGTATCTTAAAAAACACAAGCTCAAATGAACCTCATGATATTTTATAACAAGAGACTTAATAATTTCTCCTTAATGCTATCAAATAGTTCAAATACATCTCAAATATGTCTCATTTTTTTTCACACTTTGCTCACATTAGGATTCAATAAGCTCTAGTAAATGAAGTTGATTCATAAGGCCTTTTAAATCTCTCTTAATCTAGAGGTGATTGTTATCCTTCTCTACTATTGCTTGACTTCTATGTTTTTCCTATATTGCTACTTAGATTCAAATATTGAGCAGATTCACTTTCATTCATATATATATGAATGAAATATATATATTATATACATAATATATATATTAGTTGTAGTTGGACACAATACCTTTATTTTATTTTTATGTGGTGCTGAGGATCGAACCCAGTGCCTCACAAGTGCTAGGCAAGTGCTCTACCACTGAGCCACAACCCCAGCCCCCAGATTCACTTTTTTGTTTCTTTCTTTTTTTGGTGGTCCTGGAGAGTGAACCCAGGACCTGACATGTTAGGCAAATGCATTACCACTCAGCTACACCCCCAATCTTCTTTAATTTTTGTATTTTGAGACAGGGTCTCACTACATTGCCCAAGCTATACTTGTATTTGTAACCCTCTTGTCTCAGCCTCTCTAGTAGCTGTGATTCCAGGCATGCACTGCCACACCCAGCTCCACATTTCAGTTTTTGACAAGAAAACTTTATAAGTGGTTTTGGGTATTTCTATCAAGTGACACATAACATCTGGGGAGTTCATGGTAATATTAAATATTTATGAATACTTTTCAGTCCTGGAAACTAAATTTAATTAAGTTGTTTCAAATTTGCATATATTTAACAAGTAAAAAATACCAAATCTTATTACCTCTCATATTGAGAAATATATCCTGAAATGACAGCAATGTCATCATGTGAGGATATTTTACACATTTCTTTAAACCTTAACTTACCTCACCCCGAAAGCCATAGGTAGAAATACTGGTTAAGTCCTCAAAGGTCTGCAGTTTACTTGTAGTGAACCTCTCACACACAATATCCAGATCTTCCTTCTAGAAAATTTTTTAAAAAAGCAAATAATTATGTTATCCATTTTTCTAAATCTTCCTGAATTTCCATTTTATCAATTTAGAAATAAATTTCTCTTAGAAGTATTTTTAAATTAGTGGTGATTTCCTCACTTTGTATTCAGAATACCACATTGTCTTGGCATTCCTACTTTCTTACTAGGCTGTTCCTTTTCAGTGTCATTTGCTCTTTCTACCTCCTACCCCTGGAGTAACACAGGATTTCAATCATGGACCTCATCCTTATCTATACTCACTATCTTGATGATCTCATTCGGTCTCATAGCCTACTTTTTTAATTAGAAAAACTTTTAAATATCTACAACTTTTTAAATTGTAATAAAATACATGTTAACATAAAACTTTCATCTTAACCATTTTTAATTATCCAGTTCAGTGGTGATAGATTCATTCACAGTGTTAAGCAACCTCTCCAGAACTTTTTCATCTTCCCCAAACTGAATCTCTGTACTCAATCATCAATAACTCTCCATTCTTCATCTTCCCCCAATCCCTGGAAACCACCATTCTACTTTGAGTTTAATGCATTTGACTATTCTAGAAACCTCTTATAATAGGAATCACATATTTGCTCTTTTATGACTGATTTATTTCACTTAACATAGTGTCTTTAAGGTTCATCCATACTGTAGCATTTGTCAAAATTTTATTCTTATTTAAGGCTAAATATCATCCCATTGTGTGTATATATGTATCACATCTTGTTTATCCATTCGTCTGTTGATAGACACTTGAATTTTTACCAGTTAACTATCGTGAATAGTGCTGCAATGAACATGATCATACAAATATTTGTTCAAGTTCTTGCTTTCACTTTCTGTGTGTAACAGAAGTGGAATTGTTGAAACATATGGCAATTCTGTTTAATTTTTTGAGGAATCACCATACTATTTTTCATAGTGGCTACACTATTTTACATTTCCATCAGCAATCCACAAGGAGTCCAATTTCTCTACCTTCTTGCCAATAATTTTATTATTATTTTGATAACAGTCATCCTAATGGGTGTGATATGGTATCTCACTGTGGCTTGTATTTGCACTTCCTTCTCACTAACGCTGAGCACCTTTTTAGGTGAGTCTTATGCTTTTTTTAAAAAATATCTTTTTAGTTGTAGTTGAACACAATACCTTTGTTTTATTTATTTATTTATTTTTATGTGGTGCTGAGGATCAAACCCAGCACCTTGCAGTGCTAGGTGAGCGCGCTACTGCTGAGCCACAACCCCAGCCCCTAGTCTTATGCTTTTTAACAGTATCAAAATGCAGACGACTCCCAAATTTTTACCTGCAAACTATACACTGCATTTCAGACCCTCACACAAAGAAAAATCTTAATTTTTTTTTTAATATTTACTTTTTAGTTTTTGGCCGACACAACATCTTTATTTGTATGTGGTGCTGAGGATCGAACCCGGGCCGCACGCAAGCCAGGCGAACGCGCTACCGCTTGAGCCACATCCCCAGCCCGAAAAATCTTAAATTTAATGTGTGCCAAAATGAACTTCCCATCTTCTCCAAACCTGTTTCTTCCATAATCTTTCCCATTCAGTAAATGCCAATTTTTTTCACCATTTATACAGGCCAAAACCTAACTCAATCCTGATTTTTCTCTCACACCCAAAATCACAAATTCTGAGAGCTTTGCCTTCATAATTAACTCAGGATCACATTGCTTCTTATATCTCTTCTATAGCCAAATTGATCCAAGGCACTAATATACCCTCCTGAATTGTTGCAAGAGCCTCCTCCTTGTTCCTGCCCTGTCTTTCTGCAGTCTATTTTCCCACATGGCAAACAAAGAACTTTTTATAAAACCACCAAGTCATATAACACTTTGCTTAAAACCTCTAGTAGTATCATACCACAGTCACTAAAAAAAGCCAAAGATTTTACTATGTACCACAAGGTCCAGCATGTTCTCTCTCTGACTTCAGCTCCTTGCTCAACCTACTTTAGACACACTTGCTTCCTTGTGGGTCCCTAAACATGCCAGGCATTCTTCCTCTCATGATCTTTGTCTTTTCTGTTCTTTCTGCCCAGAAGATTTATCCTTTGAATAATTTCATGATTTATTCCTTGATCTCTACCCACATCTCTCCTTAAATATCATATGCATACTAAAGCCTTCCTGAATTATTTAAGTTGCATTCCTACCCACTCCCCCATTATCTTTCCCTTGCTTTAGTTAATGCCATATGACATACTACTTATTATACCTGCTTGTTTCCCATTACTATAATGGAAATACCCATTGTAGTATGAGAAAGGATTTTTGTCTATTTTATTCACTGCTGTATCCACTGAACAATATACAACACAAAATAGAACACATAATTATTGTTTGTATTGAATTCTTCAGTCAAAAATTTCTAATTACAAAAGCCTAAAGTTTCCAGTAAGGGGAAAGGTTCTGCATTTTCCTGCAGAGATATGACACGAAGCACACAAACATCCTGCTTTTCTGAGGTCTTACTTACCCTGATTCCAGTGCCATTGTCTTGGATCTGAATCAACTTCAGACCCCCCTCTTTAACAACCACTTGAATACTCGTGGATTTTGCATCTAAACTGGCAAATCAAACAGAAAATAGATTATCAGTCTGCAACTATTCTATTGCATATATTTTAATATATGTCAAGCAATAACAATGAACTCCAAATAAAGAGTGCGTGTGATGTGTTTTTTCATTTGTTTTACACACTCCATGTCTACATCATATGAATTTAAATACTGTGTAAGATAGAAAGAAGAACAACATCATTTCTAATAGGTCATTCAGAACTATTTCTATTCTTTTAGGGAAAAAAAGTCAAATTCAGAAGTAGGAACCTTTCAGCAAACACATCTTTCTCTCTTCTCAACTAATTTTACTATCGATTTTATTCAGATTTCTAAGTGATTCTAATGTCATTTTTAAAAATTCTAAATGTTTTTCTCCATTATCCCTTCTCTTTAAGAACATATAGTCAGGTGTGATGGCACATAATCCCAACTCCTTTGGAAGTTAAAGCAGAGGGGTCATAAGTTTGAAGCCAGCCTGAGTAACTAGGGAGACCCTCTCTCAAAAAAGGTTAGGGATGTAGCTTAGTAGCAGGGTGCCTCTGAGTTCAATCCCCAGTACCACCAAAAACAAAACAAAAGAAAAACATACCTATGGTAAAGAAAAAAATGGTAAGGCAGAAAGTTCTTTAAGAAGTCAATAAATCTTTCGCGCTTTCAGAGAGTAGCTTATACACACAAAGCACCTATTAGAGAAAATAAATTCAGCCTGGAGCTGCATGAGAAAGAAGTTATTGACTTGCTCACGGAAAATTCTTTATTCAGAAATAATAAAATAAGTTATTTAAACATTAAAGACCTGTCTCAGGAGCCCCTTTATTGACGTTGTATCAGCCATCATGACATATATTAAAAAGAGTCTAACTGGACTCCATATAAAATCTCTGCTTACAGAATTAATTATAAGCCACTGAACTAGTATGTTTAGTTTTGTTATACAGAATTTGGGCAAGGTACAATAATTGGTTTTAAGTTATTCTGTTTATTCTAACACTATAGAAACAAAAGCCAGACAACGACTTATACTACCACCACAAATCAAATGAAAACACGTCCCCAGCTTCCATGTTTCTTTTTGTGTGTTGTCTCTTCTACCAATTTTCTTATTTTCCCTCTGAGGTCCTTTCTGACCCACTGCTCTTTCAGTCCCATCGCTCTGAATGATTTATGTTTTTACAATGAATCTTTCTACAAATCTGTCATTCTTCACCAGAAAGAAGATTTTTCTTTTCTAATAATGTATGGACTTTATTAACATCAAGTGATTTTAATACAAAGGACATGACATAGTCTTTGGGTCCTTGTCTTTTGTAAGGTTTACAATTCACGCCCAATTTTCTTTCCACATATTTTTTCAACATCTTTGTTCCATGTTTGAGACAGGGCTAAGCATTAGAATCAACAGATGCCCTAATAAGTCAGACATCTTCAAAGCACCTCTCCAAAAAGTCAAAGGCAGTGAGGCCACTGACTTGGTAATAAGGGAATTCAAAGTTAAGCCCAATGTCCACTAGCCTGTCTTAAAACTCCAATGATTTATTATTTTTTAAAAAATATTTTTAGCTGTAGATGGACACAATGCGTTTTATTCACTGAATTTTACATGGCGCTGAGGATCGAACCCAGTGCCTCACACGTGCTTGCGAGCTCTCCACCGAGCTACAGCCTTAGCCCCCAACGATTTATTTTTAATAAAACTCAACAATTGTGCCTTTGAACACGTTTGATTTCTTGAATAAGAAACTGATAACATGGTATACACTGAAAGAAGATTTTTTTTCTCCCACGATAAATTTTTATACATCCTTAATTTCGCATCTTCTGCATAATTTTAAGTAGCTCTCTGAGTTAACGGTACCACTAAAGCTAGGCCGAACACACCCCTGCTACAGGCGCCCCACACGCCCTAGAATCTAGGTATCGCGAGAGCAGTGGACAAATTCTCGGTTCCCGGGAAAGGAAAAGGCGGCACGCGCGCCCAGGATTCCAGCGGCTTCCAATGACACCGGCCTGCGCCGGATGCGCCTCCGCCCTCGTCACGGAGGCGTGTCCGCGCCATTCAGAGAAGCGGCCCGTTAGGTCGTAGAATCTAAGTGAACCAGGCTCGACTCCCTCCATACCAGTTTTCAATCATCTCTTTGATCGCATTTGCTGGACGCTGAATAACTTCCCCCGCCGCGATGCGATTCACCACTGTCTCGTCTAGCCGCCGAATAACCCCCGCCACAAGCGACATTTTGGCGCCAGAGAGGCCCAAGTCGCGTCTAGATGCTCGCCGGAAGTACCTTCAGCCAATCACTTCAGTCCCTCAAGCCCTTGGTCTTCCTTCAATTATGGTTTACACCATCCTGTACCACCCTGTAGTGGCAGCTGTTGATTGGGCAGCTTGAATGCCAATCAAGTTTCTCAACTGCGTGGGCTGCTGGGCCTCTTCGTCTGTTCCTAAGGCTGCCTCGCACTCGCTTAGAAGGATGTGCGCTTGCGCGTTAGAAATCACTGTCCGCTCTTCCAATTGGTTTGTTGGTCGTAGCTACAGGGACTACGAAATCTCCAGCCAATAGGAACGGAGATTCCATGGCAAAGGCTGGTGTGCGGCTGCTGAGGTGATCTGGCGCAGAGCGCTGGAGCTGCTTGCCGCTAGTCGGGCTCCTCCCCTCGCTTTGCGGCCTCTCTGAGGTTGATCCTGTTCTTGTGTACTCTGGCAGAATGTGGATGACGCCCAAAAGGAGCAAGATGGAAGTCGACGAGGCTCTTGTTTTCCGGCCCGAATGGACCCAGCGTTACTTGGTAGTGGAACCTCCAGAGGGCGATGGGGCCCTGTGCTTGGTCTGTCGCCGCCTTGTCGCTTCTACCCGCGAACGTGACGTCAGGCGCCACTACGAGGCGGAACACGAATACTATGAGCGGTATGTGGCGGAGGGCGATCGCGCGGCCTTGGTGGAGCGTCTGCGTCAGGGCGACATGTCGTTGAGCACCTTGCTCACTCCAGAGGAGAAAGCTGCTCGTGCAGGCCTCGGGCTCTGTCGCCTGTTGGCCTTGAAGGGTCGCGGCTGGGCTGAGGGGGACTTTGTACACCAGTGCATGGAGATATTGCTAAAAGAGGTACTGCCGGAGCATGTAGGCGTCTTGCAAAGAATTAATTTGTCTCCAGAGATCACAAGGCAGAGGATTCTGAGCATTGACAGTAATCTACGTTGTCAGCTTTTTAACCGAGCCAGACAATTTAAAGCCTATTCTCTTGCCTTGGACGACCAGGCTTTTGTGGCCTATGAGAACTATCTCCTGGTCTTTATTCGTGGCGTGGGCCATGATTTGGAGGTGCAGGAAGACCTTCTGACCATAATCAACCTGACTCATCACTTCAGTGTTGGTGCACTCATGTCGGCCATTCTAGAGTCTTTGCAGAGAGCAGGGCTTAGCTTGCAGCGAATGGTTGGACTGACCACGACGCACACTTTGAGAATGATTGGTGAGAACTCAGGACTGGTCTCATACATGAGAGAAAAGGCCGTGAGTCCCAACTGTTGGAATGTTATCCACTATTCAGGATTTCTTCACTTGGAACTGTTGAGCTCTTATGACATAGATATTAATCAGATCGTAAATACCATATCAGAATGGATAGTTTTAATTAAGACCAGAGGCGTTAGGCGACCGGAGTTTCAGTCTTTACTAACTGAATCTGAGTCAGAGCATGGTGAAAGGATTAATGGACGATGTCTGAACAACTGGCTTAGAAGAGGGAAATCTTTAAAATTAATATTTTCATTACGAAAAGAAATAGAAGCATTCTTGGTTTCAGTAGGGGCAACAACAGTCCATTTCACAGACAAGCAATGGCTTTGTGACTTTGGCTTTTTGGTGGATGTTATGAACTACCTTCAAGAACTCAGTGAAGAATTGCAAACTAGTAAAGTCTTTGCTGCTTCTGCCTTTGACCATATTTGTACTTTTGAAAGTAAGCTGAATTTATTTCAGAGACATATTGAAGAAAAAAATCTAACAGACTTTCCTGCTTTCAAAGAAGTTGTTGATGAGCTTAAACAGCAATATAAGGAAGATCAAAAAATATTTGATCCCGACAGATATCAAATGGTGATCTCTCGTCTGCAGAAAGATTTTGAGAGACATTTTAAGGACCTAAGATTCATCAAAAAGGACTTAGAACTTTTTTCAAATCCATTTAACTTTAAACCCGAATATGCACCTATTTCAGTAAGAGTGGAGCTGACAAAACTTCAGGCAAATACTAGCCTTTGGAATGAATATAGAGTCAAAACCCTGGGACAGTTCTATGCTGGATTGCCTGCTGAATCTTACCCAATTATCAAAGGGGTTGCCTATAAGGTGGCATCCTTGTTCGACAGTAACCAAATCTGTGAAAAGGCTTTTTCTTATCTGACTCGAAACCAACACACTTTGAGCCAGCCACTGACAGATGAGCATCTTCAAGCCCTGTTTCGGGTTGCCACAACTGAAATGGTTCCCAGTTGGGATGATCTTGTGAGAGGAATAAATGAAGCTAATCTATAAGCCTTTGTAGTACAACATTGAAAGAATATCAGAAGCAAAAATCTGTTTTGATTTTTTTTTTTCCCCCCAAGTTTTCTAATTTGGATTGTTGGAAAACACCAAGCTTACTAAACAAGACATCCAAATCAATCACAATTCAGAACCTCCTGACAGTTGCCTTTTTTTTCATATGGCAGCATGGGACTGAAACATGAGAATACCACCTTTTTTAAAAAAACTTTGTTTAATGGCAAAGTCATTGTCTTTTACTTTTATGGTATAATTGATTTTAAGGAGTTTAATATTGACAACATTAGTTGAATTAGAAGTCTGTTTTTAAGGTGTTCTGAGAATATATGCCAAAAATTTAACTTTTATTTTAATGAAGTTTTAAAATTTTGATTCCTGTAGTCTGAAGTTAGCAACCCCTTAAGTGTTTAAACTAATTTGCAAAAACTCACATAGCAAGTTCATGAGTTCAAAAAAGGAAAAACATAACATACAGTGGAGGTATTTTGTCTAACAAAATGTTTTGAGACTATATTTTTAAAACATTTCTGAGTCTGAAATAAATATTGCCAGATTTCCTTCCTCTTACCTTCCCCCATTCACCCCAGTGAATCTGATATTACTAACAGAGGAAGTAATAAAAAATTTAGTCAAAGGAGCAAGAATTGTTTTTAGGTTGCTGATTTTAGGAGGCTTCCTGCAATTTGGAGATAAGACTTAACCAATTTCTGGGGGTTTTCCCTGAATTTTTCACAACTGGGGGATGTTTTATCAGCTTGCCTATCAAAGGACTTTGGTAAGTATAGAATCTTAACCATTGCTAGTTAGCAATTCTTTTTCCTACTCTAGACAGCAGTTTGGCCCTATCAAAAGGGTGAGGAAAAAAACAGCTTTTTGCACTTCATGATGAGGAGGTGTGAGATAGTTTAGCTTATTTTATGTGCGTGTTAACGCTTTATAAAGAAATCCTATTTAAAGGAAACTTTTAAAATGATATCAGATTTTGCTAGTTGCTGGAAATTGATTTATTCTAAAATTTAAGACTATCTCACACGTTTGGTAAAGACAGTGCACAAGTAGAAATATTTAAATTTCAAGAATTGGTCTTATTCACAGATTATAGTATTGCCTCATTTCTAGTAAGACATCTGTCTTGTGCTAAAATAGTTACTTTAAACTTATATTAATTGTGACAAGGCAATCTCACATTAAAGTCCAATATATAAAACTAATTTAAAAACAGGACTTAACTTGTATATCATAGATTCCCAAGTACAGTTTGAAAACTTGTGCTACTAAGTCTTTAACTATTGCAGCACTTTATGCTGTGGTCTCTAATCCAGCAAATTTAAGGAACCAGGAAACAACCAAGAATTTAGAAGGAAGTGATGCACAAGCTATCTTAATGGATGCTGTTAGAGCCTAGGAAGCAAAATTGTTTCAGTGCTTCTCAATCAGAGGCAGTAACCCTCCCTTCTAGAGGATGCTACGAAATGTGAAGGGACACCTTTTTGGTTGTCTTATTTGCTGGGGGGGCTTCTGCTGGCATTTCAACCTAAAGACCGCTCCCTCCTGCAGTATATACAACAGCCTGGCATTATGAAGAATTATCTCTCCCTGCCCGTAAACCCCCAGTGTACATATTATCTTATGTCAAGAAACAGGGCAAATTACCGGTAGAAGCAAAATTAGACAGGCAAGTTGGGTAAACTGATGGAATACTTGATAGGGAGACTAATTTCAGTATTCCAAGGTTAGCTGGTAAGGTGCAATAAAGGTTCCAGTAGCTCACATAATAGCATTTGTAAATCAGTAATTAATTCTGAATCAGATTAAAGGGCTCTCTCCTAGTATACACAATTAGTTTAGGGCAGATAAACCTCTTATATATTAATAACATCAAGTTGAGATTTTGATTAGCAAAGAATAAGCTCAAATATCTGAAAAGATGACAGTGAAAAACTGAAAAAAATAAGTCTACCGGTAATTTCCCGATAGTTTTTGAGTGTTGCTTTCACAGCAAATGCTTTATTACTTGTGAGAAAGTTTGTAAGACTTGAAGGCCGCTTCTGCTTTCTAATCCCAGTTCCTCACATATTGAAATCTTGTATATTTTGTGAAGTTCTAGTATGTTTTGCTTAACGTGATAACTAAAATTAGTTTGCACCATATAGTAACTGAGTGGGGAGAGATAAAAGCAAGGATTTTAACATTGATCCTCAGCAAAAAAGAATTTGCTATAACTAGTCTTGTTTATTTAAAAAAAAAAAAAAAAGTGTATTTTACTGTTTTCTGTATTAAGTAATTCTGTAGCTGCATGGCAGTCTTTTCTTTTATAAATATATAGCTGTTATTGTTCCTGTTGTATCAGTGCATATAGATGAAATAAGTACCATTTAAAAAAAAACAACAAAAAAACAACTTTGTGTCCTTACCAATTACTTCCCCATATCTCCCATTCCCACTTGTTTCTTGAAAAATTTGCTCTCCTTGTTTTCTGTTTTGCCACTCAGACTGTTCTATCAAGCTCACTAAGTCCTTGTCAATATCCTTACCATCCTTGAACTGTTACTTTAGATTGAGGAGATTTTAGTTCCAGGTATGCTTTCTTAGTCTTCTTTGTAGGCACCTCTTCCCTTAAATATCTGTTCTTATTTTTTTTTCAAGGCTACCTACTCTCCCTTGCCTTATCTCCCTTCCATCTCCCTAGCCAATCTCATCTCCTTCCATGGCTTCAGTTACCACCTGTA